ATTTGTCTTGGGCCTAGAAAGCCTTTGGATCACCCACGATTATCAAAAATATATATATATATATATATATATTAATATTAATTTTCATGAGAATAATTTACAAAGTACACCAATTTGTATATATATATATATAATTGTCTCTAAATATCCCAAATCGACATAAAAACAATTATAAATAATATCTCCACAATCATTTTTTGAACTAAAATATGCTAAATATCTATAACGTTAATCTCTATTTTGATTTGTAATCCTCATCGATCATGGTTCAGTTTTGGTCAATCTCATCGAATTTATAATAATCTCATGGATTTGTAAAACAGGTCTATTTATTTAGAAGCAAGTGAACGTGCTTTTGTTGTTTAAACATCTTTCTGTCAACACCATTGTAAGAAAAAGTGTAAGAAAGAGCTAAATTAAATTCCTTTGGTCCTGCTTGTGTTTCAGCTCAAAACGAAAGGAACAAGAGCTGAGAGTCACAACTCACAAGAGCCGGGAGTTCACAGCTCAGAAGGTCCCCAACTTGAACTGGCCGGCCCGCTCACAAGAGGAGAAACCAGAATCAAATTAATAAATTGAATCGAGTGAAGATCCTATCAAACATAAGTACATAACATATTTTTCTGTTTCTATTAAGTCAGAAACTGCTCTTCTAGCCTTCACTAGACATAAGAGATAGGGTTAGGAAGAAATTACGTCGATTTTGTAGTTCGGATGGAATCAAAGATGAGACGTTAATCTAGAGAATTATATCTACGTGAGATATGCGGATCAACGAAGGCTTTAAAGCTTTATTTCTATATTAAAACCCTTAACCTCGTAACAATATGAATTTTTTACTAAGAAAATGCAAAATGATGAATTTGTTTTCAGTAACTCATAACCATGATGTTACATGTCAACTAATTTTCCAGAATAAGTTTAGCCGTCAAACCACTGGATTCTCTAATAATTTACTAAAAAATGTTATCTTATAAAAAAATGGAAGTGAAAATGTTTCGTGTGAGAATCAAACCATAAAAAAACGAATGATATTGCCATGCATGTTCTCCAATCTCTTGCTACTAGGCCATAATTTTTTATTTTGAATATTTAACTTATGGCGCAGTTAACTAATGAATTTAATCATTTCAATTTGTCAAACCAATATTTTTTAATAATGCAACATCATTCATTATTTATTATTTTAAGGACGGCGAGTTTTGAGCTGGTATATTTTAATCGAAAAAGTAGAGCTGTGGATATTAGGCGATTTCATCAAAAGTCATATATATGACCAACTCTTTTTTCTTTTCTCCATTAGCACATTCTTGTATTTAATGAGTTTGGACTTCTGCATCCACACACCCCAATTTTGCAGCTCATCATCCGGACTGGATTCTGAAGTTAGAAATTGAACATTATTTGATTTTGAACATCCAGTTGCATAAATCAGCATCATGGTTAGTACTATTTCACATGCCATATGGTCACTCATATGGACCATTACATTTATACACTCTCAAATAATTTAGTTTTATCAAAAGACATCTCTTACATGAATCGATTTATGCTCTTGACTAACGTGATGAAATTACAAAATTAACGTGACTCCCTTACCAAGAGTCAGGTCCAACCTTATCTCAGTCATTCCCACGTGACTCATGATCTCCACATAAAGAAGAGGATATTGCGCTAATGAGCCTTGACTTATTGTTACAACTATAAATCAATGATAAAGCATAATTCCTTTTTATAATGATTAATTGTCAATAATTAACCAATCAGATTTAAATCATGATTGGATTCGACTGCGCTACAAAATTTTGACAGATGGTCACGGATATAGCTGAATCGTTTGCTAGCTAACGCATATCTACCACATCTCTCTTTCCACAGATAACCAGAACACTGTAGGTTGCTATATTTAGAATAAGGCTAAGTTGCTATAAATCATACAAATCCATACAAATGCCGACTTGGAGTCTCGTAAGCTGTGTTGTATTGTATACATCTGTTCGTGTGATAACTCGAGATTCTCGTGGTTTTGGCTGGATCCATGTCTATTGATAAATGAATTAATAAGAATAATGTGGATAATCTCCACCGTAATAAATTGCTAAAGATCAAAAAGCAAAATATGAACTTTTTAAGTTTTATCGTTTACTCCAGTGTGTGTGGATAAGTTTAGAAGTAGAAAATTGGAACTTTGTATCCTTTGTAAAAAGTAGTTGAGTTTCCTTTTTTTTCTTATGCCAGCTCACGTAAAATTATATAAAAACATATAAGATAGATCCACTACTACATTTTAGTATAGGTTACATTCATATTTCTATCTAAAAAATGTAAAAAAAACAAAAAAAACCGAACAAAATTAAAGATGCTAGTTGGTCCTACAAATTCTTAATAAACCAGCGTATTTAAATCGTACTGGGAGTGGGATTCGTTATGTGAGAGACAGATTTTTAAATGAAGTTTCTTATCTTTTTCTTTTTTTTGTTAAAATGAAGTTTCTTATCTTTGTAAGTTGAATATAAAGGACAAGATAAACATAAGTTCAGAAAAAGATAAACATAAATGTATATACATTACTCATTCTGTTTCTTAAGTACAATTTTAAAGGTTTTTTCACACTTTTTGAAAAAAAAATTCCCATCATAAATGTATAATTCTTTTTGAATTAAACAATTTTGACTTTAAATCTATGGTATCCCAAAATACATAATTCTTGTTAATACATATATTTAAAATCTGCATTTTCTCAATATTTATAAATAAAAAAGTGCATAGCAAAAGGAAAATCTATAAAATTTATCTCTATAAAACAAATAAAAAAACTAGAAAATTATATTTTTATTGTTAAAACTAAAAAATTCATCTCTAGAAAAAAAATGGAGAAGATATTACATACGTCATGTATATTAAAAATATTATAATCGGACTGAAAAGTCACTTAAAGTCCAACACATATGTTTACTCATAGGACACGGGTTCGATCGATATCACTCCATGCAGCAGCCATCATTGACTCTCCGCGACTCTAGGTTCGTGTTACCAAATTAAAATATTAATTGCATTTGATTTTTTTTTTATATGATCCGACTAATAATCCACTTATAAGTTATAACAACGAACGTAACATTAGAAAAGGGGAAGTGTGTTACAACAAAAATTCATGGACCGCAAATGCTTATAGTTCACAAAGCCCATTCAGTTGCAAGCTTTGAGTTTTTGTGTGTTCTTTTTCCATATTTTCATTTTAATATAATCTTTATCTTTTTATTATTAATTGAGAAATACATTCTAATGTTTGGATACAAAAATAGGAAAGAAAAACTGTTTGAATACAAGAATAAGAGAAAAAAATTGTTTGGATACAAGAATAATAATTTAAAACAAATCGATGATTAAGAAAACAAAAAAACCCGACCCAAATTGCTTGGGTAACAAATGTAAAATTACACAATAACTTAAAATAAACCAAATGATGGTTCAATGAAACCAGAAATCGAATATGTTAATTGATTGGTTCACATGCTCCCTCATAGGCTTGTAGGTGATTGGGTCGGGTTTGGATAGGTACCAATCAAAGTTCAGGTCTATCGAGTAGTCGATTTTTGTATTCATATAATACCGAATGAAGTTTGGTTTGGTATGGTCGGGTCCATTCAAATTTGGGTATGTTCGGTCCAAATCGAAAACTAAATTTGTTTTTTCAGGCAGACTTTGTTGTTGCATACCCGGACGAGTTCATCACTTCAGTCAATGGCACTCACAATTTCGATACTAAACTCAACACAAGCTTTGTGTTAAGCCTCACATTTCTCACATCCTATGAGAGATAATAATGGTTGGGCCTAGGGACACTAACAAGCACTCCATTTGTCTTGGAGTCTCAAAGAGGAAAGATGGAGGAGCTTCTTAGGTTTGTTGGAACCTCAGGAGAAAGGATCAACTCCTTAGGAGCTCGGTTTGGATTGACATCATTGGCTGCCAAAAGGAGATGTACAACCTCAGAGATGCAACCTGCTATAGTTGGTGTCAATGGATTCTACTTTGATGATGGAACTCAGTTTTGCTTGGAAAAGGACTCCTCCAATGCCAAAACATTGTGGGATTTTGTTTGGATTTCAGTTGCTTTTATGTTTTTCCAAACTCTGTAACTCTCAGGAATACCTATCTCTCTCAGATTATGTTAGTAATTTAAAATTTCTGGTGCGAGAATAGTGCATGTGAAAAGTGTCATAGAAGACATCACTTATATGTGGATATTTGTTTATCAATTAACTCTTTCATCTACCAAATTGAATATACATGTATTAAGGAATGGACTTATAGTTCACAAAGCCCTTTCAGTTTCAGGCTTTGAGTTTTTTGTGTTTGTTCTTTTTCCGTATTTTTGTTTTAATGTCCTCATCATCCATTTGAGAGGAAGCAAAGGTTTTTTTCATCTTGATTTCAAACCATTATAACTTACTTCATCAATATATGAAAATTGTCAACAAAGCTCCAATGGCAATAATCATCAAATAACAGCATAAAACATTGAAAATGTTGTTACACATTTACCCAAAGCTTCATGCATGTTTGCATTTGATACTTTTCAAACAACAAAAATTAGAAAAAAACAGCCTCAAAATTATTAACAAAACATCTAAAACGGCTGCAAAGACAAAATTTTATAACATTGGATTTTGAATTATTCAAGCAACACTTTTGATTTCTGAAATCGAAAAGTCTACAAATAAATAAAAATTACAATTGTAGAGAAGGAAATAAACGTATCATCCATCATCATAACTTCATAAGCTTACATATAAACTCCTACCAGACCTTTTTCTTTACATTAAAAAGGTTTCCAAGAATCATGAATCAATCAAAGATAAGAAGACTTGAAACCGGTCATGTCAACATACGACTTCCGCAGTGACTTAAACCGGGTTTGAGCTACAAAACACAGCTAATTGACTAGTAAACCGGTCTTAAATTCAGACTTTAGACACGGTTTAGTTCTGGTACTACTATGACAGAAGCATCACAAGAAGAACCATAGATGACACAAAGATCACCAAACGTGTAACTCCTTCATTGTAGAGACCTGAGAGATAAAGAAAGAGAATACACATTTTAGATTTCACTAAAGAACTCAAGCAAGAACCAACGGAATGTGAAAAAAGCTTACTTGGTTGCGAGGAGGCCGCAGCTGGAAGAGCAGGGATTCTAACAGCTGCAGTATAAGGAATACAAAATAACCAAATGCAAGTTACAAAACAGAAGGAAAAGTCGAAAATCGAGAAGCTAGAGACGATAAACCACTTACGTTTTTTACAGGTAGAGGCAGAGGATTGAGTAGAAGAAGGCCATGGAGCTGGAATGTTGTCATTGAGGTCACAAGTAAAGCTTATCCCCGAGTCTTTGTCGAATATTGCATCCGATGGTAAGCTTGGTAACAGACAACCAGATTCTTTCAAACCAAAAAGACTCCAAGTTAACAAAACAGTTCTCAAGAACTTGACACAATCAATAATTTAAACGAAGAATCAAAGAAAGTAATTCACACCTTGGTTTCCAACTGTTTGAATGCATCATCAAGAACAGAAAATAAACCAAGAAAGGTTAAAGATTTATATTGAAATCCAAAGAATGATGAAAAGTTGAAGTGTAAATTTGTTGAAACCTTGAAGAGAGAAGTCCTTGAGACTTATATGACAAACGCTGAAGATGTTCTTAGTGATGTTTAGCTTCTGCAGCTTTATTCCAAGGCTAGTTGCGCAATCCAAAGCTTGCAAATTGGTTATGAGTGTCTGCTTCTGCAAGTGAGACACGTAACTCTCCATCGCACTGCAACAGCTCGTTTGGTTACTCAACTCGTTGCTGCAGTTATCACCAATGTGTCTCATATGCGGAAAGACAAGAGGACACACTGAAAACAAAACAGAAACAAGAAAATCTGAAATGTGAAATGTGCACTTAAGTGTTTGAAGCAGATTGAGTCTACTACTACTTTACCTGTGTTGATTTTGCAGTTTGCTAATCCTCTGAGAGTTTCTTTAGCTTGAGAAGGGTCGAGTTTAGTAGCGAGCCAACGGTGTACAATGTTCTTGCAATCGTTAATCCTCTCCGAGTTATCAGTTAAAGGCTCAGAAGCTTTGAGAGTTATGTTCGTAGCTGCGTCAAGTATAGCGTTTTGGCAAGCTTGTTCGCAGCATTCCTTCACAGGATCGACTTTCTCACAAGCCGAGAGAAGCTTTGAAGTATCCACAGTGGTTTCAAACTCTTCCACGTTGATCACAGGGCATGAAGAAGCAGTGAGGTTCGTCGAGTGAAGAGAACATATCCTCCCGAGCTGGCTCGAAGCGCCTTTGCCTACCAAGATCTGCTCTAAATCAGAGAGACAGTGCTTGGACTGAGTCCTGTTTAATGCAAGAAGACCTGTTTCTTTGCTCGCTTTGCCGAGGATTATCGTGAGAGAAGCGTCTAGCTGAGGACAACACATCACGTTGGCTAACAATGGAGCAAAGACAGTCCAGCAGTTGTGTGAAGTTGTTTGGATCAAACTCTCGGAAGCAGTGAAGTTTAGCGAGCAAAGCCCTGAAAGATTTTAGTGTACAGTTTCATACACATTAACATACCAAAGGCAATTACAGTAGAGGAATGTTAAGAACAAGAACAAACCTGATAGTTTTGGAATGGTGCTGTTTATGTATGGAACCATTGGAGAAGGTGCAATGAAAGGAAGGAATGGTTGTGGAGATGTGTCTGGTGATATCTTTGGTAAGAACTCCACTGGTTTCTCAGATGAACCTAAAACCAAATCATCACACATTTGTGTTGCTAAAGCTAAAATCTTTGTGAAGAATGGCAGTTTAAAAACCCTAATCTAAGTAACCTAAACAGGGAAGCTCATAAACCCCAGCTTAGTTCAACATTTCATCAGAAATTAGCTTAATTTCTTCAGAAAGAATGTAAATTTACAATGACCAATCACAATAAACATCTCTGAAGAATTGCAGAATCTATGAACCCTAATTTAGAAACCTAAACACTGTGAAGCATCTTAACCTCAACATTTCAACAGAAATTAGCTTAATTACTACAGAAAAAATGTAAATTTACAATGACCAATCAACATCTCTGAAGAGTTACAGACTCTATGAACCCTAATTTAGAAACCTAAACACTGTGAAGCATCTAAACCTCAGCAAAGTTCAACATTTCATCAGAAATTAGCTTAATTTTTACAGAAAGAATGTAAATTTACAATGACCAATATATAAACATCTATGAAGAATTACAGCATCTATGAACCATAATTTAGAAACCTAAACACTGTGAAGTATCTAAACCCCAGCAAAGTCGAACATTTTCACCAGAAATTAGCTTGATTTCTACAGAAAGAGTGTAAATTTACAATGACCAATCACAATAAACATCTCCGAAGAATTACAGAAACTATGAACCCTAATTTAGAAACCTAAACAGTGTGAAGCATCTAAACCCCAGCTAAACTCAATTTTACCAGAAATTAGCTTAATTTCTACAGAAATAGTGTAAATTTACAATGACCCATCACAATAAACAAGTGGATTGTTCCAAAACAAGCGACATCTGATTCGAATTAGCTTGGTTTCTCAGGCAAAAAGATGCGAACTTTCTATAAAAAAACAAGCACATCAAATAGAACAGTGAATCAAAACCCTTTATCCTTAAAACCCCCAATTCGAGAAAGAAATCAAAAACTTACATAGAGAGAACAGAAACATGAATTGAAGAGCCACGAAGAAACCTAGCTCGAATTCCGCTCTTCTCGTCATTTTCTCCTCAAAAAAAAAAAGAGTAAAAAAAAAAACTGAACAGAGAAAGAGAGAGAGAGACACTGAACGATGTTTGTGGTCTCTTTCAAAAGCTTTGGAGTTTGGACAACGGTGGACTTTTATAAGATTCTCTGTCTTTTTCCCACTACAGCAAAGTCCGAGAATCAATCAAGAGAGCGAAGAAGAGAAAGACGTTTCTCAGACACAAAAATCTTGGTAGAGAAGATAGACACAAAAACAAACAAAGTAGGAGAAACTCAGAAACAGCTGTCTTCGTCTTCACAGAGAGGAGAGAGAGAGACCCCACCAAGTAATGAACACAGTCTGTTGTGGAAGAAGAGAAGAGAGAGCGCTTGAGAGCATTTATTACTCTCTCCATTAAATTCCCACCTTTTTCTCTCTCTCTCTCTTTACATAACCGGAAATTAAATGATAAACCGGAATCTTAACCATCGAATTGGAGAATTGGTTTGATGATTAAAATGATTAACCGGATTTGTTACTACTATAAATAAACAAGACCGAACCAATTCGGAACTGTTATTAAACATTTTGGTTTAAGCCGGTCCAATTTTTTTTTTTTTTTTTTTCTTTTTGTGGTGAACGTATTGGGATCGCATTTATAACTTCGTGACTTGGGACATGAAAAATATGTGAATGTATATTATGGATATTATTGTGGTGGTATTTATGTCAACTAGATATATTGTTATACTTATTTGAGTCCACATTTAAAAAAAAAAAACAAAAAACAAATTGTTGACAGCCCATAATTTTAAAGTTTTTTGGTCCATAAATCTTAAAGATCGATTCTACAAAGTGCAAACATGAATTGATGGAAATTTTTCGTATTAATTTCGGAGTCCACATGTATAAAAGAATCATCGGCAAAAGTCATACACTAACATTACTAGGTCTAGTTTACAAGCCTAATCAAAGTCAACTTTTTAAGTGGGAAAAGTTTACTAAAAAATAAAGAAAAGCCTTAAGAATCGGTAAATTACAATTTACAAATTGCTTTCTTTAGCCATAAATAACCTGTTTGTTTATTGAAATTTCACTTTTCCGAGAGTTTCGTCGTGCTGAAGAAATGGAACACTAATGGCACGTGACTCTGCTTAAGGCGTAGGGTACGGTAGACTTAGTGATCGGAACCGTGCTTGCTGCTCCCGGAGGTATGAAGCAATTGAGATCGTAAATTGGGCCTGATGGATGCAGAGCGTAACGGGCTTACAAGGCCCACATTTCAGTAACCAATAAAGCAAAGAGTATTTTTGAGACAGATGAAGAATGATGACCCTAATTCAATTTGAAAACATGCATATAGATTCGATGTTCTCTTGGTCTTGTCTTCCAATGCTAATGGTTGGAGTTATACTGAAATTTTCAAAATAATAATAATCTAATGAATCATTGTACTATTTAGTTTTGTCTTCTAGAATGATTGGGTTTTGTTATGGCAGTTGAGATTCTGATTCTTTTTCAGACATACATAGACATAGACATGTATGGTTGTGAGTGAGCTATGATCTTGTCATCCTTTTTCTATATATTTTTTTTTGTCATATCCTTTTTTCAGGAGTATTTTCGTTTCACCTATGTTAAAATGTTAAAATTTACTGTCACAACAAAATTCACCGTAACCAATGCTAGCTCTTGCGATCAGTATAACCACCATATTTAATGTTTTCACGATGGAGTCGATCGACCAAACTTCCAATTTTGTTGGATGTCGTTCTAATAATATAGTGGAGGACTCTTTATTAGATAATTAAACTATTTGTTTTGGATTTTTCTCATAAATATATATAGTTTGTAATCACAAACTTCGTTTGTTTTATGGTTGGATAATGATCGATGGAATCTACAGATCCAAATTTGGCCGGCCTTACGGCTTTGCACATGGCCAATAATTTTGTTCTCTTTACATTTCTTTAAAATCAATAAATATTATTCGTAATAGTACTTGTATGCCGCTTATGTTTAGTGATAAAAATAAATATTAGATAACAATACTTTAACTTTAGTCTCGTCTAAACAATGATATTCAAATGTATATGGAAGTATGAACACTACAAGAAAACATAACGGTTTCCTACGAACATAATCGTTAAAACATTGTAGGAAACAGTGATTTCTTACCGATTTCCTACGAAATTGAGTCGTAGGGTTTCTTCCGTAGGAAAATCGAAAACGGTAGGAAAATCGTAATAAATTGCCTGTTTTCCTACGAAATTTATCGAAGGAAATTTCGTAAGGAAAACGCCGTAGGTAATTCGTAGGAAAATCGTAGTAACATGCTAACCAATTTCCTACGAAAATATTCGTAGATAAGAGATTCTCTACCACTTACCTACCAATATAATCAACCTTTTACCTACGATTTAACTTGGAGATATTTTCTACTATTATCCTACAAAAATGTTTCTTACCAATTTCCTACGAGTTTAATTAAAAATCAAATGACCAATATTCAAAAATAAATTAGTACAAAATTTTAAATTGAAATTAATTAGTAGAAAATAATTATAAGTTTAAATAACATTAAACATAAGCCAAATATTTTACATTACAAAATACCAAAAAAAAGATCTACATAGATTCTTTTTTTTTTAAGTTCTAGAAGCTTAATTAGTAGAAAAAGAAACACCTTAAATTCCCATAATCTATTCTTGAGTCTCTGATTCATCCTCCTCCATTGGAGATGACAAAGGAGACGGTGGACAAATGCCTAACTTATCAAGGAATAACTTGTTGCATTTTAAGAGAAATTTGATTTGATTATCTTTCTCAATTTGAATCTTCTTCAACGTCTTCACCTCCTCTCGCAGTTGCTCGTGATCTTATGGGCTGCATTAGAGTTGCATGGAAAAGACATGTGCATGTTATCCACTAACCTCTTCAACCCATGTCGACCTTGTTTATCATAGGTTGCTGAGATTATCTAACAATGTAAAAACAAAGTAAGGTAATATATATTAATTGGAAACTTAATGATTTGAGTCAAACATTGAGGAAAATTAACTTACTCTAACAACAACAGCATTAAACTCCGCTTGTGTCATGGGGCCTTCTCCTTGACTCTGCCGTTGAGAAGCAATCTGGTTTACCTGAGACCTAACTGTCTCAGTAATCTGTACCACTTTCTTGTCCTTTACACCTGTCTTTTTATTTGTGTGCATGAGTTCAATGAGTTTAAGCATATCAGGCTCGTTCCCTCCAGCTTCGTCCCTCTGCCAAGCATTTAAACAAAAATAATAAGCAAAGAGATATCAATTTGATACAACAAATAAAATAGTAGAGTACAATTATACCAATTCATCCCATAGACGTTCTGTGGTTTTAGCTCCGTTGTTGTGTATTGATTGGCCTAAACCGTCTCTCGGGCTTTTTCGGTTTCTCGAGTTTGTGGCTGCTGTCTTTGCCACTTTCTCAGTCCCCCACATTTTCCTGTAACCGTCAAAGAGAGTTTTCTTCGCTTTCATCCACTCTGGTAAGTCATCAGGTGCTTTTGCTTTGATTTTTCTCTTCCACATAGACAAGTTTGATTTGAAAGATGCAACGGCCTGCGTTGTGTAATCATTTCTGACCATTTCGGTAATGCTTGGGTCCCAATTGAACTCTTGCTGGATAAGAAACTAACTGTAATTAGATACTTTAACTACAAAGAATCACCTTAGTTAAATATTTTAAAATGAATCACAATTACCGCAAATGCTTGAAACCACCAATTCTTAACCTCCATTGGGAGACTATTATATGTAGGATAAGGGTGAGGAATATCAGATTTAAGCATTTTCAACAACTGCTTTACAATCCTCCCCGTCTTATCACGTCTGAACCTACAACCGAAATGCAATGCAATGTACTCTTTTTTGGTAAGCATCACAATATCTGAAAGGGTTAAAGAAATTTTGTTAACTTTACCAAATATCTTTTCCAACGCAGTCTGGATGGAGTCTCCGCATGTTAGTGCGACCAGGAGCTTGCAAGATATGGTCCACCGAACATAATGTCTCCACAGTCGATTCTTCAGCCTCGAGACCATCTGTATTGGATGGTCCATCATCCCTACTACTACGACTGCCATGGTTGTGTTGAGGAAGTGGTTGAGATATACACCGTGCTAAGTCATCAATGGTGAAGTTTGGTGTAGAGCTTTCATATCCGTGCCTTTCTTGAGACATGAAGCGGTCAAAATCTTCACGAGTAATGGTATCCTACAACGAAAAAAGGTTACATGTTACTTTTTAATTAACAATGAATTAGCTTTCATAAGTATAATAATCTAATCAGGAATATTTATATATACACACATATATATAAATATATTTTTCTAAGTAACAAACAAACTTTCATAACAAATTAAAGTAGCAAAGAAACAAACAAGCACGTGTGAAGACAAAATTTTAGAATTTTCTAAGCAAAGAGATAGTGCAAAAACACATTTTCCAAGGAATCTAGAAACAAACAAGATAGAAATATTCAGAAACCGAATCCAGAATATAAAATAACATTAAATAAGAGGTTCGAGACAAGAAATCAGAAACCGAATCCAGAGAGTAATAACTTATCTAACCTAGAAACAGTTTTCATTTCTAACGACTTTGAGTGACCTGAATAACAAATCTACAAACACAAAATATAAGAGATAAGTTGTTACTGTACCTGGAAAACGGGGGGCAATGGTGGAGAGAACTGCTGGGTAGAACTCCTCGGATATGAAGACATGAGATTTCGCCGTGAAGTCAAATTTCGAGATGATTCGTTCGTCGCCATCTAATTTCGTCAAGGAAGAGAGAAAGAAAGAGATACGGCGGAGAAGCTGAATAGATTTAGGGTTAGTTATAATTAAATATTTAATTAATTAATTAAATAGTTAACAAGCCAAAAAATTAAAGGCCCAATCCAAACAAACGAAATTTGGGATACAAATGAGATTTTTCGTATCTTTCTCCTCTTAATGCTCTGTTATTGCTGCTCTGTTTCTTGTGAAATTCTGGGTTCTAACAGCGATGAACTTATTGAAACACAATCATCAAAATACCATCCAATTAAAAATAAAAAGGATTTTTTAGAAAATTTCAACAGCATACAATACAAAACTAATACAAATATATCTGATACATGTTGTAATTCATTAAATTAAAAAGGAATTATTACAAAGGTCTAGCACAAATCCTCAGAATCAGATGAGTATATTTCTGAAGGAGCAGAATCTGTACCATCTTCAAATTCTCCACTCTCTTCTTCTGAATCGTTGAATAAATCATTTGTTGCTTCTTCTCCTAAGTGTACCAAACTTGTCTCTTCCATTGATGGCTCAACATCACCTACGTTGTTAAGGTTACTCTGTTGCAAAGGTCCATTCTCTGTTACTCCATGTACTCTTCCCCTTGGGTTGATTTGTGTAACAATAAGCCAAGGGTCTCTTTTCCGTGTTACCCGGGGATATGGAATATAACACACTTGGTTTGCTTGGGATGCCAAAATGAAAGGATCATATTTGTTGAGTTTTCTTGAAGAGTTGGACGAACTCCTCCCCCGATGAATGGATTGTACCAATCACACATGAATAAGATGCATTTTAAGTTAATACCGCCAATGTACTCAACCTCCAAGATCTCTTTAAGCACACTGTAATATACCATATCACCAGCTGCCGTAGATATTCCAGAGTTCACCGTTTTGTTGCTAGTTCTCTCCTGAAATATCTTAAATGCAAACCCACGTGTGCAATACATCGGATAGCTTTGTGCAAGTGACAATGGACCAACGACCAACTCTTCTAACCAAGTCTCTAATGTGTAAACTTTCCTATTACATGTTTGGACCTGTTTTTTCTTCAAAAAATTAGTAACTAAAAACTTATTTAAGAAATGCAATTTGTAAATTACTATACTCACATAAAATCGCATCCAATGTGCAAACTCCTTTTGCTTATGCCTTCCAATTTCATCCTCACCATAATTAGGATAACGAGTCTTTAATTGGTCAACATACATTCTGCAAATTGACACTATTTAGTTGAATTTTGAAATAAAAAATTTAAAAAAATGAAACACATATAAAAAAATTCAATTATTATACCTTTCGTATGGTAATAATTCTTCGCAGTTAAGAAGAATGTAAGTATGTAAATGAGCTTGTTCTTCCTCTCTCAGCCACCGTTTCTTGGGTTTTCCACTTAATCGCCCTACTTGTGTAAAGATATCTGGTACAGGGGTGGAATAATTTGGTTTTTCTCCTCCATCATCATTACGACTCGGTTTTCTGCTTTTGGTTTGTACACGTGGGGCGAAGTAGTACGCAGAAAAATTAGATCTCTCTTCATTGAGGCTTTGAGCAACAATAGATCCTTCCACTCTGCTAAGATTTTTCACCTTCTTTTTCAAGTGAAACATAAATCTCTCGAATGGATACATCCACCTATATTGTACAGGGCCACCAAGTTCTGCTTCTCTAGGGAGATGAATTGCAAGATGCTCCATTATATCAAAAAATGATGGTGGAAATATCCTTTCAAGTTCACAGAGAAGAACCGGGATATTTTCAGACAGCTTTTGAATTCCATCTGCTGTAAATGATCGTGTGCATAAATCCCTAAAAAATGCACTTATTCCTGCATTTAAAAAGTAATTTTAATTAGATATAAGTTAATATAAGTAACTTATATATAAGTAATTTAATTATATAATTAAAAAATTTAGTGAAGTGATAATTACCTGCGATAGCTTCATGCACATGTTCTGGTAAAAGTTTAGCAAATGCGAATGGTAGCAAACGTTGCATAAACACATGACAATCATGACTCTTCATTCTAGATAATCTTCCTTCTCGGCTATCAACGCAGTTACGTAGGTTGGAAGCATAACCATCTGGAAATTTTACACTATGGATAATCCACTGGAAAAATTCAGTTTTCGCTTCTCCATCTAATCTAAAAGCGGGGAAGGGACTCTTTCCATTTGGTAAGACATGAAGAGCATTGCGGACACAGAAAAGAGGTAAGTCTAACCTTGACTTCAGATTATCTTTTGTCTTTCCTTGAACATTTAGAACTGCGTTCATGATGTTATCAAAAAAATTCTTCTCAATGTGCATCACATCGAGGTTGTGCCTCAACAAATGGTCTTTCCAATATGGCAAATCCCAAAAAATACTTCTCTTGTGCCAGTTGTGGTAGTCTCCATAACCATTCACCCGAGAATATCCATTCCCACCGCACTCTGCTGTCCTTTCAGCCCCAACATCTTCAAGTTCCTCCAATATATCTAAACCATCTACCTCGGGAGGAGGAGTGTCGTAGACAACTTTATTCTTCAAAAACCAACTTTCTTTGTAGCGATAAGGATGCGAGGCTGGCAAAAAGCGTCTATGACTGTCAAACCAACACGTCTTCTGTCCATGTTTTAACTGAAACGCATTTGTATCATCTTGACAATAAGGACATGATAACCTTCCATGCGTTGTCCATCCAGATAACATTCCATAGGCTGGAAAATCGCTAATGGTCCACATTAGCACTGCACGCATTACAAAGTTTTGTTGGCATGAGACATCAAAGGCTTGCACTCCATGATTCCATAACTCTTGCAACTCATGAATCAATGGCTGTAAAAACACATCAAGTGACCGCTTTGGGTGCTCCGGACCAGAAACAAGTACTGTGAGAAATAGAAACTCCCATTTCATGCACAAAGACGGAGGCAAATTGTAAGGGGTGACAATGACTGGCCACAATGAATACTGTCTACCATGCCTTCCAAATGGGTTGAAGCCATCTGTACTTAGCCCAAGATATACATTCCTGCTCTCAGATGCAAAAGACGGATAAACTGTTTGAAAATGTTTCCATGCCTCTGCGTCTGAGGGATGAGCGATTTCACCATCGCTTGAATGATCTTGATGCCATCTCATAGCCCTTGCAGTTCGTTCAGACTGATATAGCCTTTTCAACCTATCCGCTAATGGCAGATACCACATACGCTTAAACGCCACTCGAACTCTCCCTCCGGTGTTCTGAAACCGAGGCTTTCCGCAAAATCGACAAGCCAAGAATTTTGCGTCTTCTTTCCAGTAAATCATACAGTTGTCGATGCAAACGTCGATCATCTGATATGGCAAACCAAGACCAGAAACAAGCTTCTCAACCGCAGAAAATGTAGTTGGTGCCAAATTGTCTTCCGGTAAAATTTCATTGACAAAATCAGCAAAACCATCTACTAAATCCTCAGGCAAATTATAGTCAGTCTTGAAATTCATCAACCTTGTTGCAACGTACAAAGGAGAATGGCCTGGCTTACAACCTGCATATAGTGGTTGTTTCGATGCGTCTAACATAGTAAAAAATCTACTTGCTTCCAAATTTGGTTCCTCCACTCTATTTCCTTCTTCTGGGAACATATGACTATTCTCCATAAACGCATCATGAACCATCTGAACCGTACCTACGTTCTCTTCTACCATTCTAGGTTCCTCTAACCTTTCTACCATTCTAGGTTCCTCAAGCCTTTCTGCCATATACTCACTAGTACTACCCACATTCATGTAATCATTTTCTCCATGACAATACCACACTTTATAATTTGGCCTAAATCCTCGACTACTTAAATGATTCCACACCTTACTAACAGTGATGAATTTATTATTATCACATCTTGGACAAGGACAAAACAACTTACCACTTTGTAAGCATATGTCCTGATTTGTTGCGAATCGCATGAATTCGGTGAGTCCAACAGCGAAATCTTCATTATGACGTCCGGTACTTGAATCCCATCTATCGTTATACATCCATGATCGCCAATTGTCATCATTTGTGGACATTTTTGAAGATTTTTTCGTGTTTTCTTGGTTATATTTACCTTAGCAATTGTTTATGAGGTTTATATAGACTCAGTTTGGCTCACCAACGGCTATTTAACTTTTAAAGTTTTTCCTACACATTTCCTACCAATATCCTACCCATTTTCATAACGGATATATTTTAAACGGTCATAAATATTATTTATAGAATTCCTACGACTAACTAACGATTTTTCAATTATTTACTGATTTCCTACCACTTTTCAAATTTCATTTTCTACGATATTCTTTCGAATAATAGATAGAGATATTGCTGTAAGAATCTCGTAGGAAATTATTGATGACGTTTGTACGGTCGTAACGGTTATCTTGTCTTCACCAATTTCCTACGAATTGTTAACTACATTTCCTACCAAAATTATGTGCGTAAGAATGTGGTAGGAAATGGCTGACCGGTTTCTTACGACGTATTTTCGTAGGAAAGTTCCTACCAATTGTCGACCAACATTGTTTTGCGTAGTAATATCGTAGAAAAAGGGTAAAAAATCTTTCCTACAACACATTTTGTAGGAATGATCGTAGAAATACACCATGTTTTCTAGTGGAAACCATGTTCAGGAGAATGGTAAACCGTAACTCCGTAAGCATACTACACATTTAACATGTTCTTTAAAGTTTAGTATGATTTTTTTTCCTAGTTGTTAGGGTGAATTAATCAGTGCAAGTTAGAATTTAGAATTCATTATAAAAAAAAGCTAGTTTAAGTTGCAGATCATTAAAGGAACGATTCATTCATTTAGCTAAAATGGTGGGATTAGTGAGCTTCATTTAGCTAACGTTGTAAATTAATTAAGGATTCATGTTCGTTGCATTAAAGTACTTTAATATTGTGATATGGTGTTCTCTGTTCCCACTTAATATATTTAGACATTAAATTATTAAAGTGCATGTGAAAAATATATTCAATTATGTTCATAGGTCACTCATGATGATTTTGTTATCGACATTAAAATAAATAACATTCGTATATAAGTATATAACTATAGTAGGTCACATAAAACTTTTGTATAGAAGAGATGGTGTGTATCCTTTTATTAGTTGCACCCACCTTTGTACTTTAAACTACGACAAATAATGGATGGAATAAAGCAATACAAAATGGAGAAACTTCAGTATATATCCATGAAGTAAATAAAAGTTGAAAAAGAATCTTAGGTGGTTTTGTTTGAATACATATATACCTCTAAAACCATATATAACGATATATTCATCAACAAATAACCTAACTCAGTTGAAAAACAAAAGCTATTTATATTTTGTTAACAACAGCCACAATTTATATCTTTCTACATTTTTGGGAATTTATAGTGTATTCATCTCCTTCTATTGTTGTTTTCGTAAAATTCTGCATGAGCTATTAAGCTATACATCACCAATTCAGTTGTTTGGTACGTATAAAAACAAGGAAAATATAGTACAGGGCCATTTGCACTTACACGCCTATCTATATCGAATGCGTCTATTAGTGAATATTGAATATACAACTACCGTGCGTCTATATCGAAAGCAAACTATAAATTTGTATATCTACAATTACATGTCACACGAATTCTAGTTTTATTTCATATACAACCAACTTATTATAATGCTACAAGCCTACAATTCCCTTGAGTTGGTGGGACTTATCATTGTGGGACATTGAGTGATAACAACACACTGACCGTTTCGTCTCACATAAAGACAAGTACTCTGACACCAACAATCACATTAAAAAGTACACACCCTTACATAGCAAAAAGTAAATATATAAATAAGAAAAATTAATTTTGTTTCTTACTTTTCAAACGTTCCCGTTGGATATGTGACCTTTTCGATTAATTTGTTCACGTCCAAAAGAAAAGTTTGAAATGCTTTTTTTTTTCTTAGCTTTAGCAGCAATTTTTCATCGGAGCTACTTAGAATATACTTCATAGTATTTTAACAGAAAACTTACTTAACTTTCAACAAAAAAAATACTTTATACTGTAGTAACTAAGTATATGGTTGTAAAATGATACCTTGCATAAAAAAATGATGTTGTATCATCCAAATAATTTAAGGTAATGTGGTTGACATAATTTAAGTTTATTTGCTAATACAAAATATATTCCTGTAGTTGAGTCTCTCCACACAGAATAAACATGTAATACATCTAATCTCGAATAGAAAAAAAGAATTATGCCATAATTTAACTCATTTTGCATTGATATGATCATATTGTTAGATCATATGTGTAAACTTTTGATTGTTCCTTCTGTGTTTGGTGAATAACGAGAATATTGGCAACAATCAATGGGTGACATCTTTCTCAAAAGAATGGGTGATATAATCAATGAAAATTATAAATAAATAATACTAATTGTATAAAGTTTGTAACTTCTGTTTACTAAACCTGTCTGATACTCTGTCTCTCATTCTCAGCCGTCCAATGTGAACACAGCGGACCCATTCTTTGTAGTTTGTAGTTTGTACTAAGTACGTCGCAGAATTTTACAAGTGGACTCTTGCTTTTGTTATTCAATCATCTCTCTATTAATACATAGTTGATAGTTACAAACGCTAATGATTATATATTTGTAACATTGTAACCTTATAACTTTTTCACCGTCAAAAGAATTTAAAATATAAATTATCATCATACAACATATAAGTTTATGTAGTTGGCTTTAAGTTTATAATATTCTCTTCATCAGAAATTTAGAACCTAATGAAGAAAAATAATAATATTCTAAGCATTACTTTTGACTCAATTGATTCTGTTTTATCTATAAAAAGGATATTGGAATATATTTCTTAGCAGAAACAAATGAACTAATGGACTTAAACTAAAAAAACAATGGACCAATATATTAGTTATAGACTTATAGCTAAATAGAATTTGACATGTTAACATGGATTCTTCCGTAGCTTATAAATTAAAGGTGACATTACAAACCATACAAACACGTGAAAGTAGTGTTTAGACTTTAGACGATGATAAAACAAAAAACAAAAATCGTGTTTCGAATCTATTGTACTTAAATTAAGAAATTGTACTAGCATCATAGTAATAATTAACATAATGACCCATTCAGATTGATTTTACAATCTTTGATGTGAGAAAAAATGCTCGTGACCTAGGTTTTTTTTATCTTTTTACCAAAAGTGTTCAACTTTTTCCCCATTTTGGCAAGTTGATAAAAATTGTCTTCTGGAAAGTTCTGTGTGACGAACACGCGCCGACGAAGAGCGCGTCACGTGGCCAAGCTTAGTTTCCAACAGCGAATTCAATTTGTTTTTGCTCTCTTTTAATTTCCCCAACAAAATTTGTGCTATCTTTAAACTATTACGTGTGAGTTATGTAGCGCTTATGAGTTACGACTGGAACTTTTATAATATCCACACATTTTCAGACGAAAATATATATCGAAAATTTAGTTTCTATTTGGTGAATTTTGACAAATTTGCGATGAGTCCTCACCGTTTTTATTATGTTATGAAAGGTCCTTCACCTTCGTATCAAGGTAACATATTCCTCAATGATTTGACAAAAATTCAAAACAGATGGTCGAAATTAAACTTAGCTTTTATAAGATGACCGAATATTAAGGACATTATTGAACAACATATTCCTCCAAACGTACTCACTTTGTATCATTGGTAACGTTTAAAGTATTTTCCACACACACACAAAAATATTACTCTCTTCGTTTCAAATTAGTTGTCGTTTTGACAAAATGTATCTGCAAATATTTGGACGTATCTAGACATGTTTTGCATTGCAGATACGTCCAAATATTTGCAGATACATTTTGCCAAAACGACAACTAATTTGAAACGGAGAGAGTATATATCATTTACTTAAAGACCAATCAACAACAACAAATAAAATAGATTACAAAAGGTAAATAGTTATCACAAAACTAAAATTAATTAATTTTATATTAAAATTTGAAAACACTTAAAGCCCAATAAATTTGAAATAATTTATCTAACATTATAAAAAATCAAACTATTATATTTCAACTATATTATCGGTCAATGTTGAATTTCGACTTTTGATTCGATCCACAATAAAAGTCCAATATACAAAATCCAATCGGGCTAAACAAAATTATAAATTGTCACAATAATCGTCAAAACATATAAAAGCCCAAATAAACAAAATCCATATTCTTGACCTATTACGCATTATTAAAATTGTGAACTTTTAAATATAACGAACGTAAAGATCAAAATTAAGTAATAATAAATCTAATGAATATCAAATCCTACTAAGAAATAATATATGAAAACAATTTTTTAAAAAGCTCTGCAATGATATATAAAATTTTATCCACTAATGATATTATACAATTTTTTTTTTGTCAAACTATAAAATTATTTTATGTAGAATTTTATCATATTCCAACAAATTTAGTCAAAACAACAATCATCACAATTACTATTTATTCTTTCTGATATTTTAACATGATATTTTTGATCATTATAACAAAAATAATGTCTCCAATCTCACTCAACCATACTACTCTGAAATATCAAATTTCGGATCCAGATTGTTTATTTTCTGGATGTGGTTGTATGATCACCCAAGATAATATTTTGTTTGAAATATATAAGAAAAGACGAATCGAATTTTGGTTCCAAAATCTCTAGGACAAATGTAAGGGTGCCTTTTGTAAGAAATATAAAACACAAGTACCATATTTAACAATTTTTTCATTTCTTTCTATTGCACTCTTCTCTTCGCAGATGCTATAAATACTCCTTCATTTCCCTCTATCTGAACCTTATAGCAAAATCTCTAACATTTAACACCTGAATGAATAGTAGTAATTAAATTATAAGTAAGTAATTAATTTATTTTAATTAATCAGTGATTAGTTTATAAGTTTTACGGCTGTGACGGAGTTGCATGGCAAGAGGTCGAAACCCAACGACGATGAACCGGAGCGATCGATACCTCGGAAGCTACAGCTACGGTGACAGTCACGATGCTTCCGTCACCGACGAATTGGAGCTCGCCGAAGAAGACATCTGGTCACCCGCCGTCATTCACAACACCGACACAGACGAATCCTACGGAGCGTGGAACTTACGCGCTACCTTGGGGAAAACCGGGCGCGTGGGTGGGTTGTCACTGGCGTTCGAGGGATCCACTATCGCGCCGGCGTCGTCGCCGATGATCGTGAAGCAGATTCACGCCGGGGGAGACGAAGGAGGAGAAATCCGGCGGAATCTAGCTTCGTCGGCGCCGGTAAACGTGCCGGACTGGAGTAAGATCTACCGAGTTGACTCAGTTGAGTCAATACACGAGCTGGACGATGACGACGACGACGAGGAAACCGGGATGATGCCGCCGCACGAGTATCTCGCGAAGAGTCAAGCACGACGGAGCAGGAAGACAGGAGGTGGAGGCGGCGGCGGCGCGTCGGTGTTTGAAGGCGTCGGAAGGACTCTCAAAGGCAGAGAGCTAAGGCGCGTTCGAGACGCGATTTGGAGCCAAACGGGGTTTTACGGCTAAGTCATAAAACGTTTTAGATTTCAACTAAAATTACTTGTTTTTGACAGTATAGAAGTAATTTTTGCAAGTTAATTTCTTTTTTTCCCGTTTTTATTATGAACGAGGCAAAAATTTCAAGTTCATGATCGTATGCTGCTGTTCTGTCTATAAGTATATTTAATTCGAAAATAATTGTTTCTTTTGTTAAACTTTAAAGCTGCAACCTCAGTTTTCTAATTAACAAAGTACAATTACGAGATTAAAGCTGAAATTTCTTAAATAAACTGTAGCGAAATGTAAAATTAGTGTTTTTGAAAAACAAAATAAAAGTATAAGCAAAACTTGTTAAAAAAGGAGAGAGGGAGCAAGTAAGTTATCTTATCCCCCACATTTAATTTATGTGATTGAGATCTGTAAGATTATGCTGTCATCACATGTGTTTAAAATACTTAAAGCGGTTCATAGGTTGGATTACTTGATAATGTTTGAGCACAAATTCTCTTTAGTTATAAGTAAATGTTAGATTATTAAATTGCTTTTCGGTTTAATTAATTTAGTTAATTGATATCATGTGAAAGGGAAGTCATATAATAACAAGAACGGATATGTCCTTGAAACATAATTTATGTCCACAGGTAAACTGTCCAAAGAACCCACTTCAAAGTGGGCACTCACGAGCAAAGAAGAAGACATTTATTTTAGTTTAATTTGTCTTTTTATCAGAAACAATCATGATGGTGAATCAATGGCGTAGTATTGATATAGCTTCTTTCAAAACAAAAAAACTTGAGTGGATCATTAATCAAATAATTTTTAATTGTTAGTATACTGTCATTACTAAAATGTTTAATTAAATTTCAAGCAGTGACAGAGTCCTAATTAGACTCCTAACGACTGTGGTTCCACATGTTACCTCTCTTCCATAAAATTCCATTTAAACCCATAACTGCTGTTCAAATTAAACAAGGTAATGATTGTGCTTCCACATTAGCTATTGTAGAAGTTTTAGCAAACAATTCAGTTTCTTACAGATCTTGAAATAAGTTTGATTTCGGTTCAAAATCACCAAGTTATATTTGTATATAAATGATGAATGAATCAAAGATCTAAAAAGTAATATAAATGTGTACGTCTAAGAAGATTTAGATTGTCATCCATATTTGATGTAAAAAAAAATTCATGATACGTGACTAAGTGTACAACATAATTACATAATGTATTATGCTAGTAGAAAACTAAAAAAGTCAGAGGTAGTTTTTCTTTCATGATCAACATTGATAGAGTAAAGATTTCTGAAAATTATGTTTCTTTCATTTGTGCATTTTTGACAATTTTTCCTGATTTGAATATCTTTAAACATTGTAGTGAGATGCACATATATTAATAAGTTCAATAACAATATGGTTTGATTAGGACAAGACAACCAACATATTAGGAATATTCCAATTATCCCTGCAAATAAAAATAGAAAATTGACCTAAAGGCTAAAACTCAATAGCCACCAAATAAAAATGAACCTTTAATGTTCCAGTAACAAGATTATAAAAAAAAAGATTCTTGAATTTTTGTTAGGTAATAGGAGTTTTTTTTTTTGGGGTCCAAATATTTGTAACTCCCCCCCACATACACAAACCCACCCAACATTACTTTTGACTAAATGAGTTACATCACATGTATATGCAATGAAAAGTGGATACTTATGCTTATACACATAATGTATATAACTGTAGGTTGATGCCCCAAAACCATATCATACGGTCACTTCTACAAAAGTAGATTCGTCAATATTGTTATCTCAAGTTCCGAGTGATTGATCATTATCTCCTTAACCCTATTTCGATTTGTAATATGTATACGTTCGAGAGACAGTTTGTTAATAGTATATATGAATACATAAATCATAGTTTTTTCAATGATATACTCCTAACTCTCTTCATTAAACAATATTTTTGCGATCAGAACAAACAGAGTAATGGGGGTATAATAGTGATCAAAGAGAGTGACATAAGTTTGGAGAGTGTTATGTCAAAGCATATAATAGAGGCAAATTTGTCGCAAAAATGTGTTGGGTCACTTTGGTCCAATTCGTGCCTTTGCCTTTTTTCAAGTAAAGTCCCTTTGAAAATGAATTTTGGGAGTTCCCTTCATATGTGTCTTGTGGTCTCTTTACATCTTTCATATACTTATCCCAAAATCTATGCACCGTTCAATTCACTTTTTTTTTCCATTGCATAATATCTTAAATTTATTTTTGCCGACATGTTTCTATTAATAATATTTGATTGTATTGATCAGTAATCAATCACATCTTACATATTAGGGATGGACACGAGTTGTATACTCAGAAAAGTTCACAATACTTAGATCAGTTAATTATTCAGAATTTGTTAAATTTCCTGTATTTGATTATAGCTAGGATCCATACAAAAATTGTTCTTAATAACTGTTCCAGTTTGAACCTCTTTTTCTTAACAATTGTTCCTGTTCGTTGTTATATTCAGATTGTTTGTTTTGTTAAACGTAATCAGATATTTTAGTGTTTGATATGATTCTTCATATTAAACAAATTACGAGTTCATTGACTTGATGCTTTACAGGTATGCATTATCGAAGAACTTATATTACTTTTCAAAATTTTAATGCCTTGAAAAATCAGGGAATATGTCTATTTATTTATCTATTTACATACATATATAAATCTATGTTAAACAAGACGAATACGAAAACATGAAACATTATACTCTAGAATATTATCTTTACAAAGAGCCAATGGTGTCCAATAATCATATACTGTCACCTAATGTTTCAACAAAGCTTATGCTATATGCTCTAGTTTATTTCCCAATAGGTTATAGAAATTCATATTATTGTGTTTTTTTACGTTTTCTTAATAACAACTTGGTCTAGATAGTGTAAATTTCTATGAAACTAATTAATCAAATACATGAGGTTTGGTTGTACTCATGAGAAGGCAAATAAGATTTCAAATACAACGGGCTAAAAATCATGTGTTGTTTACTCAAAACTACGGCCACAATTTTTTTTTTCCGTTTTCAAATTGAGTTTGCGTTTCCCAAAAGTAAAGTAATGAAACAATTGAGGCTCACATAGTAAAGTAAAGTATTTGTAGTCGAAGGAGCTAAGTCAATCAATTTTTTTTTACAAATCTACATAACTAATAAGGCTTGGACACTTTCCAGCTAGGGACACGTGGCACATTTCTTTTTTTTTTCCTTCCAACTCCAAAACGACGTCGTTTTGCGCTTTAATTTTTTTTTTAATTTCCGTCTAACACCAAAACGACGTCATTTTTATACTCTCTGAGTGCCAGTCAAAACGACGTCGTTTTCTGCATGCCATTGTAAAAAAAAAGTTATATTGAAAATTAAAAGCACTACCTCGGCCCTTTCGACAGCGCCGGCGACGAATCCGTTCACCGCCACGAATTGCCTTTCACGGAGGACATGCCGAGATTGCAGATCCCGAATTTCTACTATGCTCTTGAGGATATTCTGTTTGAGGAGATCAAGAAGAAGGAAGGCGTGACTTGGTCCATACACAGACCCAACACCATCTTCGGATTATCTCCTTATAGCTTGATGAACATTGTTGGGACTCTCTGCGTCTACGCAGCCATCTGCAAGCACGAGGGGTCTCCTCTGCTTTTCCCGGGGAGCAAGAAGGCGTGGGAAGGTTTCACGACTGCCTCCGACGCGGATTTGGTAGCTGAGCAGCAGATTTGGGCTGCGGTTGATGAGTTCGCCAAGGATCAGGCGTTTAACTGCAACAACGCGGATATCTTCAAGTGGAAGCATCTGTGGAGGATTCTTGCTGAGCAGTTCGGGATCGAGGAGTATGGGTTCGAGGAAGGGAAGAATGTTGGGTTGGTGGAGATGATGAAAGGGAAAGAGAGAGTGTGGGAGGAGATGGTGAAGGAGAATGAGCTGCAGGAGAAGAAGCTTGAGGAGGTTGGTGTGCGGTGGTTTGCTGATGTTATACTTGGTGTTGATGGAATGATTGACAGTATGAACAAGAGCAAAGAACATGGCTTCCTTGGGTTTAGGAACTCCAACAACTCTTTTGTATCTTGGATTGACAAGTACAAGGCTTTCAAGATCGTTCCTTGATTCCAATCTTTCCTGGAAAACGTACTTGGATTGGATTGGATTGTTTCGTTTGTTTCTTCTTCGTTTCATGTTTATGTTTATTCCCAAATCTCTCTGTTCTTTGTTTCTTGCAAAAAAAAACATAAAAATAAATGCGGATTTGCTGTTTTCTTTATGTTGATGGGTTTTAGCTAAATGGGATTTAGGAAACAAACCAAAGGCAATTGCGAGGATGATATTAAGTTCGCTTGCTTGATTCATAGGTCTTAGGATTATGTACACAGTATAAATCAGTCAATCCACTCACACACAGAAATAATTAAGTGATTTTGCTTGCTTCAACTCCTTCAACCAAAAGGGCTGAATGAAAAGCCTAAACCATTGGGGGAAGATAACGAGTTATGTAGACACTACGCAACCCAAGCTGTGCAGTTTGTACTTTGAGAAACATATTTATATGCAAAAGAATAGATTCGTCGTTGCTTTCCCAAAGACCCTCCCTTCAAGCCTGGCTTGCTTAAACACTGCTTTCCCCTGAAACTATTTCTAAGACAAGTTAGCTTGCAGTTAGGAAAATGAATAGATAATTGCAGTTATTTCTAAATACTTTGGGATCCTCTATGTATTGAGCTATACATACAATATCTCATGTTTTGGTGTGTATACAGGTTTAGTACACGGTTAAAGAAGAAATGCAGTACAAGTCAAAAGCTATTTTTGGAGTGCGAATTGTTTATTCGTTTAGCTTCATTTGAGACACATGTTGTTAATCTCATAAACATAACGATGTTATCATAATGACGTTGTGTGTTTGTATTGTCATCGTATCTTGAATTTTGAGTTGAAACTTATAATTGGATTTGGTGGAGCAATGCAATGCATGCAAACTAAGCAAACTTTTAAAGGGCTCAATAACCACATGTTTGACTCAATAAATAAAACTCTATCAAAACCTCTTATTAAGATTGTACTTTCGTTACTTAATTGTTACATCTTATGCATTTCGACTTAGAGATATTATTTCTTATCAACAAGGGTAATGAACTTCTCACTTTTTTCTTCAAATCCAGATTGAATCGGACACCATTGGACACCATTCTTTATTTTAAAGATAGACAGAAATTTTCTTAAAAATCTATAGCTCTTCACAAAGGAAGCTTAAGCAAAGATTGTTATTGTTCTCAAGGTATTGTTTTCTAATGCATTTGTTTCTCATGTTGGATGGGTTTGAATAAAAAGATGCCTAACCATTTTTTTATTTTCTCTGTTTCTTCAGTTTGTTTCTTTTGTTAATAGACACTTTAAAGACTCTCCATTTGAAGTTTATAATTTGTTTATGCAGCAAGTAATATCTTCCCACTGTTGGCAAGATCTCGAATATACAACCTAAATTATACAATTATTTTCCTTCCAACAGTCCGGTGCCAAGAATGGTTTTCAAAAACTTTGATTAGATATACAATGAACCTGGAGAAGCAAATGTGGTTGAGTTAACCTTTTTTTTTTAACATCGGTAGAGTTAAGCTTATATGTACTGTAAAACCTTATTTGGCATGAACTATATTAATTTGTATAACAGAGAGTCACAGACGATGTCCAAAATGTGAAAGAACAAAAACAAGTAAACAAAATACTATCGAAAATTTAAACCCGCGCGTAGAGCGGGTTCTCTCCTAGTATATATTGAAAACTCTCTTTGTAAAAGAAGTTACCGAAACATAAAAGAGTACTGATAAAAGTTTTAATTTTTGTACTGTATAAAATTACATATAATGAAGATGGAGTTACTTTTGTTTGTCAGCCATTTTTTTTCTGTTAATGAAATCGGCATTTATAACATGCCTGCCACTTAAAAAGCCCACCAAATTGTTAGTTTTGCTACTAAACATTTGAGTATAAAATGTACAGTATGTCTTTTGTATTTGTGTACATGGAAAATGTCAAAGATACAACCCCAATAGCTGTAACAAAATTTTGCTAATTAAAAGAACAACATTCCCTCCAACACTAAATTTTAAATGACACAACTATAATAAAATGATGCAAGTTGTTGATATATATATATATATATTTCCCATTTGACTTTTTAAAAGAACTATTTAGCAAAAATGTGTAAGTCATAAAACATATTCACTAACGTGCTTAAGTGTCGTTATGAAATCGAAGAAGTACCTTGCACACATCAAATCTCTTAACACTTCCAAGGCTAAATCCGAAAAATTCTTTCTTCAATACCAAAACAAGAAAACAAGATGGGATGTCTCTGCATCAATCTGAAGAAGAAGCTCAAGAAACCAAAACAAGACAACAATGTCGAGCAAACCAGAGAGTTACAGAACAAAGAAACAGCACACACGCAACAACCTCGTCAGAGACAAACAGCTCCAAGAGCCAAGTTCCAGATCGTGTTGCCACCTCAGAAACTCCCACTTCCACTTCCCGCTCCTCAGCCTCAAGAACAACAAAAGCTAATCAATAATCCAAAACAGAACAGCTTGCAAGAACCAGAACCGATCTTAGGGAAACCATTTGAAGACGTGAAGGAGAAGTACAGTCTTGGTCGTGAGTTAGGTCGTGGCCAATTCGGTATAACGTATTTATGTACAGAGATCTCATCAGGCAAGAACTACGCTTGTAAATCAATCTTGAAGAGAAAACTCATCAGAACTCAGGCAAGAATCTAACAAACACACATTTGTTTTTTATTAATTCGTTTTCAATTCTTAATTTGATGAAGTTTTGGATTATTAAATGTGACAGGACAGAGAAGATGTAAGAAGGGAGATACAGATAATGCAGTATCTTTCAGGACAACCTAACATTGTGGAGATCAAAGGAGCTTATGAAGACAGACAAAGTGTTCATCTTGTAATGGAGCTTTGCGAAGGCGGCGAGCTCTTTGATAAGATTACTAAAAGAGGTCATTACTCAGAGAAAGCAGCCGCAGAGATCATCAGATGTGTGGTTAAAGCTGTACAGATTTGTCATTTCATGGGTGTGATTCATCGCGATCTTAAACCCGAAAACTTCTTGTTATCTGGTAAAGATGAAGCTTCCTCAATGCTCAAGGCTACTGATTTTGGCGTCTCTGTTTTCATAGAAGAAGGTATACAATACAACCAAAAACAAGAAAGGTTCTTATTATAAAGAGATAAAACTGGTTTCTTGCAGCCTAAGAAACGATCTTTATACTGTTTCTTGCAATTCAAGAAAGTTGTATACTAATTCTTGATTTTCAAGAAACTTGTATAAGCCACTTTCTTATTATACTTCTGTCTGATTTTCGAATGTTTTGGTTTAAAAATAATCTAAAACGTAGAACACAAGAAACATTCTTGAATTCAATTACTCAACCTATCTAGCTTTTTCAGGGAAAGTGTACGAAGACATTGTAGGAAGTGCATATTATGTTGCACCGGAGGTTTTGAAGAGAAACTACGGCAAAGCAATCGATATTTGGAGCGCCGGAGTTATTCTCTACATCCTTCTCTGTGGCATTCCTCCGTTTTGGGCTGGTAAACTTAAACCGGATGATCACTTGGTTTTAGAAATGTAATGTTTCCGGTTAACTGATTCTTGCATTATGGTTTTTGCATGCAGAGACTGATAAGGGAATATTTGAGGAAATTCTGAGAGGAGAGATTGATTTTAAGTCGGATCCTTGGCCGTCGATTTCAGAAAGTGCTAAAGATTTGGTGAGGAACATGTTGAAATATGACCCCAAGAAACGGTTTACTGCGGCTCAAGTCTTAGGTACATGTTTACTAGTAATACTTGGTTTGTTTCGGTTAAATGTATTGAACCGGTTTTGGTTTTTTTCTTTAGAGCATCCGTGGATACGAGAAGATGGAGAAGCTTCTGATAAGCCGATTGATAGTGCGGTTTTGTCACGGATGAAGCAACTCCGAGCTATGAACAAGCTTAAGAAGCTTGCACTGAAAGTAATTATACTTTAGGGTTTGGTTTATTGGTGAAATTAGATTGGTTTGATTCATTGGTTTTAAAATGGTTTGGTTCGGTTTCAGTTTATTGCGCAAAATCTAAAAGAAGAGGAGCTAAAGGGTCTCAAGACGATGTTCACGAACATAGATACCGATAAGAGCGGTACAATCACGTACGAGGAATTGAAAACCGGATTGGAAAAACTCGGTTCAAGGTTAACCGAAACCGAAGTTAAGCAGCTCTTGGAAGATGTAAGATAGTTTCTGTCTTTTTGCCACTTTACATTGACCGGTTTTGATTAATTTGGTTAATGTTCTTGGTTTAGGCTGATGTCGATGGGAATGGTACGATCGATTATATTGAGTTTATCTCGGCTACGATGAATCGGTACAGAGTCGAAAGAGAGGAAAATTTGTTCAAAGCTTTTCAACATTTCGATAAAGATAATAGCGGGTATGGTTAAAAAACCGATCGGTGCTAAATTGATAAACCAAGATTAACCGGATCAGTAACCAAATCATTTTTTGTTTGTAGGTCTATTACGATGCATGAATTAGAAACAACAATGAAAGAGTATAACATGGATGAGGCCATGATTAAGGAGATTATATCAGAAGTTGATGCTGATAATGTAAGTGTTATATATTGTAGTTAAAACTAGGAAATATTAATTTATTTTGTTTAACTTAATTAGTATTTAAAATTTTATAATTCATTTGTTTTTGACTTTTGTTTTTGAAAAGGATGGAAGTATTAATTATCAAGAGTTTTGCAACATGATGAAGAGCTGCTCTACTAAATCACATCAATTGAATTTGGCTAAATCAAATTGATGACCAAGGAGACTCGGTATTATTGTTTTTTTGTTCTGATATTTATTTATCTTAGGAGGTGTTATTGGATGTTGTATTTGAAATGAACTGAAATAGGTTTTATAATTCATTAGATTTTAAAAATTTGTGTTATTTTAAAAATCCATTTCAGTTGATTCTAAAATCTCTGCAATATCTCATGGATTATGTTTTTTATAATTTACTCATACAAATCCATGGGAAGTCATTTCAAATGATTCAATAAACAAATGATTTTAAAAGTCATTTAATTTGGAATAACAGTGGATTTGAAATCTTGATTGAATAACACTGGATTTGAAACTCTATTAATGAAAAATTATAAATCATATATCAAATAACACTGGATTTTAAAACCGGATTTGAAATCTTGATTGAATAAGAGTGGATTGTAAATCTATTTCAGTTCATTTCAAATACCACATCCAATAACACCCTTCTGTTTATTTTAGTACATAAATTTCCAATGTATAATTGTACAAAATATATTTCATTCAGAAAGAAAAAATGTTCATAAATTATTTGTTTAAATCTCAAATTTCATTATTCGTTTTTTAAAACTCCTCTGTAAAGCAATTTCAGTTAAGCAAGTTTTAAGTCGAAGAACAATATTTGGGGGATTTAGGGTTTCGTCTTTCACTGTAATGTAGTACAAATTTTTGAGATTTATCATCGAATCGAGGCCAAGGCGATTCCTTTTTCTCGAATTGAATCAGATAGAAGTTTGCTAGTCGCATTGCGTTTGGTCATGTATTCTCTGATTCTCCATGGAAGAAGGTTGGTCCTCGAGTTGCAGAAATGTCGTCATTTGAGAGTTTCTTCAGTGAACCTTTGCGAAAATGGATCTCCTTTTTCCTATTCGTTCTCCTCTGCAAGTTCTGCTGCAGTTGCGACCCTTGAAGATGGTCGAAAGGAGAAGACTTTCACAGTCTCTTACCTCGTTGACTCTCTGGGTTTTACTAGGAAACTCGCAGAATCAATCTCAAGGAAAGTCAGCTCCGAGGGTAAGGGTGATCCTGATTCTGTTTTGAGTCTTCTTAAAGGTCATGGCTTTACAGATTCTCAGATCTCCGGCATCGTTAGGAATTACCCAAGATTGCTTATAGCAGATGCTGAGAAATCACTTGCTCCCAAGCTTCAGTTTTTGCAGTCAAGAGGAGCTTCAACCTCTGAGCTCACTGAGATTCTTACAAAAGTTCCAAAAATGTTGGGAATCAAAAAGGAAAAAGCTATCAGCGTTTACTATGATTTCGTCAAAGAGATTGTAGAAGCTGATAAGAGCTCAAAGTTTGAAACTTTATGTCATTCTTCTTTGCGATTGCGACAAGGTAGTGCACAGGAGAACAGAATCAGAAACGTATTGGTTTTGAGAGAATTAGGCGTGCCTGAGGTTGTTATTCTCCTTGCTCATCTGTGATCATCATCGTAATCTCTGCTGTGGGAAAGGAAGATTTGAAGAATCCCTCAAGAAGGTTGTTGAGATGGGTTTTGATCCAACAACCTCAAGGTTTATCGAAGCTCTACATGCGGTTTACCAATTGAGTGACAAAACAATACAAGAGAAGGTCAATGTGTATAAAGGTTTAGGCTTTGATGTGGGAGAGGTATGGGAGATGTTCAAAAAGTGGCCTTCCTTTCTGAATTTCTCGGAGAAGCATATAGTGAACTCCATGGAAACATTTCTAGGCCTCGGATTCAGCAGAGATGAGTTCACGAAGATGGTCAAGTGCCGTCCTTCGTGCATTGGATACTCTGCAGAGACGGTGAAGAAGAAGACTGAGTTTCTTGTGAAGAAGATGAATTGGCCACTAAAGTCTGTGGTTTCGCACCCTCCGGTACTTGGATACAGCATGGAGAAGAGGATTGTGCCAAGGTCTAACGTAATCAAAGCTCTCATGTCCAAAGGATTGCTCACAAGTGAACTCCCTTCGATGTCGAGGGTGTTTGCGATTACCGATCAAGCCTTCTTAAACAAGTACGTTAGAGATCACAATGACAAGGAGCTTGTGGCTGAATTGATGGCTATCTTCACCAGAGATCATGCTTCATAGATCACAAGATTTTCATGTCTTCAAGTTTCTTTGTTAATTTTTTTTAACATTTTAACAATATTCTAAAGATCAATGAAACAGTCTTTTATGTGATGCATCTAAATTTTGATTTCTTGTTCTTGAAAATTATGAAAACTCTATTTAAGCAAGCATGAAGAAGAGTCTATAACTTATAAAATCACATTGAGCTGTTGTAATAAGAACAAGATCACTGAGAAACAGTTAAACAATCAGCAAAATAAAACCGATTTGAGATTGTTGCCACAACACCAAACCACTCAAGACTCCCATAAATCTTTTCTCCAACTCTAACCAAGTCAAACAAAACACACTTCACCTCAGTATCAGCCTTGCCGCCACGCAAGAACACCGCAAGCTTCCCATCGTACCCGGTCATCGCAGTGCCAGCAGGATACTTGATGTCAAGCGTCTTCCCCACGTCACGGCTCAACACTCTTCTCCATATGTTAACCTTGGTGTCAAGCCACATGATCCCACGCTGCACAAAGTAAACATAGAGCACATCCTCCACCACACACATACAACCAATCCCATCGTCGTCTTGAACCTTCATCAACACTTCTTTCCGACCTGTTCTTGGATCGTACACAAAGAACATCCTCTCCTCCACCATGTAAATCTTTTTCTCCAATGTCACACTAAACGAAGTTGTTTTGCATCTCACTTTCTCCTCCCCTACGAATCCCCACTTTTCCGTTTTCGGGTTGAACACTTCCACTTTACTCTCTTCTTGACGCCCTCCCAAAACGTATATCTTGCCGTCGATCACACCAACTACAGGACGAGTTCTCGCGATCTTCATGCTTGGTCCTTGTGTTAACTCGCCAGAGCGAGTGTCGAGGATCCATACTTCCGTGGTGTACACGAAAGATCTTCCTATGAAGTAGATCTTTGATCCCACAGCGACGTTGGAAGAAGAACGCATCTCATCATGACAAGGGAACTGAGTTGGGAGCAATTGGTACATAACGGTCGTCTTCTTCCTCTTCTTATTCTTCTTCTTACTCCGACGTAGAGTGAACCAGTGAGAGCTCTCTTGGTAGTGGCAGGAGAAGTAAACGGTGTCCTTGGGGAGGAACGACCTCATGCGTTGGAGCTCAGGGGAGGTCACAAGCAACCTTAGGGTTTTGGAGACGCAAGAGACGTTCAAGAGATCGTTTCTCGGTATGTGGTTTAAACATCCCAAAACTATGTCTTTCGGCAACGTAGACCACTTCGTGTCGTTAGCCGCTTCTTGCGGTGGCTCTCCGGCGGCGTTGGAGGCGGCTGGAGTTGGAATTGGAATAGAAGTCATCGTAGATATTCTGTTTTCTAATTCTCTCCCTAAAAGGCTAAAACCTTTCATATATATATATAAGAAAAAAAATTGAAAAAAGGAAAGATCTTTTTAATACAAAATTAGTAAAATAAAAAATTTAGTAACCTAATGGGAATTGAAAGTTTGAAACCATAACCTAAAAATCCAAAAAGGAAAGATCTTTTCGCTACAAAATCATTAAAATAGAAAATTTCTCTATGCTCTGTTTCTACTTCCAAAACAGAGCAATCACATGATCATCACAAAGATCTTTACCATAATCTTCCAATGTCATAATGTAACTTAAAAACTAACAGAACAAAACTAACTGTTGTACGAGAGACGACCTCTGTTGAAGATAAAGATCAATTCAGGAATCAGCTGCTTGCCATCATGCTTCCTCACATACAAATTCAAGAACTTTTCATCACTACTCGTCAAAACAGAGGACAATGGAGGGAGTTCACTTCCATTTCCGAGCAATCCTTGTGACATGAGAGCTTTGATAACGCTACACCTCGGCACAATCCTCTTCTCCATGCTGTATCCAAGCACCTGAGGGATTGAAACAACAGCCTTTAGCGGCCAATTCATCTTCTTCACAAGAAACTCAGTCTTCTTCTTCACAGACTCTGAAGAATATCCAATGCACTGAGGAAAGCGCTTGACCATCGTCGAGAGCTCGTCTCTGCTGAATCCTAGAGCTAAGAACTCTTCAATGGAGTTGGTTACTTTCATCTCCGAGTATATCAGAATAGAAGGCCACTTCTTGAAAGCCGTCCACACATCCTCCACAGAAAAGCCTAACCTTTTGTAGATTTCGATCTTCCCTTCCGTCGTTTTGTCTGTGAAACCATAAACAAGTCGCAGAGCATTGACAAACTTCAACGAGGTTGGAGCAAAACCCATCCCAACAACCTTCTTGAGCGATTCTGCAAACTTCTCTTTCCCACATACAAGTTGGGAACCGGATGTGAGCATTGAGAACAAGAGCTTCTGAGGCATTCCCAATTCTCTCAAAGCTAATATGTTTCTGATTTTGTTCTCGTGTGTGTTACCCTGTGGCAAAGATGAAGGACATAACTTCTTGTACTCGAGACTCTTATCAGCTTCTATAACATCTTTGACGAAATCATAGTATACGCTTAAAGCTTTGTCCTTTTTGATTCCCAAGATCTTGGGAGCTTTTGTGAGAATCTCAGTGAGCTCAGAGGTTGTAGTAGCTCCTCCTCTGGACTGCAAAGACTTCAGCTTTGGAGCAAGAGATTTCTCAGCATCTGCTATAAGCAGCTGTGGATAAACCGTGACGATGTCGGAGATTTGAGAATCTGTGAATCCATGGCTTTTAAGAAGTTTCAGAACAGAATCTGGGTTTCTCTTGTCCTCGAAAGTGACTTTCTTTGAGATCGATTCCGCGAGTTTTGTAGTGAAACCAAACGAATCAACGAGGTAAGAGACTGTAAAGTTCTGACCTTTTCGACCATGGGTTACAGCTGCAGCAGCACTAGTTGAGGAATAAGAATTGGAAAAAGCAAAGAACGGATTTTGATTTTGCGCTGCCAAAATCAAGTGACGACATTTCTGCAGCTCGATCAACCTTCTTCCATGGAGTATCATATAATACATGACGAACGCAAATCCAATTACAGAAACCGGAGAGAAGAAGCAGTAAATTCTAAGTTCGATTGAGAGCGAACTATCATCTATTTCATTTCCCCCAAAACATCGAATCGCCCAGATTTCTACTAACGAGCAGAGAAGAAAGACTCACTCATCGATCAGTGATTCATAACTTGAGTGACGATTGATAATGACTGTTTCCGACTTTCCGAGATTCCGCTTTACCCCCACATAACCAAAAGTCGCCGGAAAACGGAAATAGGGTTTATGAGCCAAAAAGGTCCGAGCTTTGTTGCTTTTGGGATTCGATCCCTGATTGGCTGATTCCTTGGTTAACAAAATATACAGAGTTTTGTATATCTACTTGGGTTTGAACCACTTACCCAATACCCACAGACATTTTTTTACTGTGTATACACATTTTTTTACTGTGTCAACAAACAGAGAAACATGCTTCACTCCAGTGTTGTTAGCCATGGCAAAAGCTTACACAACCTTTAAAAAGTCCTTCAGCTTCTTCATTTTTACCAACATCACAACATGGAATTGATAATAATGATTAATGAGTCCTAATGGTATGTGATAGCTGATAATATCCTAGACAATGTATCATAAGTTTCACAAGAATGTGTATGAAACTCAAAGTAGTGCTGATATTAACAAGAATGTTTATTAGTTTATCTATGTTTTGCAAAACTACTTGTTAAAAAGATAAGTGTGTTTGTGCTTTTGAGACCTCTATCAAAAAACACTTTCCACAAATTAGATGAATCATACGATCAAGAAAATAAGTCATAAGAAGGATTCTTGCATCATCAGCAGTGTTTAAGTAGTAGCAGATACTGAAATCAGACAATAGATCGAAATTACAGTACAAACAGAGTTTGTTTAAACTTCAAGGGTCCAGACGATCAAGGTCACCAGAAAATCAGAGAAAAACTGATTCACATGTCCCCTTTAGCTATTTGGCTACAACCCGCAGAGACTAAGAGATTAAAAAGTCAGAGATACTAAACTGAGATTAGAGAAGTCTAAAATTGATAAATAATAGCAAAATCCTTCACCCTTGGACAAGCCTTATGACCCTATGAAGTCACTATCTCCGGTGAAAGATTGCCATTAACTCAGCCACAAGCTCCTCGTCATCGTGCTTCCTCACGAACACGAACCTGTTTACAAATGTTTCATCCGTACATACCAAGACAGACGACATCAAAGGGAGTTCACTTCCTCCATCTCCAAGCAATCCTTTGGACATGAGAGCTTTGATTACGTTACACCTCGGAACAGTCCTCTTCTCCAAGCTGTATCCAAGCACCGCAGGGTTTGAAGCCACAGCCTTTAACGGCCAATTCATCTCCTTCACAAGAAACTCAGTCTTCTTCTTCACCGACTCTGAAGAATATCCAATGCACTGAGGAAAGCGCTTCACCATCGTCGACAACTCGTCTCTGCTGAATCCTAGAGCTGAGAATTCTTCAATTGACTTCAATATCTTCACCTCCGAGTATATCAGTAACTGAGGCCACTTCTTGAAAGCCGTCCACACATCCTCCACAGAAAAGCCTAACCTTTTGTAGATTTCGATCTTCCCTTCCGTCGTTTTGTCTGTGAAACCATAAACAAGTCGCAGAGCATTCACAAACTTCAAGGAGGTTGGAGCAAAACCCATCTCAACAACCTTCTTGAGTGATTCTGCAAACTTCTCTTTGCCACATACAAGTTGAGAATCGGATGTGAGCATTGAGAGCAAGAGCTTCTGAGGCATGCCAAGCTCTCTCAAAGCTGATATGTTTCTGATTTTGTTCTCTTGTGCATTACCTTGTGGCAAAGAAGAATGACATAAAGTTTCAAACTTTGAGCTCTTATCAGCTTCTATAACATCTTTGACGAAATCATAGTATACACTGATAGCTTTTTCCCTTTTGATTCCCAAGATCTTAGGAGCTTTTGTGAGAATCTCAGTGAGCTCAGAGATTGTAGCTCCTCTTCTGGACTGAAGAACATGAAGCTTGGGAGCAAGAGATTTCTCAGCATCAGCTATAAGCAGTTGTGGATAAATTGTAACGATGTCGGAGATTTGAGAATCTGTGAAGCCATGGCTTGTAAGAAGTTTCAGAACAGAATCCGGATTTCTCTTATCCTCGAAAGTGACCTTCTTTGAGATCGATTCTGCGAGTTTCGTGGTTAAGCCCAGAGAATCAACGAGGTAAGAGACTGTGAAAGTCTTCCCTTTTCGACCATGGATCACAGCTGAAGCAGCACTAGAAGATGAGAAGGAATTGGAAAAAGCAAAGAGCAGATTTTGATTTTGCGCTGCAAATCTCAAATGACGACATTTCTGCAGCTCAATCAACCTTCTTCCATGGAGTAGCAGAGAAAACATGACAAAAGCCAAATCCAATTACTGAAACCGGAGAGAAGAAGCAGAGCTCGTTGATTGAGCTGGATAAGACTAAGACGTATTAAATAGGGTTTCTTCTCCAGTATACTAAACAGCTAACTCCACACAATCCAATTACTGAAACCGGAGAGAAGAAGCAGGGCTAGATTGAGAGCGAACTATCTATTTCATTTCCAGAAAATTATCCAATCGCCCAGATTTCTACTAACGAGCGGAGAAGAAAGACTCACTCTTCGATCAGCGATTCATAAACTGAGCGACGATTGATATGACTGTTCGACTTTCCGAATTTCCGCTTCACCCAGAGAGTGAGAGAGTAAGCCAAAGTCGCCGGAAAACGAAAATAGGGTTTATCAGCAAAAAGGACAGAGCTTTGTTGATTTTGGGATTCGATCTCTAATTCATTGGTTAACAAAATTATAAAGAGTTTGTATCTGCTTGGGTTCGAACCAGTTACCCAATACCTACAGACATTTTTTTGTGACTCATTCCCTTTAATGTCTCTATGTACTAGCTAGAGTCCTTCAGGTTCTTGGTGCTTTGGAGACCTCTTTCCACAAATCAGTGATACATAGAAAATAAGACAGAGCCAGATTTTTAAGGTATCATAATTCATAAAAGATTTTAGTAAGAGAAAAGAAGAAATAGACAAACAGAGTTTGATCAAAGTCACCAAAAAAAAATCAGAAAATAACTGATTCACAACATGGCTACAAACCGCAGAGACTAAAAGATTCAAAACTTACAAAGTCAGAGATTCTAAACAGTTGGGATCTGAATTAAACAAGTCTAAAATTTGATAAATAATAGCAAAATCTTCGGACAAGCCTTATGATCTCCGGTGAAAGATAGCCATCAAGTCAGCCACAAGCTCCTTGTCATCGTGCTTCCTCACGAACCTGTTTAAAAATGATTCATCGCTATATAACAAGACAGACGACATCACAGGGAGTTTACTTCCCTTTGACATGAGAGCTTTGATAACGTTACACCTTGGCACAATCCTCTTCTCCATGCTGTATCCAATAAACTGTGGCTTCGCAGCCACAGCCTTTAGTGGCCAATTCATCTCCTTCACCAGAAACTCAGTCTTCTTCTTCAACGACTCTGCAGATAATCCAATGCACTGAGGAAAGCGCTTGACCATCATAACAAACTCATCTCCGCTGAATCCTAGTCCGAGAAAAGTTTTCTTGGAGTTCAATATCTTCACCTCCGAGTTTATCAGAAACTGAGGCCACTTCTTGAAAATCGCCCACACATCCTCCACAGGAAAGCCTAAGCTTTTGTAGACTTGGACTTTCCCTTGTATTGTTTCCTCGGTAAACCCGTAAACAAGACACATAGCTTGGACAAACTTTGAGGAAGTCGGATCAAAACCCATCTCGACGACCTTCTTGAGGGATTCTTCAAATCTTTCTTTGCCACAGCAGATGTTACGATGATCCGAGATGAGCAAAGGGAGTAACAGCTTCTGAGGAACACCTAATGCTCTCAAAGCCAACACATTTCTGATTTTATTATCCTGCATACTACCCTGTGGCAAAGAAGAATGACATAAAGTTTCCAACTTTGAGCTCTTATCAGCTTCTATAATCTCTTTGGCGAAATCATAGTATCTGCTGATAGCTTTGTCCTTTTTGATTCTCAAGATTTTCGGAACTTTTGTAAGAATCTCAGTGAGCTCAGAGGTTGAAGCTCCTCTCGACTGCAAAAACTGAAGCTTGGGAGCAAGTGATTTCTCAGCATCTGATGTAAGCAGCAGCGGATAATCTGTAACGATGTCGGAGATCTGAGAATCTGTGAATCCATGGCTTCTGAGAAGACTCAGAACAGAATCCGGATTTGCTTTGCTCTCGAAGCTAACTTTCCTGGAGATTGATGCTGCGAGCTTTGTGGTTAAACCCAATGAATCAACGAGGTAAGAGACTGTAAAGTTGTGACCTTTTCGACCATCTTGAAGAGGGCTCACATCTGCAGCAGAGGAGAAGGAATTGGGAAAAGCAAAAAAGGGATTTTGGTTTTGCGCTGCAAATCTCAAATGAGGAACTTTCTGCAACTCGATTAACCTTCTACCATGGAGAATCAGAGAATACATGACGGAACCAGCAAATGGAATCAGCGAACCGGAGAGAAGAAACAGAAGAAGCAGAGAATTATAAAAGACTGTAGAAGCGATTGACTCTAAATTCTGTTCCTTTAATCTATTTCATTTCCAGAAAAGTATATCGCCCAGATTTCTAATAACGAGCGGAGAAGAAAGACTCACTCATCGATCAGTAATTTATACTCGGAGTGACGATTGCTACGACTGTTTCCGACTTTCCGAGATTCCGCTTCACCGGAAAACGAAAATAGGGTTTATGAGAATTGAGAAATCGGAGAGTTGTGTTGCTTCTGGGATTCGATCCCGGATTCATCGTTTACACAACTATACAGATTTTTGTATCTGCTTGGGTTCGAACCCCTTACCTAATAATTTGTTGCCAGTCACTTTAATTACAAAAAGAGCCTCGGTTTGGTTGCACAAATCTTTAAACCGGAACCAATATTTTCATTTCAAACTCGAACCGGTTTATAAAATAACCTGATTGGGTGACAATTAAAGGAATTTGTTAACCGAATCGTCGGTCTTTCCATGATTTTTGTTGGGTGTAAATGTTAAGACTAATTGATTTAACTTAGAGCACACGGAAACTTACCGAGCTTAATTCTGACCTAAACTACTAAAACATTATGTCTTCTATGATTAATTAGGGTTTATACAAAAGAACAAAATATACAATGAAGAGAAGAAACAAAAAACAAAAAACTCAACCTCTTCGCTGCCGTGAAATCTCCACCCCCGGCGATGAAATCTATATTCCTCTCGATCTAACGGTGGAGATAATCAACAAATTCCACTGCGTGAAGTGTCTCACGAGGTTTAAATGCGTCTCAAAGCAATGGTCATCAATTGTCACCAGCCGTATAGACTTCATTAAGAAGATGAAGGCTCGGTCTGCGACACGGAAACGGAGATTTGGTTATTTCAGAGAGAGAGGACAGACTATGTCCGACAGACATCATATTGTTTAGGTAGCAAGAGAGGGTTAAACAGAAGAAGAAGGGGGTGTTTTCTGTAAGGAATGATTAGGTTTAGGGTTTAAGGAGTCTTGACATATCAAATCTAATTTCTATATATGAACAATCTTTCTTCGTTGGAGTTTCAAACTTTATCTTTGGTGTGCTTTTCGTTTTGTTGCTGTTTTTTAGTCGCTCCTTCAGCTTTATTTTTCTTCTCTGTTACTTCATAAGTAAGTTATTATAACTTTATGTTTGACCTTTTTTGTTGGTCTGTTTTAACGTATGGTTTGAAACATAAATCACTATTTTGGTGTCTTGTTCATCAGTTGGGATGGTTACAGCTTACACGTAGTGTGTAACTCCTAAACTTTGGTTGATTGTTTCCCACGTAAACAGAAAAATACAGAGAGAAAACTGAGTTTCTTTACAAGACTTTTCAGTGTCATTGGTTTGTTTATTTGGAGGGCTAAAAAGATATTCATCCACATTCAGAGATTCCAAAACCTCTCTTTGATCTTGAGATTACAATACTCTAAAAAAGAGTTTAAAACTGTCAAAAGATTCATCCACAAAATCTAAAACAGGAGATTACAAGAGTCTAAAAATGGCTGGAAGAAACTTACATACATATGCATAAAGATGCTCTTCCTCTGTTTCTCATCGTCAGGAGCATTACAAACAAAACAAAACAATCCTCAACGTTGCTCGTTAACGGAAACACGAGCTCCGGTGAATATAGCCATCAATTCAGGGACCAGCTCCTTGTCATCGTGTTTCCTAACGTACTTGTTTAAGAAAGCTTGATCAGTACTCAGAAACATCGACATTTTTGGAAGTTCACCATTTCTTCCGAGCAGTTCTTTGGACATGAGAGCTTTGATTACGTTACACCTTGGCACAATCCTCTTCTCCATGCTTAATCCAAGCACCTGTGGGTTTGAAAACACAGCCTTTAGTGGCCATTTCATCTGCTTCACAAGAAACTCAGTCTTCTTCTTCAGACTCTCATCAGATAATCCAATGCAATGAGGAAAGCGCTTGACCATCTGCGAAAACTCGTCTCTGCTGAATCCTAGTTCCAAAAATGTCTGAATGGAACTCTCAATCTTCTGGTCTGAATAACTAATGCATTGCGGAAACTTCTTGAACACTGAGACGATCTCGTCTTCGACAAGTCCAAACTTCTTCAAGGTCTCAAACGTCTGACTTATCTTCTCCACCGAGAAAGTCAGAAAGAGAGGCCACTTCTTGAACATCTCCCATACCTCTATCACATCAAAGCCTAAACCTTTATAGACATTGACTTTCTCTTGTATTGTTTTGTCGCTCATCTGGTAAATAACGTTTAGAGCTTGCACAAACTTGAAGTTGGTTGGATCAAAGCTCATCCCAACAACCTTGTTAACGGTATCTTCAAATTTTTCTTTCCCACAGACAGGTTGGAACTTGGAGATGAGCAATGAGAATAACAACCTCTGAGGCACACCCAATTCTCTCAAAACCATTACATTTCTGATTTTATTATCCTGCCTACTACCTTGTGGCAAAGAAGAATGACATAAAGTTTCAAACTTTGAGCTCTTATCAGCTTCTACAATCTCTTTAACGAAATCATAGTATACGCTTATAGCTTTTTCGTCTTTCATTCTCAACATTTTCGGAACTGTTGAAACAATCTCTGTGAGCTCAGAGCTTGAAGCTCCTCTCGACTGCAGAAACTGAAGCTTGGGAGCAAGAGATTTCTCAGCATCTGCTATAAGAAGCCGTGGATAATCCGTAATGATGCTGGAGATCTGAGAATCTGTGAACCCATGACTTCTAAAAAGACTCAGAACAGAATCAGGATTGACCTTGTCCTCGAAACAGACTTTCCTGGAGATTGATGCTGCGAGTTTTGTGGTTAAACCCAATGAATCAACGAGGTAAGAGACTGTAAAGTTCTGACCTTTTCGACCATCTTCAACTGTCACAGCTGCAGAGGAGAAGGAATTGGAAAAAGCAAAGAACGGATTTTGATTTTCCACTCCAAATCGCAAAAGACGACATTTCTGCAACTCGAGGACCAACCTTCTACCATGGAGAATCAGAGAATACATGACGGAACCAGCAAATGCAATCAGCGAACCGGAGATAAGAAACAGAAGAAGCAGAAAATTCTAAAATAGATGGAGTCTAAATTCTGTTCCTTTATCTATGTCATTTCTAGAAAACTATCGAATCGCCCAGATTTCTGATAACGAGCGGAGAAGAAAGACTCACTCATCGATCAGCGATTCATACTCGGAGTGACGATTGCTACGACGGTTTCCGACTTTCCGAGATTCCGCTTCACCGGAAAACGAAAATAGGGTTTATGAGCCGAAATCGGAGTGTTATTCGATCCGTTAACAGAAATATTAAGAGTTTTGTATCTGCTTGGGTTCGAACCCGTTACCTAATAAATTGTTGCCAGTCACTTTAATTAATTACAAAAAGAGCCTCGGTTTGGTTGCACAAATCTCTAAACCGAATCAAAATTTCTCAACCGGATTCAATATTTTCATTTCAAACTCGAACCGGGTTATAAAATTTGTTAACCGAATCGTCGGTCTTTCCATTTTTTTGGGTGTAAATGTTTTTTAAAAAAAACGTAGAGCACACGGAAACTTACCCTGACCTAAACTACAAAGCATTATGTCTTCTTCTATAATTAATTAGGGTTTATACAAAAGAACAAAAGATACAATGAAGAGAGGAAACAAAAAACGAAAAACTCAACCTCTTCGCCGCCGTGAAATCTCCAACTCCGGCGATGAAATCTATATTCCTCTCGATCTAACAGTGGAGATAATCAACAAAATCCACTGCTTGAAGTGTCTCACGAGGTTTAAATGCGTCTCAAAGCAATGGTCACCAATTGTCAGCAGCCGTATAGACTTCATTAAGAAGATGTTGAGGGCTCGGTCTGCAATACGGAAAGGGAGAAATGCATGGCCAAAGACAACATGTTGAGAGGGATGAAAAGAAGAAGAAGGTGGTGTTTACTTTAAGGATTGATTAGGTTTAACTTTAGGGAGATTTGATATATCAAATCTAATTTTTATATATGAACAAATCTTTCTTCGTTGGAGTTTCAAACTTATTTTTGGTGTGGTTTTTCGTTTTGTAGCTGTTTTAGTCGCTCTTTCAGCTTTATAATTTGTTTTTTGTTTTTTATAGCTTGTTTTTTTGTTTTTAACGTATGTATGGTTTGAAACATAAATAACTATTTTTGTCTCTTGTTCATCAGTAAGGATGGTTACAATTTACACCCAATGTCTGAAAAAAAACGATATGCAGTGTGTAACACCTAAACCCTAAATTGGTTGATTGTTTCCTACGCAAACAGAAAAATACAGAGAGAAAATCGAGTTTTTTTACAAGACTTTTCCAGACTTTCCGAGATTCCGCTTCACCGGAAAACGAAAATAGGGTTTATGAGCGGAAATCGGAGAGTTGTGTTGCTTCTGGTATTCGATCCCTGATTTATCGTTCACAAAAATATAAAGAGTTTTGTAACTGCTTGGGTTCGAATTAGAGACCTAACACCTACAGACTTTTTAAACCGAATTGGGAGTAATATGCACAAATTTTTTAAACCGAATCAAAATTTGACAACTTGAACCAATATTTTCATTTCAAACTCAAACCGGGTTATGAAATAACCTGACCGAGTGAAAAGGAAGGTGGTTACAATCTAGTTGTAATATGTAAATTATCATTTCATAAAGTAAAATTTCTGGAAACTATTTTATTGTTATGACATAGGAAAAAAAAGGGTGTATATGTGTTGATATTGTGTGGTCTTCTATGTTTATTAGGGTTCATAAAAAACAAGCAAAAGATACAATGAAGAGAGAAAGCGTAGAGAGCAAGCAAGAGACCTCACCATCGCTGAGTCAACCTCAAGTCTCCACCCCCGGCGATGAAATCTATATTCCTCTCGATCTAACGGTGGAGATAATCAAGAAACTCCGCTGCTTGAAGTCTCTCACGAGGTTTAAATGCGTCTCAAAGCAATGGTCACCAATTGTCACCAACCGTATAGACTTCATTAAGAAGATGAGGGCTCGGTCTGCTGCGATACGGAAACGGAGCTGGATGGGAGGATTTGGGAGAGAGAGGACAAAGACATCATATTGTATGGGTAGAAATATAGGGTTAAACAGAAGAAGAAGCGGGTGTTTTCTGTAAGGAATGATTAGGTTTAGGGTTTAAGGAGTCTTGACATATCAAATCTAATTTCTATATATGAACAATCTTTCTTCGTTGGAGTTTCAAACTTATCTTTTGGTGTGCTTTTCGTTTTGTTGCTGTTTTAGTCGCTCCTTCAGCTTTATCCTTCTTCTCTGTTACTTCATAAGTAAGTTATTATAACTTTATGTTTGACCTTTTTTGTTGGTCTGTTTTAACGTATGGTTTGAAACATAAATCACTATTTTTGTCTCTTGTTCATCAGTTGGGATGGTTACAATTTACACGTAGTGTCTGTGTAACTCCTAAACCCTAATTTGGTTGATTGTTTCCTACGTAAACAAAAAAATACAGAGAGGAAATTGAGTTTCTTTACAAGACTTTGATCTGTGATGTGTGTCATTGGCTTGTTTCTTTAGAGGGTCAAAAAGGTATTCATCCACATTCAGAGATTCCAAAACCTCTCTTTGATCTTGAGATTACAATACTCTAAAAAAGAGTTTAAAACTGTCAAAAGATTCATCCACAAAATCTAAAAATGGCTCGAAGAAACTTACATACATCTGCATAAAGATGCTCTTCCTCTGTTTCTCATCGTCAGGAGCATTACAAACAAAACAAAACAATCCTCAACGTTGCTCGTTAACTGAAACACGACCTCCGGTGAATACAGCCATCAATTCATGGACCAGCTCCTTGTCACCGTGATTCCTAACGTACTTGTTTAAGAAAGCTTGATCGGTACTCAGAAACACCAAAGACAATTTTGGGAGTTCACCATTTCTTCCGAGCAGTTCTTTGGACATGAGAGCTTTGATAACGTTAGACCTTGGCACAATCGTCTTCTCCATGCTGTATCCAAGTACCGAAGGGTTTGAAACCACAGCCTTTAGTGGCCAATTCATCTGCTTCACCAAAAGCTCACTCTTCTTCTTCACTGACTCTGCAGAGTATCCAATACACTGAGGATAGCACTTGACCATCGTCGTTAACTCATCTGTGGTGAATCCTAGATATGTTTCAGTTGAGCTCAATATCTTCTTCTCCGAGTACATCAGAAAATAAGGCCACTTCTTGAAAATCGCCCATACATCTCCCACACCAAACCCTAACCTTTCATAGGCATTGACCTTTGCCTGAATCGCTTTGTCACTCAATTGGTACACAGCACGTAGAGCTTGGACAAACTTTGGGGAGGTCGGATCAAAACCCATCTCGACGACCTTCTTGAGGGATTCTTGGAATCTTTCTTTGCCACACACAATTTGGCCTTTTGATATAAGCAATGAGAATAAGAATCTCTGAGGCACACCCAATTCTCTCAAGACCAATACATTTCTGATTTTGTTCTCCTGTGCTCTACCTTGTTGCATAGAAGAATGACATAATTTCTTGTGCTCCAAACTCTTATCCGCTTTGATAATCTCTTTGGCGAAATCATAGTATACGCTCAAAGCTTTGTCCTTTTTGATTCCCAATATTTTTGGAAATTTAGAAACAATCTCTGTGAGCTCAGACGTTGTAGTAGCTCCTTCTTCTCTAGACTGTAAAAACTGAAGCTTTGGAGCAAGAGATCTCTCAGCATCTTCTATAAGCAACTGTGGATAATCCTTAATGATGGTGGAGATCTGAGAATCCGTGAAGCCATGACTTTTCAAAAGATCCAGAACCGAATCTGGATTGCCCTTGTCCTCAAAGCTGACTTTCCTAAAGATTGATTCAGCGACTTTCCTAGTCAAACCCAGAGAATCAACGAGGTAAGAGACTGTGAAAGTCTTCTCTTTTCGACTCACATCTGCTGCAGAGGAAAAGTAATTGGAAAAAGCAAAGAAGGGATTTTGATTTTGGGCTGCAGATATCAAATGACGACATTTCTGCAACTCAATCAACCTCCTTCCATGGAGTATCAGAGAATACATGACGTAACCAGCAAATGCAATCACTGAACCGGAGAGTAGCGATTGAGATTTGAGAGCCAACTATCTAATTTCATTTCCAGGAAAATATCGAATCGCCCAGATTTCTACTAATGAGCGGAGAAGAAAGAGACTCACTCATCGATCAGTGATTCATACTCGGAGTGAAGATTGCTACGACTGTTTCGATTTACAGAGATTCCGCTTCTTCACCCAGAGAGTACCCAGAAGTCGCCGGAAAACGAAAATAGGGTTTATGAGAGAAATCGGAGAGTTTTGTTGCCGGATTCAAATTTCCCAATCTGAACCAGTATTTTTAAATCCAAACCCAAACCGGGTTATAAAATAACCTGATTGAATGAAAAAGAGAATTTGTTAACCAAACTACCCGATCTCAAACCAAACCAAATCCAAACCATATCAAGTAAGAATTTGTCCCAAACCGAATCAAAATATGACCCGGTTAATATTAAATTTTCTTTCAATTTTGAATTAAAAGGCAAAACGACACCGTGTTTCTGGTTTGTTGTAAAAGTTTGATCCATTTGGGAATTGCAATATCAATCTGTAAGCTTCGTCCTTAAAAGTTAAAACCATTTCTCGTCTCTTCTCAGCTTCAAAAGTCACACTCACACACACAATCAAACTTTTCTTGTCATGTGCACTTTGCCACTACTGAAGAACACAACATCAAATGTTTCTTTAATAAACAAACAACCAATAATTTTTGCTAAATAAAGGCATAAACTTGCAAAGCACATTATACAATCCCATAGTAAACGTTGCTTAATTGCAGTTATACCTCCTCCAATGTTCTTAGGTCACATATCATTTTGGTGTTGCATTACAGTTAAAGATCCAACCTTTGCTTAGTTGTTGTTGCAAGAGTTTGATTCAAATGGAGATTACAATAGTCTAAATAGAAACTTACACACATATCTCTCATCGTCTGCATCATCCTCAACGTTGCTCGTTAACCTAAACACAATCTCCGGAGAAGATAGACATCAACTCAGCCACAAGCTCCTTGTCACCGTGCTTCCTCACATAGTTGTTCAAGAAAGCTTCATCGGAAATCGGAAACATTGTCCCAATTGAAGGGAGTTCATTTCCTTTCCCGAGCAATCCCTTCGACATGAGAGCTTTGATAACGTTACACCTCGGCACAATCCTCTTCTCCATGCTGTATCCAAGCACCTGTGGCTGCGAAGCCAGAGCCTTTAACGGCCAATTCATCTCCTCCACCACAAACTCAGTCTTCTTCGTCACCAACTCTCTAGACAATCCAATGCACTGAGGAAAGCGCCTCACCATCATAACAAACTCATCTCCGCTGAATCCTAGACCTAGAAATGTCTCCACAGAGCTCAATATATTCTTCTCTGAGACACCAATGCATGCCGGATGCTTCCTGAACATCTCCCATACCTCTCCCACATCAAAGCCTAAACCTTTATACACATTGACCTTCTCTTGTATTGTTTTGTCGCTCATTTGGTAAACAAAGTTTAGAGCTTGCACAAACTTCAACGAGGTTGGATCAAAACCCATCCCAACAACCTTGTTAATGGTATCTTCAAACTTTGCTTTCCCACACACGGTACGGAAATTGGAGATGAGCATAGAGAACAAGAGCTTCTGAGGAACACCTAACTCTCTCAAAACCAATACGTTTCTGATCTTGTTCTCGATTGCACTACCCTGTGGCAGAGAAGAATGACATAAAGTTTCAAACTTTGAGCTCTTATCAGCTTTGATAATCTCTCTGACGAAATCATAGTATACGCTGATGGTTTTGTCCTCTTTCATTCCCAGCATTTTAGGAACTTTGGAAACAATCTCAGTGAGCTCAGAGCTTGAAGCTCCTCTGGACTGCAGAAACTTAAGCTTGGGAGCAAGAGATTTCTCAGCATCTGCTACAAGCAACAGTGGATAATCCGTAATGATGTCGGAGATCTGAGAACCATTGAAGCCATGGCTTCTAAGAAGACTCAGAACAGAATCTGGATTTCCTTTGCCCTCGAAGCTGACTTTCCGAAAGATCGATTCCGCGAGTTTTGCAGTCAAACCCAGAGATTCAACGAGGTAAGAGACTGTGAAAGTCTTCCCTTTTCGACCATCTTTGGTCACAGAGGAGAAGGAATTGGAAAAAGCAAAGAACACATTTTGATTTTCCACTGCAAATCTCAAATGACGACATTTCTGCAACTCGATCAACTTTCTTCCATGGAGTATCAGAGAATACATTACAAACGCAAATGCAATTACTGAAACCGGAGAGGAGAAGAAGCAGAAAATCGAAGACTGTAGAAGCGATTCAGAGAGCTTGAGTGAATATATCGATCGAATCGCCCAGAATTCTACTAACAAGCGGAGAAGAAAGACTCACTCTTCGATCAGTGATTTCATAACTTGAGCGACGATTGCTATGACTGTTTCGACTTTCCGAGATTCCACTTCACCCAGAGAGTAACCAAAAGTCGCCGGAAAACGAAAATGGGGTTTATGAGTCGGATAAAGCAGAGAGCTTTGTTGATTTTGGGATTCGATCCCTGATTCGGTTAACAAAATATACAGAGTTTTGTATCTGCTTGGGTTCGAACCCCTTACCTAAACCGAATCAAAATTTCGCAACCTGAGCGAATATTTTCCCTATTTTCAATTCAAACTCGAACCCGGTTATAAAATAACCAGATTGAATGAAAAATAAATTTGTTAACCGAATCGTCGGTTATTTAACTTAGAGCACACGGAAACTTACCCTGACCTAAACTACTACAGCATTATGTCTTCTATGATTAATTAGGGTTTATACAACAAAACAAACAAAAGATACAATGAAGAGAAGAAACAAAAGACAAAAAAACTCAACATCTTGGCTGCCGTGAAATCTCAAACTCCGGCGATGAAATCTATATTCCTCTGGATCTAACGGTGGAGATAATCAACAAAATCCACTGCGTGAAGTCTCTCACGAGGTTTAAATGCGTCTCAAAGCAATTGTCACCAGCCGTATAGACAACATTAAGAAGATGAGGGCTCGGCCTTTGAGACGGATTAGGTGTTGGATGCCAAGATTAGAGAGAAAGAGAGAGAGAGAGGGGTATGGAGGAGCAACACGGGTTTCTGTACAAAGACTCAAAACGAACTGAGAGAATTTAGAAGAAAGTTGTTGCTCTGAACGGATTGATTAGGTTTAGGGGTTTTATTTTTATTTTTATGAATAACTTTCTTCGTTGGAGTTTCGACTTATCTTTGGTGTGCTTTTCGTTTTGTTGCTGTTTTAGTCGCTCTTTCAGCTTTGTTGGCTTCTTTCATAAAGGTATTCATTCACATTCAGAGATTTCAAAACCTCTTTGATGTTGAGAACTTGAGATTACAAAACTCTAAGTTGCAAAAAAAAAATTCAGCAACAAAATGTCTTATATCTGCTTCCCAGTTACAAATTGGAGATAGATAAACAAAAAGGTTCATCATTTGCTGTCAACTGTCAAAACATTCATCGACCAATCTCAACCTAACAAAAAAAGAAGGAACAAGCTTTGGCGTTGCTCATTCTTGTGGGTCTATGAAACATGTTCTCTGGTGTTTCAGATAGCCTAAACTACTTTTTGTATTCGCTCTCTTACAGTAATATACTACTTGTTGTATGCATAAGTCAAAAGATTCATAAAATTCACGTCCAGAGAATGAAATAGTTCTTGAGTATGATTACATAAAATTTATGCTAAAAAGTGTTTGGTAAAATTCCTTCTTCTCCAACGACAAAGAATTCACCAACGAATCTATCTAAAACAAAGAATGCTAATCAAGCTGAAGCTTGACGATGAATTCATCTTTCGCAGTTTGAGCAATCTCACGAGCCTCGAGGCGGTTTGGCAGCTCCAACTACCTTAGTTCTAACCACCTTGTCGAGGATTTGGTGGTCACCCAACATCTTTTATGTTCTTCAAAATGAGCTTTTTGGAATATTTTGTACTTTTTGTGTTTTTTTAAATCAAAATAAAATATTGAAACTAAATTAGATTTGACAATCTAGTTAATATGCAAATAATATATAATAAAATACAATTTCTGGAATTTTTTAAATTTTTATGAAATAGGAAAAAAAGGTGTATATGTTTATATGGTCTTTCTATGTTTTTTTTGGTGTAAATGGAAACTTAGAGCACACGGAAACTTTCCAAGCTTAATTCTGACCTAAACTACTAAAGCATTATGTCTTTTATGATTAACTAGATTAGGTCCCGCGTACACGCGGGTTTATTAAACAAAATTTGATCACTTTTTTAATTCATGATATGAAATAGAAAAACTTACATGTGTCTAAATCTAATCGACTCATTAATTTAGGAAACTTTGATTATTCCATTGATGAAATCTTTATTTTTAATGTTGTTTTACCTAAGAAAAAAAATGGAAACTAAACTATTTAATTTTAGAAGATCGGTCTATTATAAAATATTCTTTTTAATATTTTAGTTCCTTGATAATTATTTTGTCGGTTCTCTTTTTATATTGTTTCTTTTACAGTTTTGTTTTTGCCTGTAACATTATAAATTTTCATTTTCATTACTATTAGTTAGTTGTTTTACAATTATTTTATTAGTTTATTTATTTATGTTACTCAATTTTTCCAATTTTCTTTTGTTGACACATGTCATCACCTGATAAAATATTAGACATGATTTTTGATTTCTTAATGAGAAAGAAACTATTTTAAATATATCTTGTTAAATATTTTTTTTTCCTTTTCTTAATGGGAATATATTTTTTTATTCCTTTTCTTACTGGATGTAATATTTTTTTTATTATTTCATAATGTTTTTCTGATTTTTCGTTTTTTTTTCCTTTTCGTAATAGGATTATATTTTTTTCTTTACTTTTCCTAATGGATGTAATATTTTTTTTTTTAAATTGGTTGTTTCCTTTTTTCTGATTTTTTCTTTTTTTTTCTGATTTTTTTTAATGTATTGTAGTATGATTTTATTTATTACATTATTATAAATTTAATATGTGTTTAGATAATACAAATTTGATGAATGGGAAACCTTTTTTTATAAGGATATGACAAATATGATTTTTTCTTTTTATTCTAATAGATAATTTTTTTTTTAATTTTCTTTTTTCTAGTATTTTTTTTAACTTTGTTTTCCCTTTTTTCCCAAGACATATGTCACGATCTTAACAGACTTAACATCAAAAGTGACACATGTCGCAATCCTATATTTTATAAAAATCCTACATGTCGCAACCACGTTGTGCGCATCCAGCTTTATATAATAAGATTCTGATCTTTAATTATAAAATATTTAATTAATCTTTAAAATATAAAATACATCTTTTATTTTTATTGTAATTAATTTTTCTTTTGAATTTATGATATGACAAAATGAATTAATTTGTTTTACTATTATTTTTATCCAATACAGAAAGACTTACACATGTCTAAATCTGATCAATTGATTAATTAATCAAACTTTTATTATTCCATTCAAGAGATTTTAATTGATGAAATATTTATTTCAATTTTTTTACCTAACAAAAATTGAAAATCAAACTATTTAAAATTAGAATATCAATTATAATTTTTTAATATTAGTTAATTGCTTGATAATTATTTTGTTAGTTTTTTATTTATATGTTTTCTTTCTCAATTTTGTTTTTGCCTCGGACCATTATAAATACTATATATTGGTATTTTTCCTTTTCGAAATGGATTTTTTTTCCTTTTCTTAATAGATGTAACAAAAGAATTTAAATTATTTGTTTCCTGTTTTTTTATTACTTTTAATGGGTATTATTTTTTTCATTTTAATTATTTGTTATCTGTTTTTCTAATTTTTAGTTAGTCTTATACATATTAAATTTTTTATTATTTTTATTCCATGACACATGTTACGATCTTCATACTTCGAGAATTTGTTTTTTTTTTCTAAAACAATGTCGCAATTTTGTCAGTTATAAAAATCCTATGTATCGCAAAACTTTCAAAAACATGATTTTTAAATTGGAGAAATATAATCAAAGGGATTTGATGAATTTGTTTTGATGAATTTATGATTGAGAAATTTGACTCTCTTTTATAGGGGTTCAAGTAACCTATTACATGCAGTTATAGGAAATTTAGTTTACATAACATATTCCATGTACAAATAGGATTTTATTTATTACATTATTTTGATTTTATTATTTGTTTGGATAATATTAATTTGATGAATGGAAACCTTTCTCTATTAGGATATGACAAATATATTTTTATTTCTTTTAACTGTAATGGATTAATTTTTTAAAAACAATTTCCTTTATCTAATTTTTTTATTATATTGTTTTTTATTTTTTTTTTCTCTAAGACATGTGTCACGATCTTAACGGACGTAACATTAAAAGTGACACATGTCGCGATCTTATAAATTATAAAAATCCTATGTGTCGCAACCACGTCGTGCGCATCCAACTTTATATAATAAAAAATTGATGAATGGGAAACCTTTTTCTGTTTGGATATAACAAATATTATTTTTTCCTTTTTGATATAATATATTAAATTAAATTTCGTTTTTTTAATTAACATTTTTCTGGAATTCTTTTTTTTAAGTTCTCTTTTTCCTAAGACACATGTCACGATCTTAATATACATAAACTTAAAAGTGACACATGTCGCGATCCTGAATTTTATAAAAATCCTACGTGTCGCAACCACGTCGTGCGCATCCAGCTTTATATAATAAGATTAAGTTTTATACAAAACAAACAAAAGATATAATGAAGAGAGGAAATAAAAAACAAGAAACTCAACCTCTTGGCTGCCGTGAAATCTCCACCCCCAGCGATGAAATCTATATTCCTCTTGATCTAACGGTGGAGATAATCAACAAAATCAACTGCTTGGAGTCTCTCACGAGGTTTAAATGCGTCTCAAAGCAATGGTCATCAATTGTCAGCAGCCGTATGAGGTCTCGGTCTTTGCATCGGAAGCGAAGTTTAAAGAGAATTAGAGAGGGAAGGAGATACACGGGTTTATGTGGAAAGGCTCTAAAGGTACTGAAGAGAAGAAGAAAGAGGAATTTGCTTTAAGGATTGATTAGGTTTAGGGTTTTATTTTCGTTTATGAATAATCTTTCTTCGTTGGAGTTTCAACTTATCTTTGCTGTGCCTTTTCGTTTTGTTGCTGTTTTAGTCGCTCTTTCAGCTTTATTGGCTTGTTTCTTTGGAGGCTCATAAAGGTATTCATTCACATTCACAGATTTCAAAACCTCTTTGATGTTGAGATTACAAAACTCTATGTTGCAAAAAAAAAAATCATCAACAAAATGTCTTATATCTGCTTCCCAGTTACAAATCGGAGATACATAAACAAAAAGTTCATCATTTGCTGTCAATTGTCAAAACATTCATAGACCAATCTAAACCTAACAAAAAAAAGGAACAAAGTTTGACGTTGCTCATTCTTGTGGGTCTATGAAACATGTTCCTTGGCACAATACTCTTCTTCAAGCTGTATCCAACTATTTGAGGATCCAAACCAAAGCAACAGCCTTTACTGAACAATCCATCTTCTTCACCAACAACTCAAGCTTCTTCCTAACAGACTCTTGTAGAATACTCAATGCACGAGGGATAGCGTTTCACAATCATCACAGTCTCATCTTGACTGAATCCTAAACCTATAAACGTTTCCATGGATTTCAATACCTTACTCTTTGAGAGTTTCAGAAAAGAAGGGGAAGACTTGAAAATCTCTTCAACAGTAAACCCTAAACCTTTGTAGACTGCGACCAGAGCTGTGATCAATGAGTTACGAAAAGTGCATTTGCACTGAGTATATTATTTTACAGAGGCCCCTAATTTCACCAAAATTATAGTTGCTAGTAGCTTTGACATGCATTTTATAGAGTCATAACCCGAGTTCAAGTCTAGTTCTACACCATTTAAAAAAAAAAAAAAAAAACTGAAACTACAAAACCAAATCAGATGAGTTTAGTATCCTAAAAGACCAAACCGAAAATCTGAATAATCATTTTTTTTCATTTTTACCATTTTATAATTATTTAAATTAATTATATTTTAGAGGCCCCCATTAACCTTAGCACGGCACTGACTGCGACTTTTTCTTCTATCGTCTTGTTGCTCATTTGGTAAAGCATGCATGCGCAGAGCTAAGACAAACTTTCCAGTGGTTGGATCAAAATCCATCTCATTAACGACTTCTTGAGTGATGCATCAAAGTTTTCTTTGCCACAAGCAGGCTGAGAATTGGAGATGAGCAATGGGAGTAACAATCTCTGAGCCTATACATTTTTGACTACTAACTTACAAGGGAACATGTAAGAAGAGTAAAAAATCACTCAAACGATCAGTGACACATCTAAAGATTGATGACCAAATTAGGGTCGATGATGTGGTCCCTTAGAAATACACACAGGCTAAAATAGGGTTTATAAGTCAGAGAAGAAACTAGAAAGGTTTGTTGATTTTGGGATTCGATCCCTAATTTCTCGGTTAACAAAAATATACAGAGTTTTGTATCTGCTTGGGTTCGAACCCCTTACCTAATAACAAAAAGTACCTCGGTTTGGTTGCACAAATCTTTAAACCGAATCAAAATTTCACAACCTGAACCAATATGTTCATTTCAAACTCGAACCGGGTTATAAAATAAATGTTAAAAGATTAATTGATTTTAACTTAGAGCACACGGAAACTTACCTTAATTCTGACCTTAACTACACTAAAAGCATTATGTCTTCTATGATTAATTAGGGTTTATACAAAAGAACAAAAGATTCAATGAAGAGAGGAAACAAAAAACGAAATACTCAACCTCTTCGCTGCCGTGAAATCTCCAACCCCGGCGATGAAATCTATATTCCAGCGATGAAATCTCCAACCCCGGCGGTAATCATCTTTGGCAGCTCCAACCACCTTAGTTCTAACCACCTTGTCGAGGATCTTGTCTTCTTTCATCAAGATAAACGTCGGCAGTTTGGTGACAGAGAACTCCAAGACAACATTCTGAAAGAAAAACACAAACACAAACATGAATGTTAATACTTTACTTACTTACTACTTGCATTGGAGACAGAAAGAGTTGATGAAAAACTCACAGGCAATTCCTCTACGTTGACCTCGAAGAACACTACGTTAGGGAACTGCTTTGCACACTCGACAACGAAGTCGTCAATCAAACAGCAAGGTGGGCACCAACTTGCATTGAAGTATAACACAATCTGAGTTCATTAGAAACCAAAGGCCATTATTCATATGGTTTCTTGGAGGTGAAGCAAAGAATTTAGTTAAATTCGATTAGGGCATGAAAACCGGTAACATTAATTCAAACCTAATTCTGAATCACCTCATATCCAAAACAAAAGAAGGTTTAACATCAGAAGCTAGTTGAAGGAATCAAAACCCTAAATTCTTTTTTTTTTTATAACCGAGAGGACACGAGAAGAAAACAAAAAACACAAAAAGTACCAGCTTCTTGGATTTTTGGGCGGCCTCGAGCTTCATGTTCCAGACATCATCGTTGTAGCAATAGATGAGTTCTCCTCCGTCTCCGGCCATATTGTTCACTTTGGTTTTCTGGTCTCATCTCTCTGTTTTGCTTTGACTGTGTGATTTGATTATATAGAACAACCGGAGGGCATATAAACCGAAACCAAAATAAGCGAACCAAACCGATTCAAAAATAACCAAACCTTAACCAATTCGAATTACTAGAATAACCTTTCTCTGAACATGAGGGCTTTGATTACATAACAGAGTTATTGAGTATCTAAAACCACAAAAGCTTCACTCTCAATGACAAGCCTTCTGATCTATGAAGCATGATCTCTGGTGAAGATAGCCAACAACACAGCCACAAGCTCCTTGTCATCGAGCTTCCTTACGAACCTGTTTAAAAACACCTCATTGGTACTCTTCAAAACATACTCCATTGAAGGCAATTTGCTTCCTTTAGACATGAGAGCTTTGATCACATTACACCTCGGCACAATCCTCTTCTCCATGCTGTATCCAAGCACCTGAGGAGACAAAGCCACAGCCTTTAACGGCCAATTCATCTTCTTCACAAGAAACTCAGTCTTCTTCTTCACCGTCTCTGCAGATAGATTAACACACCAAGGAAAGTTTTTGAGTATTCTCGTGATCTCATCTCTGCTGAATCCAAGACCTACAAATGCTTCAACAGAGTTTGCAATCTTCTTCTCCGAGAGTGCCAAGAAAATTGGAGACTTCTTGAAAATCTCCCAAACATCTCCAGAAGCAAAGCCTAACCTTTTCTCCAGAACACAGAGCTTCTCTTGTATTGTTTCGTCACTCAGTTTGTAGAACACTTTAAGAGCTTCCACAAACTTTGAGGTGGTTGGATCAAAACCCATCTCAACAACCTTCTTGAGAGACTCTTCAAACCTCTCTTTCCCACACACGATTTGGTCATCTGACATGAGCAATGAGAACAAGAGCCTCTGAGACACTCCCACTTCTCTCAGAACCGAAACGTTTCTGATTTTGTTCTCCTGCACACTGCCTTGTGGCAACAAAGGACTTAACTTTCTGTGCTCAAAGCTCTTATCAGCTTCGATAACCTCTTTGACGAAATCATAGTATACGCTGATGGTTTTGTCCTCTTTCAACTCCAAGATCTTTGGAACTTTTGAGAGTATCTTAGTGAGCTCAGAGATTGAAGCTCCTCTTGACTGCAAAGACTGAAGCTTTGGAGCAAGAGACTTCTCAGCATCTTCTATAAGCAACTGTGGATAATCCGTAACGATGTCGGAGATCTGAGAATCTGTGAAGCCATGGCTTCTAAGAAGACTCAGAACCGTATCTGGATTTGCCTTGTTCTCGAAAGTGACTTTCTTTGAGATCGATTCTGCGAGTTTTGAAGCTAAACCCAGAGATTCAACGAGGTAAGAGACTGTAAAGTTTTGACCTTTTCCATCTCCAGAGCTAGTAGAGAAGAACGAATTGGAAAAAGCAGAGTCATTTTGAAAAAGGTTCACTGAAGAAATTCTCAAGCTACGACATTTCTGCAAATCGAGCAATCTTCTTCCATAGTGAATCAGGGAATACATGAAGAGGTAAAGCCTACTACAACACCACCCAAATGCTCAAAGCTCAATTCGAGAAAACGAATCAAAAGCTCAACATTTCTGCAAACTTACTGTAAAGATCGTTGAACAAGTTCCCGTTTGAGAGACGGTAAAGATTGATTGATGAGTTGATGGATCTTTCAAGGATTTATTTCACTTGCGAAACTCAGAACCGCAAAGGATCCAAATTTGGGGGAGAAGAAGTAGAAAAAAAAATGGAACGATTTTTAGGGTTTTTGAGCTTTACAAAATTAAAATTGAAATTAGCGAGGTGTGTTCCCAATTCGGACTCATGCCTAGCCAAAGAACTATTTCGACTTCATTAAACAGAATATTCATTTAATGATTTTCTAATGAAAATTATTAAAATTATTCTTTAGATGTTATTTATATTATTTTCAATAACAATTTTTTCTACTGTTTGTTAGACAAATTGTCAAATTCTAGTCATTTTAAACCAGGGACACAAAATGCATATAAATCTCCCAACTGATAACTATTAATGTTTCAGTGAGGTTATAAATTTATAATATAGGTTTTTGTTGTGGTGATGATCTGGATTAACAGCTCCAATTATTATTACTCTACCATAGTCTTGACTCTTGACCACCAAAATTCCAGTTTCTAAAATATATATACTTTCTCTGTTCTCCAATAAAAAAGTAGGATTTTATAAACTTTTTTTTCATAAATAAATGGTGTTCAAAGTTCAAACAAATCAATTTTGAAAATTAATAGTATTTGCTTTGTTCCTCTTGGACCCAATTCTGTTCTTATTAGATACGGTTGTATTTGATTGAGCACAAACGAGTCTTAAAGCTAACCCATTAAAGACCCATTCTGTTGTTAAAAGCCCATTAAAAACCCAATTGTACAATTATCTCCGCACGTAACCGAATTTTGAACCTTTTTAATACAACGGTGTGACTTAACATAAATCAAGCCGTTGAGAACAATCAAGCGATCCTCAAAGATATTTGAAAATTTTTCCCCGAATCTCAGATCTCTTCTTCTCCATCAATCTGCCGTTATCGTACCCGTAAAGCTAGACAATGAGATCGCCGTGTAACAAGAGAGCCGTATCGGAGAGTCACCGGAGTCTGATTAGCCATGAACGAGTCGGAATCTCAGGTACTTGAATCTCCTTCCATTGAATTTGATTCACATCGAAACTGATTCGGAAATTCGATTTCATCTGGATTTAATTACTCTATTGGAATGATTTTGGATTGGAACTGCGATTTGATTGGTGAGATTGTCTTCTATTGTGCAAATCGACTCTACGATTGAATAGTGAATCTTTTGTTTGGGATTTGTTTTATTTTTCTTTTCAAAGATCTGTTAATGAGTTTTAACGCTACAACTTAGAGATATTGTATTTTGGCTGTAGCAATTTAGATATGATTGTTATTGAAATTAAAGTGTCACTCTGTTTCCTCCTTGGCTAGTGATTTAGTGGCAGATGACCAAATTGTGTTTGATCTTATTAAATGTATAGTCCGGTTTATATCCGGTTTAGTTGGTTATTGAGATTAAGAGTTTCCTTTAGCAATTAATCTCCTTGTATATAAACAAGCTTGTAACACTTTGAGTCATTAATGAGAAATATGATTCATAATCAATAATATCTCTGTGGTCTCATTTTTCAGCATCAAAGTACGACGTGGATCCATGTCAAAGTCTGTATCAAGAGACGGTTTGATAGTTGCAGGGAGGTTCCAACGGAAGCTTCTTCGTCAAGTAATTATTCTCTGTTTCCTCTGCTTGTTAACTTCTTCTCGTCTTGAACGTTGATGATATGTTGATTTACAGTGTTATATAATTTCAGGAGAATGTATCAATGTATATGCCAAGAGACTTGCGATGCGTAGATACATGACAACAATAAACCAAAGTAAGCACATTGTTTGACAATAACTTTTTCTGTCTTTCTTTTAACTAAGTTTGAATAAAAAGTTTTTGATTGTTGAATTAATTAAAAAACTGGAAAGCCAAGTTAATGAATTGTGAAAACCAATATAATATGGCATCTTGTCTTTTGATTGTTATTGGTGTCATGTTTAACTTGTTTTCATATTTTAAAATAATTTAGCTCTTAAGTTTTTGATTAATTTGATAATTTTTTTTTATATTTCTATTAATTAATTATATTTGAAATAAAAGTTTTTGATTGTTGAATTAGTTAAAAAACTTGAGTACTAAATTACCAAAACTGTGAAAACCAATATAACATGGCATCTTATCTTTTGATTGTTATTGGTGTCATGTTTAACTTGTTTTCACATTTTAAAACAATTTAGCTCTTAAATTTTTGATTAATTTGACAATTATTATTTTTATTTCTTTTAACTAATTTGGTTTGAAATAAAAATTTTTGATTGTTTAATTAATTAAAAAACTTGAGTGCTAAATTACTAAAATTGTGAAAACCAATATAACATGACATCTTCTCTTTTGATTGTTATTGGTGTCATGTTTAGCTTGTTTTCACATTTTTAAATAATTTAGCTCTTAAGTTTTTGATTAATTTGACAATATTTTTTTATATTTCTTTTAATTAATTATATTTGAAATAAAACTTTTGATTGTTGAATTAATTAAAAAACTTGAGTGCTAAATTACTAAAATTGTGAAAACCAATATAACATGACATCTTGTATTTTGATTGTTATTGGTGTCTAACTTGTTTTCACATTTCAAAGAATAATTTAGCTCTTAAGTTTTTCATTAATTTTACTCTAATATTTTTTTTTCATATCCACACTAAGAAAACTCAGCAAAATTAAGAAAAAATTATCTCTATTAAGTTTAGATTAATCTAACAATAAAAAAAATCTATTTCTTTTAATTAGGTTTGAAATAAAAGTTTTGATTGTTGAATTAATTAAAAAACTTGATTGCTAAATAACTGAATTGTGAAAAACGATATTAAAGAACAATTTAGCTCTTAAGTTTTTGATTCTTTTGACTCTAATTTTTGTTTTCATTGATATCCACACTAAGAAAACTTGAATACAAAATAAAATAAATTTAGCTCTATTAAGTTTACATTAATCTAACCTAACAATAAAGTTTTTCTCTTTCCTTTAATTAGTTTGAAATAAAAGTTTTTGATTGTTGAATTAGTTAAAAAAACTTGAGCTAAAATGCTAAATTACTGAATTGTGAAAACCGACATAATATGGCATATTGTCTTTTGATTGTTATTTTATTTGCATCATGTTAATTAAACCTGTTTTCACATTGTACAATAGTTTGACAATATTTTTTTTCTTTCTTTCATACAACTAGGACGAACATGATGGTATCCACACTTTAAAAAAGTGGGTGCTTACTTGAATAATGTAAAAATATAAATTGTGTCACATTCTTTATTAAATTTAGCTTTCTTAAGTTTTTGATTAATTCTTACTTTGTCTTTTTGATTAATTCTTAACATGTGTTATAATAATTCCTGATGTTTACCGATTACTCACTCGCTCTAAGAGGATGACTGAGCGATTTTCGGCAATCAGTGACACTATGCATTTGACTGATTTTACTCGGTGATTAGTGACAAAATTCGTTGATTAGTTTTTTTTAATCGGTATCAAATCTATATTTTTCTAAAATCTGTTTGATCAAAACATTATGTGATTAATCCTTTCCCCCAAATCATAAGTCATAACTATTGTTTAACCGCTTACGCACTTTAGATTTTTTTTTTTGCCAACTTTAACTATTTTTTTTTGGATTTTGTTTTTGTTAATAGTTTTGCCAACTTAAATTATTAACCGCTTTATCTAAAAGAAGGTCAATAATCGAATGCAACATAAATTTTCACCAAAAATATAGAGGAAAGATCTAATGTAGCAGAACAAGATGTTACAAGAGAAGGATTAGCAGTACCACTAATTAATTTAGATTTAGTTATATGATCTAAGTCACAATTAACAAGACAATTTTTATTTTCTTTTTCTTTTCTTGATACTCTAATCAAACACGATCTTGAGACAAGAAAGAGTATAATATGAGAGAGAGATGTTGCCATGATCAAGTGTAATCAAACACAATTTTAATTTCTTTTTCTTTTATCGATACTAATTAAACACGATCTTGAGACAAGAAAGAGTATGATATGGGAGATGATGCCATGATGCCATGAGACAAGAAAGTGTAATCAAACACAATCTTTATTTTCTTTTTCTTTTTTCTTTTCTTGATACTAATTAAACACGATCTTGAGACAAGAATTACGTTTACATCAATGTAAGATCTCTCAAGAACCAAAAATATCCTTAAGCCAAAATGGGTAGCACGACAACCACATTTTATAGTTAATTCAAATTTCAAAATACTGAATTTAATTCACGATGCAACGTCGACGCAGGCATGATCCGGAGATTACTTTCTTTGTTAATTATTCCCGAAAAATTCCAGAGTCCTATTTAAACACTAGATGTTTTACTTGTCAAATATTCATAATCTCTTAGTTGGCTCTTCATCTTCTCCTCTGTCTCGCATCTGCTTAAGGCTGTCCAGAGATTGTTCGACCGTAAGTAAGTCAATTTAACTTCAAACTGTTTAGAATCTAGAGAGTGTTCATCAAGCATGCAAGGAGATTTAAGACATAATTGGTTTTGTTGGACAAAGTTTTTTCCGTTTTTGTTTTGTTTTTATTTAGTATTTTTTTACTTGGATGACACGCTAAGATTTAACAGTTTTGCATGAAACAATCGTTGCAGGGATTCAGTAAAAGATGGATAAGGGGGAAGCAACAAAGCAAGCCGTGAACATAGTCTTGGTAGGTCGTACAGGGAATGGGAAAAGCGCCACGGGGAACAGCATCATTGGACAAAAAGTATTTGAGTCAGAAGAAGCACATGCAACAAAATGTCAGAAGCATGAAGCTGTCAAAGGAGATGATCACACCATCAACGTGATTGACACTCCAGGTACATGCATGGTTACACTTGAACCTCAAATTTATTAGGAAGCCTGCTTTTGTCAATGCATGGCCTTGAATATATGTGCTTAATGTGTGTTGGGAGTACGTACAAGTCTGTCTGACTTGGTTGTATCCGCTAAGTTTATAAGTAGAGAAATTGTAAGATGCCTAACTCTAGCGGAAGGAGGGATTCACGCTGTGGTCTTGGTTCTATCTGCAAGGACTCAGATTACGGAAGAGGAAGAGAGCACACTTGGAATCTTGCATGCTCTCTTTGGGAGTGAAATCGCTGCTTATGTTATCGTCGTTTTCACCGGCGGTGATGTGCTGGGAGAGAAGGGTGTGACACTAGAAGAGTTCTTGGTTGGAGAAGATTGTCCTCCCTTCGTAGAGGTAGGTTGGTTCTTTCACTTCTTTGAACACTATGATATTCTTGAGATGCAAGGTAGGTTGGTTTTTTTTTTAGGGTTTAAATTCTCATATATGTTAAAATTTTGAATCGTAGGAAGTTTTGAACATGTCTGGTAACCGAATGGTTCTGTTCGACAACAAAACAAATGATGAAAGCAAGAAGGCTGAGCAAGTCAATAAGCTTCTCTCTCTAGTAGATGAAATCAAAAAGAACAACCATGGACAGTCATATACAGATGACATGCACAATGAGATAAACGTAAAGATTTATGTTTTAAGTCATCTTCATCTTGCCTTAAAACTTGTTCGTTCCCTCGTGAATATTTGTATAGATATAATCCTATTTGTGTACTATCTCAGGAACATACCGACAAACTAAGCAAGGAGCTTGAGGAGATTGAATCAAAAGAGCATCCAGCTGATTTGGAATCAGAGTTGAAAAATAAGTTGCATGCATCGTTTGAAGAGAGTATGACGCTTATGTCTAACGAGGTAGGGAAATAATTAATAGTCAGTTGTAAATTGTTATTTGTTTGTATGCTAAATAGCATCTTGATCTTTCGCTAAGGTGGAGAAGAAGCTGAAAGCTGCAAAAGAAGAGGGGAAAGTTACGGAAGAAGAAGAAGAGACAGGCCATGTACGCGCTCAAAAGCTCCGTGCAACAGCAGTTATTCGTTTGTGCAACATCCTGTGAGCAATGTCTTCAAGTTTCAATTTTTTCTTTCTTTTGTTTTCTTCAAAATTCTGCTTACCGTTTTACCATTTTGCACCTCAGAGTTCATGCTCTGTCCAAAAATAATAACGTTGTTTCTTTTGTGTGTGGACTTTCCTATATTTATGTTTGTTTGCATGAGTGTATGTATGGCCACAAAGATCTTCTTATTGCACCTATCTATTTAGTTTGCAATTTTTTTATTCATTCGGTCCAAAAAGCTTCACTCTCAATTATCTAGACTCATTCTCACTCTCCTAAGATCTCATAAGTCATAACCATCTCCATGATTTGATTCATATGGCCAAAGTTCATTCAACAACAATCGAATCATAAAATGGCAAATCCAGAACATAACGAGCAACTTTTTATAAACCTTCTGACCTATGAAGCATGATCTTTGGTGAAGATAGCCAACAACTCAGCCACAAGCTCCTTGTCACCGTGCCTCCTCACATATATGTTTAAGAAAGCTTCATCCGCGATCTTCATCAAAACGTATTCCATTGAAGGTAGTTTGCTTCCTCTGTTTCCTCGCAACCCTTTGGACATGAGAGCTTTGACTACGTTACACCTTGTTTTGCTAACTTTAACTATTTTTTTGTTGATAGTTTTTGTCTATAACTATTGAGACGTGTCTGAATGGCACTGGCTGTTTAAGGTTCATGGACGACATTAATGAAAGGAATAACATTGTTGAGACTTGAGAGTGAATTTAATTAAAATCCTTGTTGAAGCACGTTACTATTTATCTTGGTATGATAAATCATAAAACTGATTACGTAAACAATCGGAAACGAGGAAGAAAGCATTAACTGTTATATGTCGACATTGTTGCTTCAAGTTTTATCCACAACGCCTATCTGTCAAGAACAAAAAGATCTTTAAGCCAAAATGGGTAGCACGACAACCACATTTTATAGTTAATGTTTTTTTTTTTAATAATGAAAAATTTAAAACTGAATTTTTAATTCGATACTAATAATGATTTTAGTTCACACGATGCAGAGTATCCATACAAGAAGATAAACAAGTTAGATGCAAAAACTCATATACAACGACGCATGATCCTTATCTTAATCTTTGCCACTGGTAATTTTTATTGTGTAGATTCTAAAAAACTTTTGGGGTATTTGCAGGTGTAGGCATGTAGTAAACAAGGGAAAATTTCCACATATAACCCGAAATTTGTTTTTTTCTATAACCATAACCCGAAACTTGAAAGTATTGCAAAACTAACCTGTTTGGGTAGCGAAATTACAAAGGTCACCCTCATGAACAAACAAAAAAAATTTGCCGCGATTACCAAATTAACCCGGAGCGTAGGTCTACGCTTGCTGTCTACATATAGACTTTTATAGTCGGTCTACCTTGTATTTTAATTTTATATTTTAATTGGGAAAAACAAAAAAAACATTTTGATGAAACCATTTGCATACATAAATCATAAATAGTAATTTGCATCTTGGAAAATTATAATTGCATACAAATGAGTCAAATTAAACTAACATAGGCAAATTAGTTTGGAAAGCTGTAAAAACGTAAGAGGTCTACGGATGAGGTCTACGGTTTAATTAAATGAAACTTTTAATTTATAAAATAAATAGAAAATATTTAGATGAAAAATTTGTATTCATAAACAAGACAAAGACAATTAGAGTCCATATAAAATAAACATACATGTTAATAAGTGAATTTAGGTTGACAAAAACAAATTAGGTTAGAAACTTGTAAAACCGTGAGAGGTCTAGCAACGAGGTCTACAGGAAAATGAAATCTTAAAAATAATTTTTAAAATTGATAAAAAATAATTTGATAAAAAACTTGTATGCATAATTAATTCTTATACATTTGACATCTATTGAAAATAAATTATACGAAAAATGAATCAGTCTATAAATGTCATGAGTAAATGTTTCAAATTGATAAGAGTTTGGATAGATAGTTTAGGGTTTAGTTGTCCAATTCTTAGGGTTTAGATAGTTTCAATTTGTATTTTTGTTTTTGGTTGGTTTTTTTATCTATATTTAATTGTTTTGTTATCCAAACCATAAATATTGTAAATGGCAAACAAAATTTGATATTTGGTTCATGTTTTTTATAAAATTTGTGGTTTAGGGTTATGTAGACCTCAGTTGTAGACCGCACAAGAAGGTAAAATTGAAATTAACCGGAATGGTTTAGAAATTAAAATAGCGGGAATTCCAAAATTTGAAAACCAATTTAGCGGGAAACAAATTCTAAATTTGATGGACCGTGTTCATAGACCACATTCGTAGACAACGTTTGTAACCATGTTTGTAGACCTCAAAAAACTATGGTTTAACCTAATTTTTAAATAAACCGAAAAATAAATTTTGATAAACCGGAATTTTCTAATTTAACCGGAAAATTTATCTCATGTATAAAAGAAAAAACCCTAATTTTGTTAAAAAAAAAAAAGAACCTCTCTCTTCAAACGGCGCTCTCTCTCTCTTTCTCTTCTCTCTCGCCTAGAACCTCAACCTCACTATCTCGCCTCGCCTTCTCGTTCTCGCCGTCACCGCTGTTTCGTTCTCGCCGTTGCCGCCGTGTCGCGTTCTCGCCCTTCTCTCCCTCTCTTTCGCTGTGAGCTTTCTCCCTTGCATGTTGTCGTAGAGTTAAGCCTTGTTCTTTATCTGTCTTAATCCCTCTAATGCTTCTTTTCTTTCTCTGTTTTCACTTTTTTGTTTGCTCATACTAGATCTTTCATCGATGCCTCCGCTTCACCTCTGCATTTGGTACATCCCGTCCGACCTGTCTCCACCTGATCTACAGAACTCCCCACCTTCTCGGGCTTCTCCGGAGAACAGATTTTTTAGTCTCCGTCGGTGGACATTTATACTGTCGAGATATCTCTGCCTCGTCCAACTTATCGTCCAGTCTCTAGCCGCTGTCGTTTGCAGTGGTAAGCCATTTATCTTCTCTCCAGAACAGATCTAATTCAGATTTGAGCCTCAACATAACATATTGGCCTATTTTTCTAGATCTAAGCGCCAAAGAAGCTTCAGAGGAAGAAGGTCCGAGCAGAGATTGAAGCGGAGGAGAAATTGTGGGGGAGGTTTCATGAAACAATTCCGCTTTGGACTCTGGAGGTACAATTTGATTATGAGATGAGAAACGATTTCTTAAGAAATTAGAGAGAACTAGATGTTAAGCTGAGAAGGAAAAGATATGATTTTTTTGGTGGAATTTTGCAGGAAGAAATTGGTTCGTCTTGCTTAAGCTCGAAATTGGTTCGGCTCACGGCTTGTGTTTCTTCCCAGGTAAATCTGACTTTCATTTTCTCTTCATATTTATCTACATATCTTCTTGCTTATGCTTATATTGTGTATCATATTGATTTTGTGTAAGAGCTCTGATTTTGGATTTGAGATGATGTACTGCTGAATTGCTGATACAGAAAATTTTCTTTTTTAGCTTATCTTTTTCCCCAGATTGTTTTTGATTGATTGATAGGGAAGAGGCATGAACATTGCGTCACAAATGTTTAGGGATTAGTTTGAGCTATTTGGTAGCATTTATGGTCTGAAATTCCTGAGCAGTGTTTTGGGTTCGTTTGCACAGTCAGCTGATCAAGCTGGATGATCCAGCCAGATGGTTCAGTCAGATGATCCAGCCAGATGTTGTTCACCTTTTTTTACTCTCAGCCAGATGGATCAGCCAAATGAATCTCTTGTTCGTTTTCTCAGTTAGATGGATCAGCCAGATGCTTGTAATGGATAATGACTAAAATGCCCTTATTTTGATTTGTAACACATTTCAGCCCAAAACCTCAAACAAAACAAGACATTTTAAACTGATAATTCAATGCTTAAACAGAAATGAATAAAACGCAACAATAATCCAAAACTGAGTCATTTATAATTGAAACATCCATTGCAGCTACAAAGTTTTGTACTTTCTGCTAACAAATCATCACAGACAATGAAAAGTAGATATAAGGACCTGAAATTCGAGCTCCATAACTGCAAGCTCGCTTTTGAACATGGATCACACGATCACATACCCAGAAAGCGAATCCAACCTGGAAAGACACATTAAAAAAAAAGCCGAATCAATTTGTTTGTCAGCTTCTCGTTAGTGAAAAATAAAGATAAGAAGCAGCTACAAACAAGAAACATACCTGTTAGTATGGAAGTCTAGTTCCCTGCGCCATCTCTGTGGTGATTCTATCACGCACAGCCTCCATCACACGATCACCAGCTGGTATGTAAGGAACATGAGCATGATTTTGATCACCATGCTCTTCATATCCTTCCACCATTTCCCAATGAGTAAAATCAGAATCCTCCATATTTGAGTCCCGAATAAAGTTGTGAAGCGCCATTGTTGCTGAGACAATCTTGATCCATTTCTTCAGCTCATATTTAGGGTGTTTTCGATCCAGAATCCTCCATTTAGCCTTCCAAACCCCAAAGGTTCTCTCAATAACTGAGCGCAAACTAGAATGCTTGCGGTTAAACAGTTCTCTGCTGTTCGTAGGAGGTCCTCCTCTGTTGAATAGATCCAGATGGTACCTTGTCTTGCGATGAGGTCCTAAATACCCACTTCTTGTTGGATACCCAGAGTCCACTAAATAGTATTTTCCTGGAGGAGGATGAGGAAAAGAAGCTTCTTTTGTAGCACAGTGTGTCAATACCTTAGTGTCATGCGCTCTTCCTGGAACTCCTACATAGCTATAGATGAATCTCATGTTGAAGTTGCATAGAGCTAGTATGTTCATGGTTGGTTCTCCCTTTCTTCCTCTAAACCGATCTGCATCCTCTGCTGAAGGACGAACTGACACATGAGTACCATCAAGAGCTCCTATGCAATCTCTAAAATAAGGCCAATACCTTTCATTACCAAGCAGAAAAGGACTAGCATTGGTGAACTCATCTCTTTTAGGCTTCACTATGTGTTTTGCGAGTTTCAAAACAGCACTCAAAACATCATCTAGCTTCCTTTTCACTGTGTCAACTGAATGTTGATATCTCTCAGCTAGTGCCCTTATAGTAAGATCTTGTGCAGCCATCTCTATGAACATTGCAACACTCTCTTCAAGATAAACGTTCGAAGATTCCTCTAGTTTATACTTCTCGCTAAGCGTCTTGCATAAACTCTTGAATGTGGACTGATTCATTCGCAGAATCTCAAAGCACTGCACCTCAGATTCAAACATCAACTGTTGCACACGGCGCCAACCTTCTCCTCGGTTTGTTCTCACTAACTGTCTTTCAACATCAACCTCATCCTCACCTTCATCATCACCATATATTTCTTCTAACAGAGCATACATATTCTTCTCTTCCTCGATTAACAAATCAACGTCATCATCCTCAACTAAAAATCTAAATGTTTCCTACAAAACCAGAATATAAATCATTACTAAACCAGACATTGAATATGAATCATATTTTACATATGAGTCCTATTTTAAATATGAGTCCTATTTTGAATATGAATAATATTTTGAATAGAAATCACTAGAAAGCATTAGAAATCATCTATGTCTGATTCACATACCTTACTGTTCATGTTTGTGAGATCTTTAACCAAGAAGAACAGGGTCTGATTACTAGAAACTTGAGATATCAAATCCTGAGAGCACACAAAACATTTAGAAAACTATAGTCAAATGATGATAAGAAGGTTCATGTTCTGAGAAAATGACCAACCGGAACATGAACCCGAGAACTAAGCACTCTCTTTCACTAACCAATCTCATACAAACCAAGTACGTATTATCACCAAAACACACTGCTAAGCCAAGCCTCTGCACAACAGTAAAAAGGATTCAAGACGGTAAGGAATAGAACCGAGAGTAAAATTGGCTTAAAAGGGAGAGAAAGAGAGAGGCTTTGTACCTCAGATGCTTCTTCTCCTAAACGCTTCTTCTTCTTCTTCTCTTAAGCAAGCTGAAACCAAGAAAATAAACTTGTTTCTCATACACAAAAAAAAAGGTGACATTAGAACATAGACAACACAAATTGATTATAAGATTAGAAGACAAATAACACAAATTTCATTCTCATTGCAGAAAATAATCTTGTTTCTCATACAAAGATTAGAAGACAGATACTAGAGTTCATAAGAAAAAAAACATAAGAAAAGACTAGTCCAATTAGACAGATTAATCCTCTCTGAGCCTTCACCCATCCCTGCTTTCACCAGTTTCGACCTCCAAATAGATAATTTTGTTCTCATCATCTTCATAAAACAAGAAGGTCTGACGATTGGTAATATCCTGCTTGAGATGTTTAATTGTTGCCTTGTACAAAGGAGACCACATCTTTATAGCAGGCAGCGAGTGTAGAACTTCCATTGCTCTGAGCTGAGAGCAACTAAACTCTGGATGGTTCTCTATCAGTTGGTTCTTGTGGGCAAGAATCTTGTCACGTGACTTAACACTGTCCCTAATCACTTCTGCCACATCTTGTCCTCCTTGCACAGACCTTGATCTTTTTTTCCTGGAACTCCTAGTGGAATATGAGAGACCATTTCCATGCGAAGATGAAGGTCCATTATTGCCAATGACAATATTGGAAGCTGAGGGTCTTAGAGTTGCAGGAAGGTTTTGCGTTGACTCTGCATCAGTCTTTGCATCTGCATCAGTCTCAGTTGCTTGAGTAGGAGGGATCCGAGTAGATTGAACATCAACACAATCAGCACCGAGTTCTCGATCCAGTTGCATTGCGTTTAGATGCTCTTCCCCTTGCTGAGCACTCCAACCTTCAGCTCCACTTACATGAGCTGTACTAAACACCCTTTCCATCAAATCGAGGTTTAATAATGGTTTATCTTTTAACTTTTCAGCTCCCGGCCATTCCTGAAATCAAACTGAAACACTAAGTACCAGAAACCATGAACAAAAACACCAAGTACCAAAAACACTAAACACTATATATACCTTAATTCGTTCAGCCCACCAATCCTCAGACATATTTAAGGAGCCATCTGGAAAATAACCCAAACCCGTTTTGTTGTGAACAAGTCTCTTGTATGCTTCGAATTGCTTCTTGCAAGTAGTGAGCTTGGACCCAAACTTTTTCCATTCATGTCTTTCTCCAAATCTCTCATGGAACTTTTCTATGATTGTCTTTCTCCCAGTGTCATTAGCATTCTGCAATCTTATATTTCCTTTCTCTTTCTCTTCAATTCTCAGTTGAAGATAGAATCGGGTTTGCTCGTCACTCCATGTAAGAGTCTTGTATGAAATCATTCTAACTACTCTCAGAAAAAAACATTCAATCATATATGAGAGATTAGAGAGAAAGATACTTACATCACTACTCGGTATAGAGCTCATTGTTTCTCTGAAGATGTGACAACATCTATCTCTGCAGCATTTACAAGAAAACCAAAAACTCAATACTCAAATAGGAACCGCCTCTTACATAGAAAACGAGCAAGCAAATTCCAAAGGCTCATAACCCATAAACCTCTTTCATGCTTCACACAACAACAAGTTATAATCACTATACTTCTTTCATGCTTCAAATCGAAAGTATATATTCCAAAGAAGCAACAAACCATGATTTCTGTATATTATACTTGCGAACTTCACAAACATTAATGTTCTGAAACTTTATTTCTTAATCTTATCAATCACAAAATCAACATCAATGTCTATTTAGGAATGAAGAAACAAAATCAGATGAAGAGCTTGAGACCCATAAACGAAAAAAGAGCTTGAGAGAAGTTTTAAAGCTAGATCACAGAAATGAATCATCTATAGATACTATGGTATTTCCCAAGTGCTAGTTCATAAATCTGTCTCGCATTCACTACACGCATTCACTACACGGAACCAAAAAGTCACAACTCCTAAAAAGGGCCAATACAATTCTATTTCAAACTATAAAAAAAGGATGCAAAAACTCAAGAGCTTCACACAAATTATCAAAGAAGCAACAAACCATGATTTGAGAACTTCACAAAACCAATAGAAAGTATAACTTGAGAACTTCACAAAATCAGATGAAGAGCTTGAGACCCATAAACGAAAAAGAGCTTGAGAGAAGTTTTAAAGCTCTAGATCACTAGTAATCAAACCTTAAAGAGGCCCTTGAGATAAAATCTAGAATCCGCCGTCTGAGAGAGAAGCCGCCGGAGAGAAACTCTGGAGAGAGAGAGAGAAGCCGCCAGTCGGAATCGAGAAGCCGTCGGAAAGAGAGAGAAGACGCCGGAGAGAAACTCTGCTGGAGAGAGAGAGAAGCCGCCGGTCGGAGAGAGAAGCCGCCGGAAAGAGATCGAGAATCCGTCGGCGAGAGAAGAGGCTTCGATCCAGAAGAAAGAAAAGTGAAAAATAGATTTTAGGTTTTTGAAATGAGAGGGTTAATTTTGTAATTTGATTTTTTGAGCTGAAGATGAGTCAGGCAAATGATTCATTTTGGATCAGGCAGCTGACTTTCAATTTTTGGCCTAAACTTTTAAAAATCAGCCAGCTGATCCATCTGGATGATGATCATTTTTGATGTAAAACGAACAACAGTTGGATGATCCAGCCAACTGGATCAGCTGACTGTGCAAACGAACAGGGCCTTACTCGGGAGGCTGCATCACCGGAATCTTGTGAACATGGTAGGATATTGTTTTGATAAAAGTCACAAGATGTTGATCTACTTGTTCATGAGTAATGGAAGTTTGGAGAATCTTTTGTATGACGGTGAGTTCATGAGTAATAGACGTAGCAAGATATTAATTTCTCTAGTGTAGAGTTTCACAAGATTTACTACTTTGATTTTCAGGTGAATTAACGCAAGTTTTGAATTGGGAAGAGTGGGACCGAAGCTATAAGTCAGCCTATGTTGGAATCTCGTTCTTGGAAATGTAGAGAAGCGTTCATAGCCATAGTTTTTTTAATGATTTTCTTTCTTTCAAAATGCTTCTAAGTTATGTAAAAACATTATCATAGAGGAAACAAAAGTGTTTTAACAGAATAATTTATACAACATCACCAGAATCTGTAGAGATGTCCATAACTTCTGTCTTAATTCTATTAATCTATTAGAATCATAATTTTGGACTTAGTCTCCTGTTGCAAGCTCACAATACACAAACCATGATTAAAAAAACAGGAAACATGCACTAATAGTTATGTACTTGGTAAAAAACAAGAAACATGCAGTAACTATGATTAGACTTGGGATAACTCGTTTCTACAGTGCATAAGTTATGGAGGATCTTGAGTACATCCATAATGTTTAACTGATCTGTCAAGAAAAAAAAGATATGTAAGCCAAAATGGGTAGCACGACAACCACATTTTATAGTTAATGCTTTATTTTTATAATGAAAAATTTAATGCTGAATTTGTAATATGATACTAATAATGATTTTAATTCACGATGCAGCTAGCGTATCCATACAAAAAGATATTAAGCCAAAATGTATTGCACGACAACCACATTTTATAGTTAATGCTTCTTTTATAATGTAAAATTTAATACTGAATTTTTAATTTGATACTAATAATGATTTTTATTCACATATTTGAGCAGAAAATGTATAGCACGGCAACCACATTTTATAGTTAATGCTTTTTTTTCTATAATATAAAATTTAATATTGAATTAATTCCCAAACAAATCGAGATTCCTATTTGAAAATGAGATGGTTTTGTTTTGATCTGATTTTGTTTTTTTGTTTTTTTCAAAAGTCTTAAAATAAATCTGCCTATATGTGGGTCTTAATCTAGTTATACCATAAAATACAAAACAAACATATTATCCGGTTGTCACATATATCTCGTATCGTATATTATATGGTTGTTACATATCCCGTACATGCGGTTCCACGTTCTCCAATGCTTCGCCCGACCACCACGTTGTCCAAACCGGAGAAGGGGTCATGTGCATTCATTCAAACACGATCTTGAGACAAGAATCACATGATTCACATGAATGAAGAGATCAAACTCAAGATCAAAAAAGATCTTTAAGCCAAAAAAGAGTAGCACGAGCTGCACGATGCAAAATTAAATATTGAGTTTTTAATTCGATACAGGTAATGCTTTTAAATCACGAATCACGATGCAACGTATATCCACAAAAAAAGATAAACAAATGGATGCAAATGTGACATGATCCGGAGACTATTCCTTTTTTTAATTATTCCGGGAGCACATCCAGAGTCCTATTTAAACATTGATGGTTTACTCGTCAAATATTCACATAATTAATCTCTTTCTTGGCTCATCATCTTCTCAATCTCACCTGTCCGTCTCGCATTTGCTTTAGCTTGTTCTACGTTAAGTAAGTTCATCTCTCATCTTAATATCTTGTTATTATTTCAACTTCCATATGATATTGTTTAGAATCTAGTAGAAAGTTCATCAAGCACTCAAGCTAGCATGCACATTTGAAACATTACTTTTGTTCAGAAATATATTTCTGGTGAAAACAAAGATAATCTCATATTTTGTTTGATAAGTATCCAAATAAGAGTTTTCATTTTGATGATACGTACTTTTTCTATAGATTTTACTTGGATGACACGCTAAGATTTAACAGTTATGCATGAAAACAATTGTTGCAGGAATTCTGTAAAAGATGGATAAGGGTGAAGCAACAAAGCAAGCCCGAAACATAGTCCTAGTAGGTCGTGCAGGGAATGGGAAAAGTGCCACGGGGAACAGCCTCATTGGACAAAAAGTGTTTGAGTCAGAAGCACATGAAAAATGTCAGGCGCATGGAGCTGTCATGGGAGATAATCTCACAATCAACGTGATTAATACTCCAGGTAACATCGATACACTTGAATCTTGGATAGATTTGGAAGCCTGATAGTTTGTCAATGCATGGCCATGAATATATGTGCTTAATGTGTGTTGGGGGTATGTACAGATCTGTCTGACATGGGTTTACCCGCTGAGTTTATAAATAGAGAAATCGTTAGATTCCTAACTCTAGCGGAAGGAGGGATACACGCTGTGGTCTGGGTTCTATCTGCAAGGTCGACTCAAATTACGGTAGAGGATTTGAGCACACTTGGAATCTTGCATGCTCTATTTGGGAGTGAAATCGCTGCTTATGTTACCATCGTTTTCACGGGCGGTGATATGCTGGAAGAGGAGGGTGTGACACTAGACGAGTTCTTGGGTAGAGAAGATTGTCCTCCCTTCGTAAAGGTAGGTTGGTTCTTTCACTTCTTTGAACATAATGATTTTCTTGGAATGCAAGGTAGGTTGGGTTTTTTTGTTTTAGGGTTTAAATTCTCATATATGTTAAACTTTTGAATCACAGGAAGTTTTGAAGATGTCTGGTAACAGAATGGTTCTGTTCGACAACAAAACTCATGATGAAGGCAAGAAGGCTGAGCAAGTCAATAAGCTTCTCTCTCTAGTAGATGAAATTAAACGGAATAACCATGGACAGTCATATACTGATGGCATGTACAATGAGATAAAGGTAAGGATTTATGTTTAAGTCATGGTCATCTCTTGCCTTAACATATGTTCGTTCCCTAGATATAATACTATATGTCAGTATTATCTCAGGAACATAGCGACAAACTAAGCAAGGAGCTTGAGGAGCTTGAAGCAAAGAATCATCCAGCTGATTTGGAATCAGAGTTGAAAGATCAGTTGCATGCATCGTTTGAAGAGAGTATGACCCTTATGTCTAACGAGGTAAGAAAATAATTAATAATCAGTTGTAAATTGTTATTTGTTTGTACGCTAAATAGCATCTTGATCTTTCGCTAAGGTGGAGAAGAAGCTGAAAGCTGCAGAAGAAGAGCTGAAAGCTGCTGTGCACGCGCAGGAGCAAGAGAAGGATTCGATGGGAACATGTGATGGCTGGTACGAAGCGAAGAAGTTCTTTGCAACATGGAGTTGGGATTTAGCGATGTACCTCGCGCAGAATCCTCCTGGTCGTTGGGGGAGCGGTGGCGGTAGTTATCGTCCTTCTCCACGTCAATTTAATATGCGCCTCTAATCCTCCTCCTAGTTGCAGCATCCAATGAATGGTTGTCTTGTATGCAACAAAAAGTGTGCCTAATAAATACCAGTATCAAAAAAAGATTTTGGGTTGCTACGTGATACAGTTGAGGAGAATCTTTTCTTCCAAATTCCAATTTGTTTTTGTTTTTCTTTTCTTCAAAATTCTGCTTACCGTTTTACCATTTTGCACCTCAGAGTTCATGCTCTGTCCAAAAATAATAACGTTGTTTCTTTTGTGAGTGGACTTTCCTATATTTATGTTTGTTAGTTTGTTTCTCAATTATCTCATGGCGATCTTCATGATTTGATTCATACGGCCAAATTCATTCAACAACAATCAAATCATAAAATGGCAAATCCAAAACATACATTCTTTGTACTGAAAAGAGTTAGTGCAAAAATTCTTTCTTCTAGCAGAACTAATCTCGCAATCGAGATATTTCCCACTTGGATTGCCAACGAAAGAGATCAACACAAAGTCACAAATTGCAAAAAAAACCTTCTGCCCTATGAAGCATGATCTCTGGTGAAGATAGCCAACAGCTCAGCCACAAGCTCCTTGTCACCGTGCCTCATCACATACTTGTTCAAGAAAGCTTCATCGCCAACCTTCAGAACATATTCCATTGAAGGTAGTTTGCTTCCTCTGTTTCCTCGCAACCCTTTGACTACGTTACACCTCGGCACAATCCTCTTCTCCATGCTGAATCCAAGCGCATGAGGGAACAAAGCCACAGACTTTAACGGCCAATTCATCTGCTTCACAAGAAACTCAGTCTTCTTCTTCACCGTCTCTGCAGACAGATTGAGACACGAAGGACATCGTTTGAGCATTGTCTTGAACTCGTCTTCGCTGAATCCCAATCCTAGATATGTCTCAATGGAGCTCTCCATCTTCTGCTCCGAGAGTGCAAGAAACACTGGACACTTCTTAAAAATCTCCCACACATCTCCCACAGAAAAGCTTAACCTTTCACAGATGATACTAACTTTCTCTTCTATTGTTCTGTCACTCAACCTGTAAAACACTTTAAGAGCTTGCACAAACTTCCCTGTTGTGGGATCAAAACCCATCTCAACAACCTTCTTGAGTGATGCATCGAAATGTTCTCTCCCACAGATTGGTTGGCTTTCTGATATAAGCAAAGGGAACAAAAGCTTCTGAGGCATTCCCAAGTCTCTCAAAGCCAAAACGTTTCGGATTTTGTTCGCTCGCATACCTTCTGGCCATAAATGACACGACTTTTCATACTCTCCGGAGCTCTTATCAGCTTCTACAACGTCTTTGACGAAATCGTAGTATACGCTGATGGATCTGCCTTCTCTTTTCCCCAAGATTTTAGGAACTTTGGTAACAATCTCAGTGAGCTCAGAGCTTGAAGCTCCTCTTGACTGCAAAAACTGAAGCTTGGGAGCAAGAGATTTCTCAGCATCTTCTATAAGCAATAGTGGATAATCTGTGACGATGTCGGAGATCTGAGAATCTTTGAATCCATGGCTTCTGAGAAGATTCAGAACAGAATCTGGATTTGCCTTGTTCTCGAAAGTGACTTTCTTTGAGATTGATTCTGCGAGTTTTGAAGCTAAACCCAGTGAATCAACGAGGTAAGAGACTGTAAAGTTCTGACCTTTTCGACTATCTTGAAGAGAGCTCACATCTCCAGCACTAGCAGAGGAAAACGAAACTGAAAAAGCAGAGTCATTTTGCAAAAGGTTCACTTCAAATCTCAAACTAAACCATTTCTGCAACGCAATGGACCTTCTTCCATGGAGAATCAGAGAACACATGACAAGGGAAAGCTACTACCGAGCCCCAAATGAGAAGAAAACAGAAAGGGTAACACAAAACCACCAAATGCTCAAAATTCAATTCGAGAAAACGAAATTCCGTAAAAGCTCAAAAATTCTCCAAACTTACTAATGAGTGGGAGTGAACAAAAGACTCAACTCATCGATTGTAGAACAAGTGCCCGTAAAGATTGATGTGAGTGTTGGATCTTTCAAGGATTCAAATTTGGGGAAGAAGTAGAGAAAAGGAACGATTTTTAGGGTTTATGATCCTACCAAAGAATATTAAAATTAAAATTAGTGAACCAACAGTAAACCAAATTTAGTCAATTGTAAATCAGTGTTTGATTTGTCCTTAACCGGTTTAGAACTAAACCCTAAAAATCGTTCCTTTCTCCTCCCAAAAATTGGATCTTTCTGATTTTGAGTTTCCGCAAGTGAGTGAACGGAGATTGCGAATTCTTTAGTCTGGGCTATGAGTGAGTCTTTTTCTTCTTCTCGTCGGCTCCTTCTAGAGAAGTTTAGAGATTGAGCATCGAAGCTTCTGGTTCTCTTCTGCTCCTTTTACTAATTGTCATTGACTTGTCATCATGTATGCTCTGATACTCTGCGGAAGGAGGTCTATTGAGTTACAGAAATGGGGTAATTTGAGTGTTTCAGTGAAGCTTTTCCAAAATGTGTTCTCTGCTTTTTCCAATTCATATTCCTCTGCTAGTGTGACCCCTCGAGATGTTCGTAAAGGGAAGAACTTTACTGTCTCTTACCTCGTTGAATCTCTGGGTTTAGCTTCGAAGATCGCTGAATCGATCTCGAGGAAAGTCAGTTTCGAGGACAAAGCAAATCCTGATTCTGTTCTGAATCTTTTTAAGTCTTATGGTTTCACAGAGTCTCAGATCGGCGACATCATCACGGATTATCCACTGTTGCTTATAGAAGATGCTGAGAAATCTCTTGCTCCCAAGCTTCAGTCTTTGCAGTCCAGAGGAGCTTCAAGCTCTGAGCTCACTGAGATTGTTTCCAAAGTTCCTAAAATGCTGGGAATGAAAGAGGACAAAACCATCAGCGTATACTATGATTTCGTCAGAGAGATTATCAAAGCTGATAAGAGCTCAAAGTTTGAAACTTTATGTCATTCTTCTCTGCCACAGGGTAGTGCAATCGAGAACAAGATCAGAAACGTATTGGTTTTGAGAGAGTTAGGTGTTCCTCAGAAGCTCTTGTTCTCTATGCTCATCTCCAATTTCCGTACCGTGTGTGGGAAAGCAAAGTTTGAAGATACCATTAAGAAGGTTGTTGGGATGGGTTTTGATCCAACCTCGTTAAGGTTTGTGCAAGCTCTAAACGTTGTTTACCAAATGAGCGACGAAACAATGCAAGAGAAAGTCAGTGTGTATAAAGGTTTAGGCTTTGATGTGGGAGAGGTATGGGAGATGTTCAGGAAGTATCCGCCATGCATTGGTTTTTCAGAGAAGAAAATATTGAGCTCCGTGGAAACATATCTGGAGCTAGGATTCACTAGAGATGAGGTTACGATGATGGTCAAGCGTTTTCCTTCGTGCATTGGGTTATCTGCAGAGACGGTGAAGAGGAAGACTGAGTTTCTTGTGAAGCAGATGGATTGGTCGCTGAAGGATGTGGCTTCTCACCCACAGGTTTTTTCATACAGCATGGAGAAGAGGATTGTGCCGAGGTGTAACGTTATCAAAGCTCTCATGTCCAAAGGATTGCTCGGAAGTAAACTCCCTTCAATGTCGCCTGTTTTGTCGCGTACTGATCAGACATTCTTAAACAAGTATGTGTTGAAGCATGACAAGGAGCTTGTGCCTGAGTTGATGGCTGTCTTCACCAGAGTTCGCCATGGTTTCTAGACACTGTGGATTAATGTTTCTTTAACTTTGAGGAAGCTAGTTAGCTAGAGAATCTCCAATGAGCATGTAATAGTTTTTTATGTACTTCTTTGTATATCATGACAGCTAGTCTAATCAGTGTAAGTGAATCTTTGGATGCTGAGATTGAAGAGGAGAGTTTAACCAACTAAAGCTTTGGGATATCTTTTACAGAAAATATTGACTTTCTCTTCTCTAGTGTTTACATTCAAAGTTGTCAAAAGGAGATTACAGTTTGTTATTTTCCCAGTGGGACTGCGTATTAGGAGGACGTTTGGGTCAAATGAAGATTACAAAAGTCTAAACATTGGCTTCGAGACACTCATATTACTCCTCTGTTTTCCATTAGTCTAAACTTTGAGTGTTCGATCTTTCAAGGATCCAAATTTGGAGAATGTACAATTGTAACAACATATCACATTCTAGGAATCAATCTAAGATCTCCGGTTCGAGGAACCATCTAAACTCCTTCCTCGAGACACATGCAATAATTTATGAAGACTCCTTTTTTAGCTGCAGATTTAACCCTTTTCTCAAAGTTTTTAAAAGCCACAATAATGAACAAAAGAAAAGGTAGGGTTTATGACATTTAATTTCTCTAGCTCGTTTTTATGGCGGAAGAGTATTTATTATTTAATAAATAAAAACTTAAAAGTAGCAATCACATATTAATTTCCATATATATATATAATTAAAATCAAATCAAATCAAAAACTTGAACTGATTAAACCGTGTTGAACCATGATCCAAAGACATTTCTGATCAAAGTTTAATAATAATTTTACAAACAAAAATGAAATGAAAATCATATTTAAACTACAAAATACTATTTCTATCAATATTTTTTATAGAATTAAGTTGTTTTCGTTAAGTTTTATTGTGATTTTGAATAATACACGAAACATACACACTATTTACAAATTTGTGTAAAATATCCAAAATGTTGGACATCTAGTAGTTTTATGACAGTCCAAACAAAGGTAAGTGATATCACAGTCCAAATCTGTGATCTCAGTATCTCCTTAATTTTTTTTCGTTTTTTCTGCGATTGATGATTCATCGATATATTATTTGCAATCGAGGTTTGGCCAGAGAGTTGGTTATCAGGGATAGGATACGCCGGCTCAGCCTCATATGGAAATGAGAATGCAAACTGATTTTGTTGTTTTGCAAGCTTTGAACTGGTGTGGGTTGTTTTCCAGGAACGAGATGCCAAGAGAGATTCTCTGGGGTGCTAATGGATTGTATACCGAAGGGCTTCTTCTGATGCGTCAGCAAGCAACACATGAGTGAATGGATTTATTTGTGAAGGTTTGTGTTATATATATGATGGTAAAAATAGGTTAAGGTGTACTCATGATGCATTTGTTGTTAAAATTATGAGGAGTAGAAACTACTGATATCATTAACACATTTATATCAAAATTAATAGACACTCACTAGTCGCTAGTTCAACGTCATTTTTTTAAAATGTTTGTGAAAACACAGAATCAGAGCTCTAGTTAAAGTTTGAGAAACAAACATAACAGAATTTGGGACTTGAAAAACACCAAACGAACAAGCCAACTAGTAAAACATTTAGCAAGAAGAAAAACACTTGCATAGAAGAAGAACCATCTAAAACCAACACAAATGAAAAAAAGCAATAAGGGTTTTGACTTTGAGCTTCACAAAATACAATTGTTGACCAATTTTATTCAATTAGATCAGTGTTTGATTTGTCCTTAACCGGTCTATAACTAAACCCTAAAAGTCGTTCCTTTTTTCCTCTCAAAAATTGTATCTTTCTGATTTTGAGCTCCGCAAATGAGTGAAGTCGTGAAACGGAGATTGCGAATTCTTGAACAATCGAACAGTCAAAAGTTGCTGCTGCTGAGCTACGAGTGAGTCTTTTCTTCTTCTCGGCTCCTGCTTTCTAAAGAAGTTTTGAGATTGAGAATCGAAGCTTCTACACTGTGGAAATTTTGCTGCTTCTTCTCTCCGGTTCTGTAATTGCATTGCCTTGTCGTCGTCATGTACTCTCTGATACTCCATGGAAGAAAAAGGTCTATTGAGTTACAGAAATGGGGTAATTTGAGTGTCTCAGTGAAGCTTTTCTCTGCTTTTTCCTCTGCTAGTGTTGCGGCAGATGTTAGCCTTCGAGATGTTCGTAAAGGTCAGAACTTTACAGTCTCTTACCTTGTTGATTCTCTGGGTTTGACCACAAAGCTCGCAGCATCAATCTCGAGGAGAGTCAGTTTCGAGGACAAGAGAAGTCCGGATTCTGTTTTGAGTCTTTTGAAAAGCCATGGATTCACAGATTCTCAGATCTCAGACATCATTACGGATTATCCACAGTTGCTTATAGAAGATGCTGAGAAGTCTCTTGCTCCAAAGCTGAAGTCTTTGCAGTCCAGAGGAGGAAGTTCAAGCTCTGAGCTCGCAGAGATTGTTTCTACAGTTCCAAAGATCTTGGGAATCAAAAAGGAAAAAACTTTAAGCGTATACTATGATTTCGTGAAAGAGATTTTAGAAGCTGATAAGAGCTCAAAGTTTGAAACTTTATGTCATTCTTCTTTGCCACAGGGAAGTCCACATGAGAATAAAATCAGAAATGTGTTGGTTTTGAGAGAATTGGGCGTGCCTCAGAGGTTGTTGTTGTCATCGCTTATATCAGATAGACGAATTGTGTGTGGCAAAGAAAGGTTTGAAGAATCCCTCAAGAAGGTTGTTGAGATGGGTTTTGATCCAAAAACCTCAAGGTTTGTCGACGCTCTTCATGCTGTTAACCAATTGAGTGACAAAACAATACAAGAAAAGGTCAGTGTCTACGAAAGGTTAGGATTTGCTGTGGGAGATGTATGGGGGATTTTCAAGAAGTGGCCTTATCTTCTGATGTACTCGGAGAAGAAGATGTTGAGCTCCATGGAGACATTTCTAGGACTAGGATTCAGCAGAGACGAGTTCACGATGATGGTCAAGTGCCATCCTTCGTGCATTGGATACTCTGCAGAGACAGTGAAGAAGAAGACTCAGATTGTGGTGAAGCAGATGAATTGGCCGTTAAAGGCTGTTGCTTTGTTTCCTCCGGTGTTTGGATACAGCTTGGAGAAGAGGATTGTGCCAAGGTGTAACGTTATCAAAGCTCTCATGTCCAAAGGATTGCTCGGAGATGGAGGAAGTAAACTCCCTTCGATGTCGAGGGTGTTTGCGAATACCGATCAAGATTTCTTAAACAAGTACGTTAGCGATCATGATGATGACAAGGAGCTTGTGGCTGAATTGATGGCTATTTTCACCAGAGATCGTGTCTCATAGGTTTGCAAGCTTGTTAAAGGGTTCTGTTAGTGTTTGATCCGTCCATATAAATCTTTTGTTGCTGACAGTATGAATCAGAAGAAGTGAAACAAAAGATATTAACTATTAATGTCTGAAACCCAATCAAACTTTTGTAATCTTTATTTAGTCTGTGATTGACTCATTTCTATATGCAATCCTAATGTGCAATAGTCTTTTATGTACTTCTTTGTATATCATGACAGCTAGTCTAATCAGTGTTAGTTCTTTTGAAGATCTCCCACATCAAAGCCTAACCTTTCATAGGCATTTACTTTTTCTTGTATTCTTTTGTCTCTCAGTGCCAGAGACAACAAATTGCAGAGTGTGTTGTTCGAGAAAACGAATCGGCCATAACTTCTACTGAGCAAGAAAGAACATAAACTCACTCACTCATCGATCAGTGAATCATACTCTCATTGATTGTTGACGTTTCCGATTTTCTCCTTTCATTCACTTGCCAAACCCAAAATCTCAAAGAATATGAAATTTGGGGACGAAAATAGGGTTTTAGCTCCTTTCATCATAACATAAACCCCATCTTCATCAAGTCTCTGTTTCACACCATCTTTCACGGCCAATTCAGCCCAAGATCGTTAATAGGCCGAAAATTCCATCAGGATCAAGTTACAATTGAAGCCCAATATTATGGCCTTTGTTCATTTATGATTCAGCTAGATGAATATTTTATTCAAGTGTGCCCAGAGAATCCAGCAAAGTTCAATTTGGATGATGTCCATGTTGTAAAGGTCTTAGGAGGTGGTTTGGACAATTCTTGTCTTGTACTGGCAAAACCCTGATCAAAATCAAATTTTTATTTTTTAATGTCCCCTTTTAGTATAGTAATTTTTTTTGTGCCATTTTTCTATACTAATGTTTATCGACTGTCGCAACTATTCTATTGGGATCATAAGTAGGCTAAAGTGAGATGGCTTTTATGTTTTGGTCAAGTTTGTTTTGAGTATTTTGATCAAATTCCTGATAATTATAGTCTGTATGTCTTGTCTGTTTTCTGGAGATCGTTGTATATGTTAATGGAAGTAGCTATGCTCTTGGGAGCATGAAGCAGACGACTAAGGCTAAGGTGAGATGGCTTTATGTTTTGGCCAAGTTTGTTTTGAGTATTTTGATCAAATTCCTGAGAGTTGTAGCTTCTATTTCTTGTTTTTTCTGATGTATATGTTGATGGTAGTGAAAGTTCTCTTGTGAATGCAACAGCATATGAAAGTAGTCATGTCCTGATTCCTCCTGGTGCTCAATCTACTGCAAGGAGATTTCTCGAAGCCTTGAACAGGTTTTCTAATTTCGATCTTACTATGTGGAACTTTTTCTATTTCCAGCCTACGATGTACTCTGTCAATCTGATGGGATAGATTCTATGTATTCTCGCTGTGAAAAGTCTTGTGGAGTCTAGAATCAGTTTGATAGATTAAAGGTTTTTCATGTATAATTCATTGATCTGTCTAAGGTTATAATTGTAATTTGCCAATTTGACCTAGAGATGGCTCAGCCAAATGCTCCAATTTCGCTCAGCCAAATAGTTTCAAAATATTTACCTAAATTTGTAAAACTTGGTCAAATGATTCATCTTTACGTAATCATTTTTCATTTTGTTCATCAAGTTGTAAGTTTCTACAAAGTAAACAAATATTACTTCTAGTATGGGTCATTCATGGACGGTATTTGGAGTCTGAAAGCTCTTCTAGGGTTTCAAAAAATTGAATCTTGGACTTATAAGCCAATATTCTAAGATAAGATAGCAAATTAATAGAAATATATCACATACATTTTTTATATAACTGAACAAAAGGGATATAAGTATTCTTCGAACTTCGTTTAGCTATATTTTCATATCTATTATGTTAGTTTTTGCTAGGATTTGTGTTTCTTTAAGATACTTTTTGAATGGAAGTTAGTGTTTTGATATGTAAAAAACTAAAAACTCTTAGACTTCCTAACAGGACATGGGCAAAGATAAATGCTAGAGGCATAACCAGAATCTCCAAGCTCGGGAATACACAACTAAAAACTAATTTCTAGTGATAATGATAAAATTTGACGCCGACTACAATATGGGGTATAACTTATTTCATTTACTTTACAGTTTTTATTCGGTGACAAGCTATATATGTTTAGCTTCATGGAGTAAGTTTTTGAAGAAATAATAATTCAATTATTTTCAATTAATATTTTTGAAGTTTATTAAAAAAACATTAGAAATTATAAAGTCAATCTTTGTGGAACTAGAGGAAAAAAAAAATAACAATCTTCTAGGAATATTGGAAACATTTTATGTTTTTGAAGGTAAAAAAGAAAGGGAAAGTGAAGTCGTTCCAATGGAGGCAAAGAAATTTAAAAAGGGAAAGATAGAGAAACCATCTTCATTTGTTACATTTGGTTTGTCCTATAAGAGAGACAGAGCTCTTATTGTTGTGCCCATTCATTTATTTTCACATGCTTTCCTTTCTTTCTCATTAAATTCTCTTTTGCCTCCTTTCTGTTTTTCTTGAAAAAAATTCCTATTTATATTTCTATCTTAATTAATTAGTTTAGAATATTTAGTTTTACCATTGTTGAACATCGGTGATCGATCAAGATTAAGAAAACTGCAGTATTAGTGTATAGTTATTGACTTATTGTACATTCTAGTAACTACGATCCTTCATTAGATTAGTTAATCATTAGAGTGATAAATTTACAAAGTGAAAATGTCTCAAACTATTAGTTATATCCATTTTTTTATTGAACAACAGTATATAGATTTTGTCAATATATAATGGTAGACCCTATTCCATTTAATCCGTCTCGACAAAAATTTAAGGTTTTGGTCCTATACTCGTGGGTATTCTGTGAGATGTAATAAATATATGTGGCCACTTCGCAGGTTTTTGTTGGTTTTGCATATGTATGTGTTCACATATTTACATAATAATTAGTAGATCATATTGTCCCTTACTAAAGGTCAATTTGTTGAATATATAGTATATGACAACTCAAAATTAATTAGAAAGTAAAATTTTCCTGATTTTCTCAAGGTAGTAAACTACACTATTCAATTATTTCATATCTTAATGAAACTATAAATTATACATGAGCGGGCTTATCCGTCTCGCAGAGAGGCAGAGATTTTTGTTGTATAGTAATCACAATTAAATTAAGATTAGACCACAAGTAAGACTTTTTAACTAACGTTATAAATTATACTATCTCAAATAGACAACTCATATAGTTTACGTTTTAATTCTTTACGGGAGCTCGTTGTTCACGTGGGTTTGATCCACATGATACACGATAGATTTTTTTTAGGTTAATAAAACTATAGCTCTTACTAGTTTCATGGTGGAACGGTTATGTCCAGGTCCAACCAACGAGTTAACGAACATAATCGACACGACGACACTAAATACAAATTCAAATATAAAATAATATCCAATACTATAATCATATACAAAAAAAGCACTCCCATTAGTAATATTTCGATACAACTTTTTCTGTCTAATAAAGTATGATCTTGCATATGAATTTGAGTTTCTTTTTCTTTTCTTTTCTTCCAGCTTCTTGTTAATATCCGAACTCCAGAGCCTGCCTCCAGAAGATAAACATGAAAATAAAAACAACTCGGAAACAATTTAAGTATTCCTTTTCAGTGACGACCTTGTCTTTCAGAAATTATAAATATTATAGATATTATAATTTAGATGGAAACATAACATTAAGAAAGACTGTTGAAACACTAGAGAGAGCGTGATCCTTGACGTTAGACATCGATAACCGTATCTGCAATTATAACAATATGCTTCAAGAAATATGAAAAAACAGTATAGAGAATCGATATAGAGATGTATCTACCATAAACACCAACTAAACATGAAAGCATATTAAACACGTGATATTGGCACGGCTCAATCAAACAAACTGATCTCTAACACAACAAGAGTGCGGTTTTCTGATTGAACCGCACCAATATCTCGTATTGCCAACCTTCTCATCATTTGCTTATAATCTCAAACTGCAGATCAAAACGAAACCACAAGAAATCAAAGAAGCTAAATGATTTGAAAACGGAATTGAAACCTACCTTACAAGAGAAGGTACTTACCGTTAAACCGGTTTATAAATTACAGTTTTTTTTGTTTTTCTTTCTGTTATGCAGATATGGAAAAGAAGAAAGACAACATGAGCTATTGCAATGTTTTTTTCTTGAGTCTGGAAAGTGAAAGAAGATATAATTACGAAGAGGTGAAGAAGAGAGGCCAAAAGAAAAACAAGCATTGAATTAGGCCAACAACCCCCACAACAAAAAGGAAGTTGGTTGTATTAAATTTGAAAAATAATGTATTTTTAATTAAAAACAATTTCTTTACAAAAAAAAAAATTCTTTAAAAAATTATATTTATGTGTGTGTGTAATTTGTAATGATAATAAATAGTTTACTAAAAAGCAATACGAGTTTATTTGCCTCATAGCTTTCATTGAAACTGAACCACTCCTAAGAATTTCATGATGATAGTAGTAGCTAGTTCTGATATTTAAAAGTCGCTAAGAGAAAAGCTAAACCATTATATATGTACTCTTTTTTATCAAAAAAAAGAAAAGCTAAACCATATTTATGTACTCTTTTAGATAAAATATGTTACGACATAAAAATCATTTTGATTTGCTCGTAGTGGAAAGTTTCTCATGATACCATTACCATCACGTTATACATAATTTTAAAAAGTAAGACGAAGTTATATTCCTTCACAATTACGTCAAAAATCTCTGGCACAATATCTAATCAAAAGTCTCAACCCAAAGTCAATTTTTGCAATGGAAAAATTATCATCAAGTAATATACTGGGATGGGTTGCTCTTTGACCATATAATTATCGCAAATTTTCGTGTTAGAATTGGGAAAATGCAATATTCAATTGATGAAAGGTAAGAGATGCGTGCTGAAAAGTTTCTGATAAAAATGTATATTGTAACGTTCGAAAGAAAATGTTGATCATGTTCTCATACACCAAACTGAGCATGTTTATGCAATCTTTAGTAAAAACAAATTAATGTAAAGAGGTTTGTGGGATAAGATTTGATAAAAGGAACAAGGATCACATGAGACACGAGCTTTCAATTGGTATCAATGAGTGTTTGTAAGAGAGACAAAGGCATGTTGGTGGGGCTCTGCTACTTCCCAACATCTATTTGAATTTCGAAACTTAATTATGTGATTTTATTTTCCAAATATTCCTCTATAATTGTTTTCGTTTACCTTGTGATCTTCTACCTAAATAGTATCACTTTGAGAAGGAAAAAAAAAACAACAGAAATGATTAATTTTACCGACCAGAAAAGTTAGTGCAACCGTATCTTTTGAGAATAGGGTTTAATTGTAACAAAAAATCAAAATTTACCAAACGTAACAAATAAATTCAAACTTTACCTAATACATTCATTTTATTCGAAAAATCAAAACGTTTACTTGAAATCTAAATTACATTTTTATAAAAATTATGATTCGTGTAAAATGTAATCAAACGAGTCAATGTAAAAAACAATAAACAGAAAACATCAAATTAAGAACCAAAATTATTAAAGCATAATCCGGTACAAGTTTCCGGTTATGTGGTAGTAACAAAGTGATGACGTCGATAAGTCCCTAAATTAGAAGAAGCTTTCAGTTATTAGTTTCGTCCACTGATTTGGAAATCTTGAAAGTTGAAACCCTTATTTGAGTTTTCTACACGAAACCCATAAAAATTCGAGCTCTGATCGATTCTAGACTTTCTAGTTTCGCGATTTTGATTCTCTTCTTCTCTTTCGACAATCAATTCCAGGGAAAACGAGAAAGCCCTAATCTTTGGTATGTTCTTCTCTGATTTCGTCATTCCTGGGTTTTTGTGTTTCCTCTCCGATTTCCGCTTGATTTTCCCGATGATTCGGTCTCGCGAGATTACTAGTTTCAATTTCAATATCCTTCTATTAAAAGTTTACCTTTTTGATTGAATTGGTGTGCCGATTTCAGAACTTCGATTCTTAATGGCCATGGCTAGTGGATCTTTCAAGTTGGAACACACACTGGGTAAGTTTCTCTTCTCCTTCTTCCTTGATTCTTCATCGAATTTCGCTTCTGGGTTTGTTAGTGATCACTTGAAATTATGGATCTTTGATTCTTTCTCCATCTTGCTAAAAGCGGAAGATTTCGATTGGGAATGTTATATTTCGATAGAAACTTGATTAAGATCGATCAATCACTAAAGGTCTAATCTTTGGTATGTTCTTTTCTGTAATCTCAGAGAGGAGACAAATTGAAGCTTCTCGCATCAGGGAGAAGTATCCAGACAGAGTTCCAGTAATACACTTTTTTTTAACATTTTCTCTACATTGATGTGTTTCTCTCTGTATATTCCACTTTTACCATAAAAAGTATACTGTATGTTTGCAGGTGATTGTAGAGAAAGCTGAGAGAAGTGATGTTCCCAATATCGACAAGAAAAAGTTAGTAATCAACATTCTTCTTTAAAAATCTGTTCTTTCTTATTGACAACTTGTGAATTCAACACATCTTTCGTTTACTTGGAGAGTCTAAAGAGAAAAAAGATTGCCTTTGAACATTGTCTTGAGAACTGAGATTGATCTGTGACTCTTTGCTTTGTTGGATCCAGGTACCTTGTTCCTGCTGATCTAACTGTGGGACAATTTGTGTATGTTGTACGTAAGAGAATCAAGCTGAGTGCTGAAAAGGCAATTTTTGTGTTTGTGAAGAACACATTGCCACCAACTGGTAAGTAAAGCACAGCTCTTCTTAGTATATTTTGATCTTATGAAGATTGAAGATGAAGGTTTTTTGTTGATGTAAATGTTGATGTTTTTGTTGTTGTAGCTGCGATGATGTCTGCAATCTATGAGGAGAACAAAGATGAAGATGGGTTTCTCTACATGACTTACAGTGGAGAGAACACTTTTGGTTTGGTTTAAAATCTTTCTACTTTTGGTGTTTCATGTATATACGTCATACGATATGATCTTTATGACTGAATAATGTTGAAAAGGTTCTTAATTTTGCTTTGGACTGATTGTATGTAAATGTTGCTTTGGATATTTTTTTCCCAATTAGTTTGGGTTTTACTTTTACCTATGGAGACAACAACTTGTGTCAACTATAGTTTGGATATTTGTGGTAAAAAAAAAAAAAAACTTGATGAAAATCTAATGAGACTTTTAGTAAACAATTTGTGGAAAAATAAATAAATATAGTTATCAATGTAGCCTAGTTGTTATTAAAAACTAAAATATAAACGTTATGTTTCAAGAGTAAATGAAAGATTTGAGCCATGTCTTGCCATATAAAACAAAAAGTTTTCAATCGTGGGATGCACCATAACTCATGAACTCAAATGAAACTCCACATACAGAAAATAAAATAAATACAATGATAAAGTGAGAATGTGAGATCTTGAGAAGAACAACAAATGATCTCAAAAACATTGAGGAGAAAAAGGGTACAAAGAAAATGTTATGAAGTCTTCATTTTCAAGAATTAGAGTCTTTCCTCTCCTTCTTGGGCGCAAGATTCTTCATCCACTTAAGACTTATGAAGTCAACAATCTTGGCTTTGTTAGTTCCCGATTTGGTCTTGCCGGAGTTCTTATCGCCGGCACTTTTGGTGTTCTCTTCATCCGGCATTTCTCCGATCCCTCCGGTTCCCCATTGATCCGCCCAACTTGTCATATCACGATATCTTTTTGGAAACTAAAATAGTAAAAAAAAAATGAGTTCGATATTTGATATCAAATCAAAATGACAAAATCTTTACACAACCGAAGAAAAGAAAATAAACATCTACAGATATACATATTACTGGTTTGTTTCTGATGATTTGTTAAACGAGTATTGACCAAAAAACTGAATGATGGTTACAAACTAATGAAAACAGGACAGAAAAAAATACCTCTGAATTCTTATGTGTTGAGAGGTCCTCTTAGGAGAAGAAAGACGATTTTGATTAGCAAAATGAGTTAATCATATAATGCGGAGAATAGAAGATTAATAGTAGATGTGTTGTTGTTCTTTATTTTATTTTTTTAAAGGAAAGTCTGTAAACTGTTGTTAATTAGGTTGTCTTTTTGTCAGGGTCCAATTGTATAGTATTATTATATTTCTGTGTCTGTCTTTGGATGCACTTTTACTCAGAGTTTGTTCGTTTCCGACTTGCAAAGCAAACAATGTTTTGGAATGTTTAGGTCGAAAGCATAAGATGTAGATCGTGATTTTAAGACATCTAAAAACGTCCCAATTCCATGTGAAAATCTAAATGTTCACTAAAGGCTTCAACTCCATCTCCAAGCTTTAAAAGTTTTAGTTAAAAAAGCTTCGTACCATATAAATCCTATGAAAATGTCACTAAGGCTTCAACTCCAAGTTTCCAATGCCTCTGCCCTCTCTCATAATGTAATTTGTAAGCTTTATAAGTTTCTTTCGCTCATAACAAGAATGAGAGTACAAAAAGCCAGCTTGGAATGGAATGTCATCCAAGCTTCTAAATTGTGTCTTATGTAACCTAAAGCAGAACACTCAATAATTGCTTTATCAAAAGTTATCTGCTCGAAGTTTAGTACAGATTACCGAGGCATATTAAAACAACAACAAAATGTAAATCATAAAAAAATATTTTGTTTTTATAATTATAAAAAGGTAATATGCATAACATAAATAGAAAAAAAGCAAGAGCACATAGTTATTTTCCTTTTTTTCTTCTAAAAGAAAATACTTTAGTTGGTGCGTCCATTTGAAGGCTTTAGATTATTGAACTCTTTTAGAATTTAGACCATGACCGACGAAAAAGAGTAAAAACGACAGCATTCGCATTTGAATCAATATAAACCATTTCAGAAAAATATAAAACGTATAGTAAAAAGAAAACACTACAAACCAAACCAGATTCTTCATCAATAATAATTCCTCTATATTGACTACTTACTAATTTCAGATTATCTACACCAGAAAAAGAGATTACATCTTTAACTCCTCACTTAGATCTCTTAGTGGACTTTGATCTCTTCATTTTACTACCTGACTTACTATTACCACTACTCATGCTTGTCCACTTATACCCAATCGGTATAGCAAACGGATCCGGCGCCGTTTGTTGCTCCTCCTCCTCTATCCGCCGTTGTGAGGTTTTTCCGGCGCGTCTCAGCCACGTCGACGGCCGTGAAACTGAGTTTCGAGCCTCAACCTTTTCCTCGTCGGATTGGTCTTCACCGGAGTCAGCGACAGAGGAGAGGAATCTCGGACTAGAGAGCGGTGTGTAGAATTGCTCCGCCGGTGGAAGATCGACGAACTTGGTGAATGTGATGACTACTTTCACCGTCGGGACCACCGGAATCGACAGCTGGATCCCACAAAAAACAGATTTTTGTTTAGCATTTCATAATCATATTTTGACTTGGTTTAGAGCACAATTTCCCAAAATTAAGAGAAGAAAATAAAAAAACAAATGGGACCCAAAAAAGAATAAAGCTTTGGTTCCCTCTCTACCCATCCGTGATTTGTCACGTCATCGTTTAACTGACGTGGCTCAGTCGTATCAGACTTAGCTAATGAGAGAATGACACGTCAACTAGTTTGACTCATTGGGTTTAACGGTCGTAATGGTTTTAGGCTTAGGAAGAGCCTAAAAAGAGTAACGAACGGAAAAAGCGATTTTTGAAGATTTAAATAAGAAAATGCGAATAGAGAAATTAAAGATATTTACGAGATTGCCCTTACCTTGACTGGAAAAGTTCCCGGCGGGAACTTAGTGGTGAGGAGGTCACGCATTCTGGCGACGGCTTTAACTTTATTGGCTAAAATGTCGAGTAACGGAAGAAGCTCTTCCGTCTTTAACGGAAATTGATCCGTTAACCAAACGGATGGATGTAAGCTCTTCACGAATTCTTTCTCTTTGATCTGTGGAGACGGAGGAGGAGGATTCACCGCAGATACTGTTGAAGGTACGGCCACTGACCTTCTCGGTGGCTGGATTTGAGCTACTGATCGTCTCGGTGGTTGGAATTGCTGCGGTGGTGGTGGTGCGGCGGATGGATAAACATCGACGCTTTTTCTCCCGACGGAAATCCAATCTCTATCTTCTTTGACGAAGCTACTGTGCCGTCTCTGCGGTCGTGGAGGAGGCTGAGATAAGAAACTCGGATTCTCAGCTACTAGGAATCCGTCGTCGTCTTCGTCTAGCTCTAGAGGTAGGACTTGTTCGCTTCCGGCGAAATCGTTGTCGTTAACGATTTTCCGGGATCTGAAACTGAAAGTGACTTTCTGGATTTCGTATACCCTAGCTTTCCACTCTCCGACGCTTTCCATCTTCTCTTGCCGTCGCCAATTCATTCTTCCGACGAGCTCTGCTTTAGTAACATCCATCCCCGGACGGTACAAGCTGGACTGGGAACAGAATCCGGCGATATCCGAATCGCTAATCGGAGCTCCAGCACTCTCGAAGGCGTCGAGGATTTTGCGGTCGTCTCGATTCAGCACAAGCAACGATCCGGGAGAGATGTCGAGAGATTCGTCACCGTCGCCGAGGAAAAGAAAGCTCTGATCCGCTCGCTGGATTTTCAATCCGTCGAATCCAGCCAAGGTAGTGTCAGCGCGGAGGTTACCGTCGCGTTTCCAGATCTTGTAAGTATCAGAGGGAGCCATTTTCCCGACGAACGGAATCACCGAGCTCTCGAAGTGGAAAGAGATCTCCATGTAGAAATCCCGCATACGACGGAGAACAGCTATCAATCGCGGCAACCTCCGCCGCCACTTGCACCACGCCAATCGGTGGTGATGCCTCAGAAGCACTTTCATAACCTCCGAATTCCGGCGACAAAACGCCTCCTGCAACGGATTCCATCCGGCGGCGTTGTGGAGCGAAATGTCTGCGCCGGCTGACGAAATCGCCCTCGCCGCGAACACGTCGTTGAGCCTAACCGCCAAATGGAGAGGCGTTTCGCGGGAGGGAACGTCGCGGCGGTCGAGCACGGCGGAGATCTGATCCGCGACTCGTTCCTGGCTGAGTGAGTCGGACTCGGTTCGGATCTGCTCTGGATCTCCTAGCTTCGGCAAGGAAGAAAGCAGACGAGTCAGTGTTGCGTGATCTCCCGAAACGACGGCGTAATGAGCCGGACTGTGAGAGTAGTCTTCTGATCGGATTGCCGTTGCAGACGCCGACGAAGGTTTAGCCATAGTTTCCGGCGAGCGTTAAACAGTGAAACGGAAATGAAGATTGAGAATCGTAACTCTCAAAAACTGTGCTTCTTTCTTCTGTTTCTGCTTCGTCTTCTTCAATTGAAGCTGAAACCGAAAGGAATTTAATTCGTTTATTTTATTCATTTATTGTGATTATTTTTTTAATTTAAGTTTTTGGTTGTTTTCTTTATTTGGGGAGGCGTGAGAGAAGAGAGTCGTAATAAGGATATTTCTGGGCTTTTTGTCAGTACTCTTTTCTTTTCCCTTTAAATTTTCTCTTTTTTTCTTTGTTTTCTTATTTGGGCTTTTTGTCTTTTGCACTATATGTATAGTTGAATTTCTTTTTAAAATTTATTTTATAATTTTGTTTGTTTTTGCTTGGATTCTAATTGTTTCTTTTTCATCAAATTTTGTACTGTAGCATACAAAAGTACATCATATTATGATATGGTATAAAGCAAGGTACATTACAGTATTTGATGATAGGCTGGAAAATATTTTATCGATAACTTTGTGAAACAAAAGTTGTAATTTCTCTCTCTAACAAAATTATTTGAGATGTCACGGTTTATGGTCAGTGTGGCTCGTAGTTGATGAAATTCTGTAGTTATCAAAAATAGCATTTTTCATTTCATTGAAGATATTTGTGTTCATTGCATGATTGCAATATGATAATTCTATTAATTCAAGATTTCAAAGTTTCACAAGGCTTGTCTATATTTTTGTTTTCAAAATATAAATTTGTGGAAGACTCTTATAAATTGATAGATGAGTGACCACTATCAAATCACATTTTTCACATTTTAATAGGACACATGTAGGTACGATAACGAAGGCCAAAAGATAAAGAAAAGTGAGAAAAGAATCGCTTTGTCGTGACCAAATGCAAATTTTGCAACAGAATAAAATTTATCTGCCGGTTAAAAACTTTACTCCCCCTAACCGACCAATCTTCATTATCAATACATTTTCTTTTCTTTAACGTTAACAAATATAAAATTCGAAAACCAAGTCCTAAATCTTGTTAAACCGAGTCTTGTTCTGATCCATTTGGTTATCTTGATCTCAGTGCAGAAAATTTACATGTTGTATGTACTTTTCATCAAAACAATTTATACAAAACTATTGATCCTTACTCAAACCAATGCACATCTTAAAAATGAAAACGAACTGCGAAGATACATAACTTAAGTCCATAAGCAACAATGGTAACAGCTCAGTGGTATTTGAGTCTTCTTCTTCACAAGGAAAAGTATTGATCTTGACATTGCTGCTTCTAGGCTACTAACATTGAAGAGTCTAATGGCTAGTCAAAAAGAGATTCAACATTACGAGGAGTCAAATTGATACTACAATTCATAAACAAAAATGCTCATCTTTTGCTTCCTTGTGTCATTGTCAAAAGATACATCCTGCTAAAATCTAACAGAAAACAAATAAGAACAAACCTTGACGTTGCCTTGAGGTCTACGAAACTCGTTCTCCATTGAAGATAGCCATCAACTCAGGAAACAGTTTCTAATGCTTAATCACATACTGGTTCAAGAACGTCTGATTGGTCTTGGACATAACAGTCGACACTGAAGGGAGTTCACTTCCCTTTCCAAGCAATCCTTTTGACATGAGAGCTCCGATAACGTTACACCTCGGCACAATCCTCTTCTCCATGCTGTACGAAAAAACCTGAGGGTGAGAAGCCACAACATTCAGCGACCAATCCATCTCCTTCACAAGAAACTCAGTCTTCCTCTTCACCGTCTCTGCAGATACCCCAATGCACGAAGGAAAACGCTTGACCATCATCCTGAACTCATCTCTACTGAATCCTAGCTCCAGAAATGTCTCCATGGAGTTCACTATATTCATCTCCGAGAAACTCAGAAAGCAAGGCCATTTCTTGAACATTGCCCACACCTCTCCCTCAACAAAGCCTAAACCTTTATAGACACTGACCTTCTCTTGTATTGTTTTGTCACTCAATTGGTAAACAGCATGTAGAGCTTGCACAAACTTGGACAAACTCTGGCTCGGATCAAATCCCATCCCAACAACCTTCTTAACGGTATCTTCGAATCTCTCTTTCCCACATATAGTGTGGAAACTGGAGATGAGCATAGAGAACAAGACCTTCTGAGGAACACCTAACTCTCTCAAAACCAATACGTTTCTGATCTTGTTCTCTATTGCACTATCCTGTGGCAGAGATGAATGACATAAAGTTTCAAACTTTGAGCTCTTATCAGCTTTGATAACCTCTTTGACGAAGTCATAGTACATGCTGATAGATTTTCCAGCTTTCTTCCCCAACATTTTAGGAACTTTGGAAACAACCTCAGTGAGCTCAGAGCTTGAAGCTCCTCTCGACTGCAAAAACCGAAGCTTGGGTGCAAGAGATTTCTCAGCATCTGCTATAAGCAATTGTGGATAATCCGTAACGATGTCGGAGATCTGAGAATCTCTGAATCCATGGCTTCTAAGAAGACTCAGAACAGAATCTGGATTTCCTTTGCCCTCGAAGCTCACTTTCCTGGAGATTGATGCTGCGAGCTTTGTGGTTAAACCTAATGAATCAACGAGGTAAGAGACTGTGAAAGCCTTCCCCTTTCTACCATCTCGAGGGCTTAAATCTGCAGCAGAGGAGAAGGAATTGGAGAAAGCAGAGTATACAGTTTGCAGAAGCTTAAAGTTACAACATTTCTGCAACTCAACAGATCTTTTTCCATGGAGTATCAGAGAATACATGAAGACGACCCAAATGCGGTTTACCAGAGAGTGTTGAAGCGATTCAATTCGAGAAAACGAATCGTCCAAGCTTTAGACACAAACTCAAAATCCCAAAGATCCAATTTTGGGGAAGAAAAACACGATTTTTACGGTTTAATTCTTGGCCGGTCAAGGACAAACCGAAAACTGGAAAAATTGATATCATTGGCTCGATTGGTTTATTATTGGTTTACTAATTGGTAAACCGATATGAAAAACTTCAACCAACTTTAAAACAGAGTTTACAAAAGTCTAAAAACTGAGATTTTTTGCAGAGATTCATAACTAAAAAGCAAAATGCTTGACAAGCCTTATGATCTATGAGGCATGATCTTTAGTGAAGATAGCCATTAACTCAGCCACAAGCTCCTTATCATCATGATTCCTCACAAACCTCTTCAAAAACTCTTCATCATTACACACCAAGACAGATTCTTTTTCAGGTAATTTGCTTTTTCTGTCTCCGAGCAATCCTTTGGACATGAGAGCTTTCATAACATTACACCTCGGCACAATCCTCTTCTCCATGCTGTATCCAAGCACCTGAGGATGCAAAGCCACAGCCTTTACTGACCATTTCATCTTCCCCACCATAAACTTGTTCTTCTTCTTCACAAGAAACTTAGTCTTCTTCTTCACCGTCTCTTCACTATACCCAATGCACTGAGGATGGCTCTTCAACATCGTCTTAAACTCGTCTTTTCTGAATCCGAGGTCTCTATATGTTGCAATGGAGTTGATTATCTTCACCTCTGAAGCACCGAAAACACATTCCGGAGATTTCTTACACACTGAAACTATCTCGTCTTCTTCAAGCAATCCAAAAACCTTCAAAGATTCAAACTTTTGAGTTATCTTCTTCTCTGATAGCCTCATAGAGACAGGACACTTCTTGAACATTTCCCATACTTCTCCAACCGAAAAGCCTAACCTTTTATAGACTTTAACCTTCTCTTCAATCGCTTTCTCGCTCAATCCTTGAACAGCACTCAACGCTTCCACAAACTTTGACGAGCTCGGATCAAAACCCATCTCAACAACCTTCTTGAGTGATTCTTTAAACTTTCCTTCTCCACAGACAAGTTTCCGATCGGAGATGAGCAATGGAAGTAACAGCCTCTGAGGCACGCCGAGTTCTCTCAAAGCAGACACATTTCTGATCTTGTTCTCCTGCATACTCTGTGGCAATGAATGACATAAAGTTTCAAACTTTGAAACTTTATCCGCTTTGGTTATCTCTTTGACGAAATCATAGTATACACTGAGACTTTTACCTCCTTTGGTTCCCAAGATTTTAGGAACTTTTGAGACGGTTTCAGTCAATGAAGCTCCTTTCATTGACTGCAGAAACTGAAGCTTGGGAGCAAGAGATTTCTCAGCGTCTACTACAAGCAATCGTGGATAAGCCGTAACGATGCTGGAGATTTGAGAATCTCTGAAGCCATAGCTTCTGAGAAGTTTCAGAACTGAATCAGGATTTCTCTTCTCCCCGAAACTGACTTTCTTTGAGATTGATTCAGCGAGTTTTGGAGTTAAACCTAACGAATCAATGAGGTAACAGAAAGTGAAAATCTGTCCTTTTCGACCATCTTTAGTAGGGCTCACAGTAGAAGAGAAGGGAATGGTGGAGAAAGGAAATGAATTTCGGATTGAGACTCTCAGATTACGCCATTTCTGTAACTCAAGAGACCTTCTTCCATGGAGTAACAGAAAATACATGACAAATGCAAATGCGATTCGATTCAATTCTAGAAAAGGAACAGCCAAATGCTTCAATGATAAATCTCAAAACTCAAAAGCTTACTATTGCAACAAAAGAAAAGATTGAAGGAGTGGTCGACTATTCAAGATAGGGTTTATAGGGTTTTAGTATAGCTCATAACCAGTGGTTCGATAAAGCAATTGTGCATAAACCGGTTTGATTTGGGTTTTGATACAGAAATTTGGTTTTATAAAACCAATTTGCCTAGTTTGGATCAGAAACGAAACCAGTGTTATGTGTATGTATTCAATTTTACGAAAATTGCAAGACTAGAAACCAAACCAAACAAAAGGAGAATGATTTGACTTAGTTGGTTACTACTACTACTCAGTCTGGTTACTGTCAGAGTAAAATGTGAACACATACATAGTAACACTGGTGACTGCTCCCTGTATAATAGCTCTCTCTGGATTCATCATCAGGTTCTGTGAAACTTTGCTCTGCGCCAAGAAATTCAACCATCAAATTCTTGTCAAGAACAAGAACAAGCAAACAGTGTTAAAATTTGCTAGATCCAAGCTAAAGGCAGACACACTCTGAGGATAGATTCTGAATACTTCTTGCCAGTCTATATGTCTGTTTTGGCATACCCTTGTAAACTTGTAGATTGCTTTTCATATCTCATATACATACGTCAAAGATCCCAACTCAAAACTCGTCAAACTAAACTAAAGCCAAATTTTAATATATTTTTAAACTGAACCCCAACCAAACCTTAATTTGTCTCAACCGAACAAATTAGTCGAGTTAATTGAAATTAATTCACAAAAAAATTATAGTCAAACATATTAAAATAAATTTAAGTATACCTAAAACTTACAGTAATAATTAACGTAATTAATTATTTTTTCTAAAAAGATAAAAAAAAAAAGTTACCTAGGATTGAATTGAACCACCATATAGTTCCAAACCAAATCGGTAACTTAAAAAAAAAAAACATGATCCTACTTGAGGTCTATTTTCCCAAGCCCATACTGAAGGAAACTGAAAAACCTAGGCTTAGTGTTGGGAGCGGCTCAAGCATGTTGTTATTCCTTCATCTACCAAGTACCAACCCTAATTTGTCTTTGAGGGTAATTAAAGAGTATAGATCCTCCAAAAGTATATTGGATGGGTGTTCCGACATTGTCAAGAATAAAAGTAAACAGATAATAACTTGTCTATTAAGATTTTTTTCACCACTACGGCCTCTCAAAGTTCAGGTCTCTTGATCCTTCCTGAGATCAATAGTCTTAGTCTTTCAGTAAACTAAATCATGGTATTATTGCACGCAAAGAAAGGAAACAAAAAAAAAATAAAAAATAAAAAAATAAAAAAAAGCGAATGAGCTCAAAACCTATGTCTTCTTCCTGTTTTCACATGGTGCAAATTTCTATTTGTGTTAAGTCACATGAACTTTCTTGGAATCTTGGCTGCAACTCCATATTAGATAAAAAGAGACACATTGACAAGCTTCTCAATACCACACTAATGCTATAACATCATCAGCATGAGAGGATAACAAAATAAGAAGAACCAGAGATATCACATGACTGTATAGAGAGCTCTTGAGCTTCACAGATAGTAAATTAGTAATCGATACATACACCTTCAAATCTAGTTCCATTTAAGTTTTACAAAGCAAGATGGGTAGGATTCGGATTAAAAGTTTGCGGTTCTTACATGTTCACAACATAAGCCTTGTTCCGTAGCATGATGCCAAGTAAACATCACAAATTAAGACAGCACGACGATACTTACTAAATGAAAAGAAAATCAGTGGTGTTGTCGCATTTAACAGTAACGCTACGGTTAATGTATTTTTCGATCGGAGTCATACTGAAATAACGCAGGGATGAATGGTTTTAACTCCATTTCTAGCGTAAGTTAGAGAAAAATAAAGTTTCTGAACAAGATTATCAAATTTAATATTCCATGCATTTCATATACATAACTCATGTTGGAGGCTTACATAGTTATCCAAAGCTACCACGTCAAGAATACGCAATGCATAATCGTACATGGCAAAGGAATACAAAGGCATAAATAATAATGGTATTACACCCAAATTATGAATTCAGGTCTCCAAGAAAATACAAATTGATAGGATACAAAGAATATCCAAAAACAAAGAAAAAAAATGAAATCAAGTAAAACATGGTAGCTTAATCAAGAACTGCATTTACTGGTTTTCAGTAATATGAAGGTGGTGGTGGAGACTTGTAGTCTACCTTAGGGGAGGGTGAGTAATATGGTGGCGGTGGGGAACTGTAAACATATGGTGGTGGGGGAGATTTGTAGTCTACCTTAGGGGAAGGTGAGTAGTATGGTGGTGGTGGGGAACTGTAGACATATGGTGGTGGTGGAGACTTGTAGTCTACCTTAGGGGATGGAGAGTAGTATGGTGGTGGTGGGGAACTGTAGACATATGGTGGTGGTGGAGACTTGTAGTCAACCTTTGGGGAAGGTGAGTAGTATGGTGGTGGTGGAGAACTGTAAACATATGGTGGTGGTGGAGACTTGTAGTATACCTTAGGCGAAGGTGAGTAGTATGGTAGTGGTGGGGAACTGTAGACATATGGTGGAGGAGGAGACTTGTAGTCTACCATAGGGGATGGTGAGTACGCTGGTGGGGGTGGTGAGTTGTAGACATATGGTGGTGGAGGAGACTTGTAGTATACTTTAGGAGAAGGTGAGTAGTATGGTGGTGGTGGAGAACTGTAAACATATGGTGGTGGAGGAGATTTGTAGTATACTTTAGGAGATGGTGAGTAATATGGTGGTGGTGGAGAGTTGTAGACATATGGTGGTGGAGAAGATTTGTATACAATCTTTGGAGAAGGAGAATAGCATGGAGGCGGTGGTGGACAGACGCATACATGTGGGTGTGGTGGAGATTTGTAATGAACTTTAGGAGATGGTGAGTAGTATGGTGGTGGAGGAGAACTGTAGACATATGGTGGTGGGGGAGACTTGTAGTGTACCTTAGGAGATGGAGAGTAATATGGTGGTGGTGGGGAACTGTAGACATATGGTGGGGGAGGAGACTTATAGTGTACCTTAGGTGCGGGAGAGTAGTATGGTGGTGGTGGGGAACTGTAGACATACGGTGGTGGAGGAGACTTATAGTGTACCTTAGGTGCGGGAGAGTAGTATGGTGGTGGTGGGGAACTGTAGACATATGGTGGGGAGGGACTTGTAGTCTACCTTTGGAGAAGGAGAATAGTATGGTGGTGGTGGGGAACTGTAGACATATGGTGGTGGAGGAGACTTATACTCAACCTTAGGAGATGGTGAGTAATATGGTGGTGGTGGAGAACTATAGACATATGGTGGTGGAGGAGACTTGTAATCTACCTTAGGAGATGGTGAGTAATGTGGTGGTGGTGGAGAACTGTATACATACGGTGGTGGAGGGACTTGTATACAACCTTGGGGGATGGAGAGTAGTATGGTGGTGGTGGAGAACTGTAGACATATGGTGGAGGAGGAGACTTGTAAACTACCTTAGGAGATGGTGAATAATATGGTGGTGGTGGAGAACTGTAGACATACGGTGGTGGAGGAGATTTGTAGTCTACTTAGGGGATGGAGAGTAGTATGGTGGTGGTGGGGAACTGTATACATACGGTGGTGGAGGAGACTTGTAGTCTACCTTTGGGAGGGAGAGTAGTATGGTGGTGGTGGGGAACTGTATACATATGGTGGTGGAGGAGACTTGTAGTCTACCTTAGGCGAGGGAGAATAGTATGGTGGTGGTGGGGAACTGTATACATACGGTGGTGGAGGAGATTTGTAATCCACCTTAGGTGAGGGAGAGTAGTATGGTGGTGGTGGTGGGGAACTGTAAACATATGGTGGTGGAGGAGACTTGTATTCAACCGGCGATGGTGAATAGTATGGGGGTGGTGGTGGGGAGCTGTATACATATGGTGGTGGAGGAGACTTGTAGTCGACCTTTGGAGAGGGAGAGTAATACGGTGGTGGTGGAGAACTGTAAACATATGGTGGTGGAGGGGACTTGTAGTCAACCTTAGGAGAAGGAGAGTAGGTTGGTGGTGGTGGAGAACTGTAGACATATGGGGGTGGAGGAGATTTGTACTCTACTTTGGGTGATGGGGAATAGTATGGTGGTGGTGGTGGGGAACTGTAAACATATGATGGTGGTGGAGATTTGTATTCAACCGGGGATGGTGAATAGTATGGTGGTGGTGGTGGGGAGCTGTAGACATATGGTGGTGGAGGAGACTTGTACTCTACCTTAGGGGATGGTGAGTAGTATGTTGGTGGTGGAGGAGAACTGTAGACATATGGTGGTGGAGGAGACTTGTAGTCGACTTTAGGCGATGGAGAGTAATATGGTGGTGGTGAAGGTGAATTGTAGACAGATGGTGGAGGAGGTGATTTGTATTCTACATCCGGGGATGGTGAATATGATGGTAGTGGCGGTAAGCTAGTTGTGTATGGTTCATACGCAACAACCATTGTTGCCATGATGATAATTCCTAAAGCGGAAACAAGATGGGCTGAAGGCCCCATCCTAGGAGAAGATCTCATGGTGATATTGCTTTTCTTTACCAACGTCTTACGTTGGTTAGTGTTTCTTGTTTTGGTTTGTGTTGTAAGGAAATGGATCATTGGTTTATATAGCAAAGTTTTCTTTTAATCAAGCTTGTCTTCTCTCTTTTGCCATTTGTTTTTTGACTCCATCAAACTAAATCGTGGAAGCATGTTTACACGATGCTAATCTGAGACGTGCAAGAACGTTTAATGAATGTCAATGAGCCACTTTCCATTTTCTAATCACAAGTTCAGGAAGAATTTGTTTAGATGCATTGTTTTGGTAAAAAAAAAAATAAACATTGTTTTGTTCATTGACCAAGTTCGTTTATTATTCAATATTTTTTTTTGTGGACATTCGACGACGCATTTAATTCTTAGTTGTCACTGGTTCTGCATTATTATCGATTGTATTTTCCTTTTAACAATTACAAAAGTATATTACATGAAAATGCTCATGAACACTTTTGAGTTCTACACCTACGTATATGATATACATTATTGTTATCAGGTGAGTTTACTGCACCATGTGCAAAAACAAAATTAGGTGGCTAAGACACCAAATATCGATTTTGTTGGTCAGACAAATCAATTTGTTTATGGCTCCGCTGGTTTAAGAAGAGGGTAGGTTTTAAAGTTTGGTGAAAATCGAGAAATGGAGAGAGTATAATTTTGAATGTGTTGTTTTTGAAGCTATATAATTGTTTATTACTTTATTTGTTGTAAAACCATTTCGCATTCATGTTTTTTTGTAATCTATATGTCTGAAGACACAATCAAACCAAGAAAAATGAAAGAGAGATAAGTTAGATTTAGCTCTAGAGATACACATTATTGGAGCTTATTTATGGTATATGACTATATGTCTCGAATCTCATATCATTAGGAATTTAGGACTCATAAATCAACCACAGCAAGATTATAAAAGTATCATAAACGGATATTCGTATCACCAGCTGTGATTTAAATACTCAAATCCCAAAACTTGACAGAAATCGGTGAAACTAAAGCTTCTCAGGGAACGAAAGTTCAAACAATAATTAATGAAAAAGGCTTACATGATCAATCCAAGAACTCAGGAGCTGCATTGCATCACTCAAATCCATATCTGCAAATCTAAAATCCGAAAATAGATGCAACAGAACACAGAGTGACAGGAGAGCTGACTTAAAGTTAAAGGGTCAAGACTCAAGACCAATAAAGTCACTAGAAATTCAGACAAATGTATAGATTTGGATTGATCAAAAGAGATTTCACATTACATTATTAAGCTATTTTCCGAAGTCTGATTGTATAAAGAAAGAAACGGTTCAGCTCTGGAACAAAATTAAGATTACCAAAGTCTAAAGTTGAGTTTCAGAGATTCATAATAAACTCACAAAACCCTTGACAAAGCCTTCTGACCTATTAGGAACCACGACCTCCGGTGAAGATAGCCATCAGCTCAGGCTCCACGCCATCATGATTCATCACATACTTGTCCAAGAACACCTGATCGTTAGTCTTCAAAACAGACGATATCGGAGGAAGCTCATCACCAAGCAATCCTTTGGAGACGATGACGTTACACCTTGGCACAATCCTCTTCTCCATGCTCAATCCAAGCACAGCAGGGTTTGAAACCACAGCCTTCACAGGCCACTTCATCTTCTTCACCACAAACTCTATCCTCTTTCTCAACGTCTCTGCAGATGAACCAAGGCACTGAGGGAACCGCTTGACGACCATCACAAACTCACTTCTGCTGAATCCTAGGCCTAGAAATGTTTCCATGGAGTTCAATATCTTCTTATCCGAGTGTGTCAGAGAGACTGGAAGCTTCCTGAAGATTTCCCATACTTCCCCCACAGTGAAGCCTAACCTTTTGTACACATCGACTTTTCCTTGTAACGTTTTGTGGCTCAGCCTCTGAACAATGCGCAGAGCGTCGAGAAACTTTGAAGTCTTGGGATCAAAACCCATCTCAACAACCTTCTTGAGTGATTCTTCAAACTTCCCTTTTCCACAGACAACTGGGTGATCAGAGATGAGCAAAGAGAACAAAACTTCCAGAGGAACACCCAATTCTCTCAAAGCCAAAACGTTTCTGAGTTTATTCTCCTGCCTACTGCCCTGTGGCAAAGAAGAATGAGATAAAGTTTTAAACTTTGAGCTCTTATTAGCTGCTATAACCTCCTTGACGAAATCATAGTATACGCTTATAGCTTTGTCCTCTTTTAACCCCAAGATTTTTGGAACTTTTGAAAGAGTCTCAGTGAGCTCAGAGGTTGAAGCTCCTCTGGACTGTAAAAACTGAAGCTTGGGAGCAAGAGATTTCTCAGCATCTTCTATAAGCAATTGTGGATAATCCGTAATGATGGTGGAGATCTGAGAATTTCTGAATCCATGGCTTCTAAGAAGATTCAGAACGGAATCCGGATTGACCTTATTCTCGAAGCTGACTCTCCTGGAGATTGATTCTGCGAGTTTTGTCGTCAAACCCAATGAATCAACGAGGTAAGAGACAGTAAAGTTCTGACCTTTTTGACCATCTCTACTGCTCGAAGAAGACGAAGAGGAAAAAGCAGATGCATTTTGCAATGGGTTCACTGCAAATCTCAAAATACGCAATCTCTGCAGCTCGCAAAGCCTTCTTCCATGTAGAATCAGAGAATACATGACGAAGGCAAGCCGATAACCACAGTGCTGAAGCGATATAAATCTGATTCAGTTCAGGGATTGGAATCGCCTTAAGCTTCGATGATAACAAATCTCTAAAAAGTTCCAAACTTACAAGTAAAGTGACTCGTAGATCGATTGTTCAAGTTTCCGCTTCTCAGTTCATTCACTTCCGAAATCCAATATCACAAAGAACCGAAATTTTGGGAGAGGCAACGAAAAAGTAACGATTTTTAAGGTTTTAGGCGCAAAGCCCTGAATTTTCCTTCTCGACAGATTTTTGCAGCAAAAAGAGGAAGAAGGGGCCTTAAAAAAATTCAATATTAAAGATCAAAATTTGTTTTTGGGCGTCTGAGTCTTTTGCTCTGTTTTAAAAATTCAATGTTGTGTTCAAGACCTTCTTCATCAGAAAGACCAAACATGGCTCAAATTGTTCATGAACTAAACGAGAGCGTCTTAATGTACGAGAACTCAAAAAGAAGAAATAGTCCAGATGTGAGCATAGCAAGTATTAGGAATTTGTCAATAAGATTGTCATTTGTAAGCTCAAATCCAAACTTCGTTATTTTTCTAAGTAGGATTGCATATAGAAATGTGTCAAAGACAAGTTTAAATTGAGATTACAAAAGTTTGATAGGGTTTCAGACATTCATATCCAAAGATCTTTTGCTAACAAAAGATTAATCAACAAACCTAAAAGTTAAAGACTAACAGAACCCTTTAACAAACTTGCTAACCTATGAGACACGACCTCTGGTGAAGATAGCCATCAATTCAGCCACAAGCTCCTTGTCATCATCATGATCCCTAACGTACTTGTTTAAGAAATCTTGATCGGTAATCGCAAACACCGTCGACATTGCAGGGAGTTCACTTCCTCTCTTTCCAAGCAATTCTTTGGACATGAGAGCTTTGATTACGTTAGACCTTGGCACAATCCTCTTCTCCATGCTGTATCCAAGTACCGCAGGGAATGAAGCCACAGCCTTTAACGGCCAATTCATCTGCTTCACCACAAACTCAGTCTTCTCCTTCACCGTCTCTGAAGAGTATCCAATACACTGAGGAAGGTACTTGACAATCATCACGAACTCGTCTCTGCTGAATCCTAGTCCTAGAAACGTTTCCATGGAGCTCAATATATTACTCTCCGAGTATTTGAGAAAAGTAGGACACTTCTTGAAGATCTCCCATGTTTCTCCCACAGCAAAGCCTAACTCTTTATAGACTTGGACTTTCTCTTGTATTGTCTTGTCGCTCATTTGTTGCAGCATGCGCAGAGCATCTACAAACTTGAAAGTGGTTGGATCAAAACCCATCTCAACAACCTTTCTTTGCCACTTACAGGCTGCGATCTGGAGATGAGCAAGGGGAATAACAGCCTCTGAGGCACGCCTAGTTCTCTCAAAGCCAATACATTTCTGAGTTTATTGTCCTGCCTACTACTAGTACTACCTTGTGGCAGAGAAGAATGAGATAAAGTTTCGAACTTTGAGCTCTTATCAGCTTCTATAATCTCTTTGACGATATCATAGTATAAGCTGATAGATCTTTCACCTTTCTTTCCCAACATTTTTGGAACTGTTGAAACAATCTCTGTGAGCTCGGAGTTTGAAGCTCCTCTGGACTGCAAAAACCGAAGCTTGGGAGCAAGAGATTTCTCAGCATCTGCTATGAGCAATAGTGGATAATCCGTAATGATGTCGGAGATCTGAGAATCTTTGAATCCATGGCTTCTGAGAAGACTCAGAACAGAATCTGGATTTGCCTTGTTCTCGAAAGTGACTTTCTTTGAGATTGATTCTGCGAGTTTTGTGGCTAAACCCAGTGAACCAACGAGGTAAGAGACCGTAAAGTTCCGACCTTTTTGACCATCTCTAGAGCTCACATCAGAAGAAACACTCTTAGAAGAGAAGGAATTGGAAAAAGCAGATGCATTTTGAAATGGGTTCACTGCAAATCTCAAAATACGCAATTTCTGCAGCTCAGAAAACCTTCTTCCATGGAGAATCAGAGAACCCATTACAAGGGAATGCGATAAACACAGTGCTGAAGCGATATAAATCTGATTCAATTCAGGAAATGGAATCGACTTAAGCTTCGGTTATAACAAATCTCTCAAAGTTCCAAACTTACAAGTGAGTCGTAGATCTGAGTGGAAGCAAAGACTGAAGGGTGGTCGACGATTCAAGTTTCCGCTTCTCTGTTCATTCACTTCCGAAATCCAAAATCACAATGAACCAAAATTTGGGAGAGTGAACGAAAGAAAAAACGATTACTAGGCGCAATTCCTGAAATTTGCACAAAAGGGCCTTAAAAGATTTCAAATTTTCAATAGTAAATAACTAAATATCAAAAATTGTTTTTGGGCTTCCATAACCTTTCTTTCCACCCAACTTTTGAGCTTTGACAAGTCTTGATAACTATTGGTCCAGTTTTATAAAGTTTTTATCTCACAATAATTATGCATATGTCACTCAATTATTTGTTACATCAAAAATGATAGCTCGATGCATATTACTCAAAGTTTTTTTTTCTCTTAGAGCATCTCTATCGGTGTGAAAAATGAAGAGAGAGAGTGTCAAATAAGCTGTCGACGTATCTGGTTTAACATACGTATTAGAGACTCAAGGTACACGTGTTGATGTATGTATGGATGACACATTTAAAATTTAAAAATTAATTATAAATATAAATTAAACTAATATAATAATTTTCTGATACTCATTCCTCCGTGAGATGCTCTTATACTCAAAAACTCGAGAAGAATCAAGTGACCGTCCAATATATTCGTTCAAGTGACAATGTGCCAAGTTTTTTACAAAAGTGTTTCTAACTACAATGTGAAAAGCATGCATGTCTTAGATTTTGAAAGTCTTAGACACAAAAAAAAAATTGGACCCTTTTTCTGAAATCTGAAATGGACCCAATGGCTCATGCACCATCACTCGTCCACCCCTAGATCCGAGCCTGTGTGGAAGAAACGTTGTAGTATCGAAATGCATCGTCTACAACAACAACATATGTGAAGAAGAGACTATTGGCCAAGTCAATAGGTAATTTGCAAACTCTAGATAGTAAGATAGATGAAATTATCTTCATATTATATCCCAAGTCAGATCGAGATTGCAAAAGTTTTAGTTGGGGTTTCAGAGATTCATATATAAAAATGAAAAACCCTTGACAGGCCCTGTGAGCTATGTAAACATGACCTCCGGTGATGCTAAATCGTTTTGCCATCTTACAGAAACCTTCATAATATTACACAAGATACAAGCTAACGTGGCATAGGAGCCATTTCAGTGCTTGTGTTAACTTCATTAGAACTCTTTGAGCTCACATCTTGACTCTTTCCTCTTCTTGAGTTCTCGTACATTAGACACTCGTTTAGTTCATGAACAATTTGAGCCATGTTTGGTCTTTCTGCTGAATAAGGTCTTGAGCACGACATTGCTAGTTCAAGAACTTTCCAGGCAGTGCTAGACTCATAGTTTCCTTTGAGGTTTGGGTCCAATATGCTTTCGATATCTCCTGTCGAGAGCACAAACCTCACCCATTCTGCTATATGAGGCCTTTCACGAGTTTGATCAATCACTAGTTGGTTCGTGATGATCTCTAGTAATACAATACCGAAACTGTAGACATCACTCTTCTCGGACAACCGTTGTGTTTGAAAATATCTGCGATAAAAGATGGTTTTGTTGAAGTTTCGTGAAACTTAAAGAAAGAAGAGAACAAAACAAGCCTTGGAAGTTAGTGGAAATGCTTACTCAGGATCGAGGAATCCTGGAGTTCCGACAACAACTGTTGACACATGAGTTTGACTCCCGACAGGGAAAGATCTTGAAAGTCCAAAATCACCAATTTTTGCTTGAAAGTCTTCATTTAGCAATATATTTGTGCTTTTGACATCTCTATGAATCATAGGAGGTTTGCATCCAGTATGCAAGTATTCCAATCCTACACAGTAAGATGTTGATTAATTAGTTATAAAGTTGGTGGAAAGTTGAAAGTAGAGTGATCTTTGAAAGGATTATGACAAGAACACAAACCAAGTGCAGCTTCTGCAGCTATTCTTAGTCTACATGGCCAGTCCAAGAATGATGTGCCTTCTTTTCCTGAGAGAGGAAGCATAAAGCTATTGGTTTTAATGTTATGTTATGAAACGATAAAGCTAATGGGTTTATGTTTACCTGAGAGATGCTCCTTTAGGTCTCTATTTGCCATGTACTCGTAGACCAGTGCCAAGTGATCTTTTTCTTCACAATATCCAGCAAGGCTTACCAAGTTTATATGGTGAACTCTCATTAAAAGTTCAACCTAGCAACCAATTTTTTAACATATGCAAAACATCACACCCCGTGGAAGCATGGTTTTAAAAGATTAAACACTCCAAATATTTTTATGAGGATGATATATGTTTATAATAAATCTAAAATGAACTAAAAATAAGTTTTCTATTCGAAAAATAGACTCGTAAGTTTTTTTTTCCAAAAGTAGGACAAACTATCTTGTGAAAACGTTTATTTAGTACTACTTTCTAGTATGGAGAGATTTAGAACGTTTCCAAAGATTTTATGTGTACAAAGATTTGGAACTTTCAATTGAGGGAGATATAAGATGTAAACTTTGTTTTCGGAGTGTTAAGTAAACTTTGTTTTCGGAGAGATTTAACACGAGGCGTTAGTTTGGGCTGCATCTAGTACGACACTCACTATACTTCTCGTGGGGAATAGATTGTAACCCCGCTTATTTGCCCTAAATAAATTACACATAAACTTAAAACATTATGTTTGGATTCTCATTTTCCAAATTACGGTTTATATTTTTTTCATTAAAACAAGTTAGGGAATTCATTTTATATTTGTGCTATTGTTGGAAAACAATTATGAGTCTACTTTTAAAATAAAAAAACTTAAAAGTTGTACATTTAAAAAAATCATGCTATATTTAATTATCAAGCATACCTCAGCCTTGAACTGCTTGTATCCTTGAGATGATGACTGAGATAGTACTTTAACAGCCACCTCCTGGTTATCATTCAGATGGCCGTGATAGATGATCCCGAACCCTCCCTCACCAAGAATCCTCTGGAATTTATTTGTCATTGCCTTAATCTCTGAATAAGTGAACCTTCTCTTTGCTGTTTCAATTGATGGACGTTGAACTACAAGCAAGAACTCAATAAAATATATATATGAGAATCTTATAGTGTTTTATGGTACTTAATCAAATCACTAGGTTGATGAGTTCGCTTCAAATAGCCCTACCCTCTTTACTTGACTGTTTTCTTCGTACAGGAATGTAAAGGACAAGAAGCACAACCAGGACAATGGCGATGGAAACAGCTGAGGCAACACCTGCTACTAGGAATTTCTTTTTGGATGAAGTGTTCGCAGAAAACATTGGATGAAGCCTACGTAAAACACAAGTATTTCAACAGTTACTTAAAAGTTATAACACAACAAAGGGTTGGATAAGATTAACATGAAGTTACAAGAAAAATCTTTACTTTAGGTTCAGTCCTTCCTTTTGTCTATCAAGAAGAGCTTGCGGAATCGGACCACTTAATTTATTATAGCTTAAGTCTCTGTTATTGAAGAGAAGAATTTTGTCACGATATATAGGGGAAAAAAAATGAAGTATACATGTTTTTGAGTGACTTACAAGAACAACAAGGAATCCATGTAGGCTAGAAATTCGGGCACTTCTCTGGCCAACTTGTTACGTGACAAGTCCCTAGCACAATTGCAAAAAAAAAATACTATGAGAGAACAATTTTTCACTTACTGAACATAAGCAAAAGAGGCGATACTTAATTAGTACTTACAACACTTGAAGCTTGGTCAGATTTACAATGGCAGGTGATATGATACCGGACAGTCCAGTGGAAGATAAATTTCTGGTTACATGATGAAAACTTCATTTCAGCTTAGGAAAATTTATTGAGGACCATATATATGTTTTATAGTGTGAAACTATACACTTACAAGGAAATGATTCTCAATAGTTTGGATGGATCCGTGTAGTTGCTGCATTGGAGATAAATGGATGGTTTAGGGACGCATGGATCTCCACTCTGGTTGCTTAACGCATATGCTGCTCGGATGGTATCAATCGCAATGACTAAAAGCCATGAATCAGCATATGTTGTAAATATTCCTATACGATTCTAAAAAATAATACAAAAATAAGTTTTTGTTCCAAAATTGACATTGCTAATTTTATTTTTCAAAAATACAACAAAACTAAAACTAAACTTTTAAACCCTCAAAAGTGAACCATAAATTCTCTCAAAAAATAATACTGAAACCCTGGAAACTAAACTCAAAATCCATATAAACAGATTCTAAACCCTTAAAACTCATTATATTTAGTGTTTGTGATATTTTGAAAAAAAAAACATTTTATCAGTTTTTTTTAGAAAAATAAAACCAGTGATTGTATTTTAGAAAAAGAAACTTATTTTAGTGACATTTCAAGGTAATTCTCGCACAAAAATATACAGAAGGCTTACCATCATTTTCATTTGTTGCTGATTCTGGAATCTCAACAACAGTGAAAAACTCAATGGCGTTAACTAGAGGGGGAAGAGTTGAACTGGGAGTTTTTCTTAGTTCCAAGCTGCAATTTGTAACACTATCGCAGCTAAAAGGTACTTTGTTGTATACTGTGTCTACCATTGACTTCTTAGGACTATAATATTGAGAAATATTGTTTCCATTGACCACAATGTCAAATGTTCTAGTTTCATTGCCTCGTAACACTTGTAGTTCAACAAAGTGAATGTAGATGAAGATCTGGTCTGTTGAACTTGAAGTACCCCAAGAAAAGACAAGAGTTGAACTGACATTCGCAGGTATGGCAGCCGACATAATTGCAGCTTGAGGCAGGTCGTAAGGATTATAGTTTTCTACATTGATGGCTGCAGTGCCGTTTTTAATCGTCGGCAACTCATCATCACCGTCGTAAGAAATCCACATACGATCATGGACATCGTCGGGATACCTGACAAGAACTCTTATTAGCACGTGCCTGGTGGGACACATCATATGGCCTCACCTTTTTCTTATTTTTAGGGTCTAAAGTTTTGAAAAGTTTGTAAAAATGGGGCATAATTTTCAAAAGTAGCATGAAAAAATATATATATATAACACAGGACCCATATATATTCACTAAGCCTGATTAGCAATAACTAAAAATTTGGATATCAATCCAAATCTCACATGAAAACTAGAATTGTCATATAAATGGTCTAATACATAAGTCAAATCCAATTATAATTTGTATACGAATACGAGATATTCTCAAAACCTAGGTGAACAAAATGTTGGTTATATCACCAACAATACCTTGTGTAGCAAGTTTCTTGATACTAGTAGCATTAGTTTAGCTGTTAATAAAAAAAATCCGAGTTATAGGTTAACGGGCCGGATAACACATCTATCTATCTGATATACAAATCTACACATTCTAATTTCAGCAAATAAAGCTCAATCATAAATGCAGTAAACTTACCGTAAAGAGGTCCCCAAAAAATCGCTAAAATAAGCTCCACCGTTTCTCTTCAAGGACCTATTTTGAGTAACATAAAAATTATTACTCAATGGCCGAAGTTCCAAGGCTGAAATGAATGGCACCGATGCGTCGTGTGTCTTAACAAGACAAACATGCAAAGTGTTGAATGTTGCGATGTGAATGATTTCTTCAAACGTACTATCGTCTTCCATGTTATCAGATACTGTTGCCCACCAATTTCTACCTATATGCAGATCGAACGTCGGGTAAATGTTCAGACCATCGTAGTTTCCATACAAGAACACAGCTCTGACCAAATAGCGAGTGCCTTGCGTGACATTTAGGTTATAGCAGTTTCTTGTCCCATCGGGAAAGTATCTTAGAGTTGTATACGCCCTCATATAGCCTGCCCCCAAAGCTTTCGGGAGTCTACCACTTTTACCACCATCAACAAATTTGGCGTCCGACGAGAAACTTAATTTAGTAGATGCATCGGTATAAGGAGGTTCATCAGCGAGTAGACCACAATCCAAGCTGATAAATCCTGGTTAAACAGAAAATAAAATAAAATAATAATAATCATATTAATCATATTAATCATGAAAAAGGGAATTTCTCCAAAATTGATCATTTTCAATTTTTAATACAAAAAGTAGCCTCACAAAGTTTTATTTTTTCCAATAATACCACAAAATTCAACATAAAAATGATTTAAAAATTCTTCTTAATGAAAGAAATCTAAAACCTAATAAGGGCAAAAACCAAAAAGAAACCAAACATAATATTTTAAATTTATGTGTAATTTATTTAGAGTAAACAAATGTTTTCACAAAATAATTTGTGTTACTTTTCGAGGAAAAAACTTATGGGTGTATTTTTGGGGAAAAAAAACTTTTTTTATAACTATTTTAGAGTATTTGTTTCTAAAAAAAACCAACCATTCTAAGGAATTGCAAATTACCTTCTTGATCCTGAGAAAATACAACTTGTACAATGGCGAAAATCCCGAGGAGCGTAAATAAGAGTTGACGACTCGTCATCCTCTCTCTTGCTGTTTGCTTGCAGAGAAATCTACCAAAGTGTTGGAGTACCAAAGAATGCAAAGAACTTTTCTTGTCGAAAATGAAAGGAACTTATAAATTCTTGCCACAATCCAATATAGAAGGTGAATCATAATAACAAATAAAATGTCTTTGTCAAGTAGTAAAGAACATGTCAGACATAACTCATGGCCTTAATAGTCAACTGTGATGAAAAAAATGTTCATAAAGGCAACGTGGATACATCACAGCACCAATATTCCAAACATGTTTATTAGTGTATTGAACGTTTCAAAGTCAACCAAATGATCAACTAAAGTCACTGCTTCAATAATCCGATCATCAGTAGAAGCAACCTGTTGACTGATCTTGGCAAGAATAGACAAAGCAGAGCACAAAATAACAGGCAGCGGCATAAGAAACAATTTTATAATGTACGAGAACTCAAGACGAGGAAAGAGTGAAAATGTGAGCTCAAAGAGTGCCAATGAAGTGAACACAAGCACTGAAATGGCTCCTATGGCTCGTTGAAGAAAATTTCAAAACTAAAATTTGTTATTTTTCCAAGTAGGATTGCATAAAGAAATGTGTCAAAGATAAGATTAAATTCAGATTACAAAAGTTTGAATCCGTTTCAGACATTCATATTCAAAAATCTTTTGCTTTGCTTCCCACTGTCAGCAACAGAAGATTTATCGACAAATCTAAAAGTTAAAGACTAACAGAACCCTTTAACAAGCTTGCTAACCTATGAAGCATGATCTGCGGTGAAAACAGCCACAAGGTCCTTGTCATTGTGCTTCATCACGTACCTGTTCAAGAAAGCTTCATCGGTGATCCCAAGCACCATCGATATTGAAGGGAGTTTACTTCCTCTCTTTCCGAGCAATCCTTTGGACATGAGAGCTTTGATAACGTTACACCTTGGCACAGTCCTCTTCTCCATGCTGTATCCAAGTACCACAGGGTTTGAAGCCACAGCCTTTAGTGGCCATTTCATCTGCTTCACAAGAAACTCAGTCTTCTTCTTCACTGTCTCTGCAGAGGATCCAATGCACGAAGGAAAGCATTTGACCATCATCACAAACTCACCTCTGGTAAATCCTAGGCCTAGAAATGCTTCCATGGAGTTCAATACATTCTTCTCCGAGAGTATCAGAAAATGAGGCCACTTCTTGAAAATCGCCCATACATCATCCACAGTAAAGCCTAACTTTTTATAGACATTGACCTTTTCTTGAATTGCTTTGTCACTCAATTGGTAAACAGCATGTAGAGCTAGGACAAACTTTAAGGAGGTCGGATCAAAACCCATCTCAACAACTTTCTTGAGGGACTCTTCAAATCTTTCTTTCCCACAGACAATTTGCCTATCTGATATAAGCAAGGAGAATAACAACCTCTGAGGCACGCCCAAGTCTCTCAAAACCAATATATTTCTCATTTTATTCTCTTGCATACTACCTTCTCCCAAAGAAGGACATAAAGTTTCGAACTTTGAGCTCTTATCAGCTTCTATAATCTCCTTGGCGAAATCATAGTATCTGCTGATAGCTTTGTCCTTTTTGATTCCCAAGATTTTAGGAAATACGGAAACAATCTCAGTGAGCTCAAAGGTTGTAGCTCCTCCTCTAGACTGTAAAAACAAAAGCTTGGGACCAAGAGATTTCTCAGCATCTGCTATAAGCAACTGTGGATAAATCGTAACGATGTCGCAGATCTGAGAATCTGTGAAGCCATGACTTTTCAAAAGACTCAGAACAGAATCTGGACTTCTCTTGTCCTCGAAACTGACTCTCCTTGAGATCGATTGTGCGAGTTTTGTGGTCAAACCCAATGAATCAACGAGGTAAGAGACTGTAAAGTTCTGACCTTTTTTACCATCTCTAGCGCTCGAAGAAGACGAAGAGGAAAAAGCAGATGCATTTTGAAATGGGTTCACTGCAAATCTCAAGATACACAGTTTCTGCAACTCGCAAAACCTTCTTCCATGGAGAATCAGAGAACCCATTACAAGGAAATGCGATAAACACAGTCCTGAAGCGGTAAATCAGATTCAATTCAGGAAATGGAATCGCCTAGGCTTCGATGATACTAAAATCTCTAAAAAGTTACAAACTGCCTCGCAGATCTGAGTGCAAGCAAAGATTTGACTTTTCAGGTTTCCGCTTCTCTGTTCATTCACTTCCGAAATCGAAAATCACAAAGAACCAAAATTGTGTGGGGAGGCAACAAAAAGTAACGATTTTTAATGTTTAGACGCAAAACCCTGATTTTTGTGTTTTTTTTTGCAGCAAAGGAAGAAACTTTTTTAGAAAATCAAATAAAAAACTGTCTTTTGGCAACAAAAAAGGTCTTTTGAAAACGTTAAACACACTTGTGAGTTGTGGCTTGTTGCTGTTTGAATGAAGATCTTATTATCTACCAATTTTCATTTTGTCAAAGTCAAACCAAATGATCAAACAAAGTCACTGCTTCAATAATCCGATCATCAGTAGTGTAAATGTCAGGCTCAAAAGAGAGTTTCGTGATCTTGTCAAGAATAGACAAAGCAGAGCACAAAGCAACAGCAGCATAATTAGAAACAATTTTGTAAGCTCTAGATATCAATCATTGATTTTGTCTCCTTCCTCTCGCTATTGACTATGACAAACTAATTGAGTCTTGTTCTGAGAAAATGAAATGACTTGGTCTTGTAATGTCACTCTATAAGCATATAGAAATCCTCCAAATTTCATGAATTATCATATGATCAACTGTTTCTGCTGTAATTTCAAGAAGAGGAAAGAGTCAAGATGTGAGCACAAAGAGTTCTAATGAAGTGAACACAAAATTCAGACATTCATATTCAAATATCTTTTATCGACAAATCTAAAAGTTAAAGACTTAACAGAACCCTTGACTAAAAGATTTGCCTTATGACCTATGAAGCTATGATCTCTGGTGAAGATAGCCATCAATTCAGCCACAAGCTCCTTGTCATCATCATGATCCCTAACGTACTTGTTTAAGAAAGCTTCATCGGTAATCCCAAACGCCCTCGACACTGAAGGGAGTTCACTTCCTCCTTCTCCGAGCAATCCTTTGGACATGAGAGCTTTGATAACGTTACACCTTGGCACAATCCTCTTCTCCATGCTGTATCCAATAAACTGTGGGTGCGAAGCCACAGACTTTAGTGGCCAATTCATCTTCTTCACAAGAAACTGTGTCTTTTTCTTCACTGTCTCTTCAGAGAATCCAATGCACGAAGGAAGGCGCTTGACCATCTTCGTGAACTCATCTCTGCTGATTCCTAGTCCTAGAAATGTTTCCATGGAGTTCATTATCTTCTTCTCCGAGAGTATCAGAAACTGAGGCCACTTCTTGAACATTTCCCATGTTTCTCCCACATCAAAGCCTAACTTTTCATAGGCATTGACCTTTTCTTGAATTGCTTTGTCACTCGATTGGTAAACAACACGTAGGGCTTCCACAAACTTTGGGGAGGTTGGATCAAAACCCATCTCAACAACTTTCTTGAGGGATTCTTCAAATTTTTCTTTCCCACACACAATTCGCCTACTTGATATAAGCAATGAGAATAACAACCTCTGAGGCACGCCCAATTCTCTCAAAACCAATACATTTCTGATTTTGTTCTCCTGTGGACTACCTTGTGGCAAAGAAGAATGACATAGCTTCTTGTGCTCGAGACTCTTATCTGCTTTGATAATCTCTTTGGCGAAATCATAGTATACGCTCAAAGCTTTGTCCTTTTTGACTCCCAAGATATTTGGAAACTTAGACACAATCTCTGTGAGCTCAGAGCTTGTAGTAGCTTGAGCTTCTCCTCTAGACTGTAAAAACTGAAGCTTTGGACCAAGAGATTTCTCAGCATCTTCTATAAGCAACTGTGGATAATCCGTGATGATGGTGGAGATCTGAGAGTCTCTGAATCCATGGCTTCTAAGAAGATTCAGAACAGAATCTGGACTTCCCTTGGCTTCGAAACAGACTTTTCTTGAGATCGATTCTGCGAGTTTTGAAGCTAAACCCAATGATCCAACGAGGTAAGAGACAGTAAAGTTCTGACCTTTTTGACCATCTCTACTGCTCGAAGAGAAGGAACTGGAAAAAACAGACGCCTTTTGCAAAGGGTTCGCTGCAAATCTCAAAATACACAATTTCTGCAACTCGCAAAACCTTCTTCCATGGAGAATCAGAGAACCCATTACAAGGAATTGCGATAAACACAGTGCTGAAGCGATAAATCTGATTCAATTCAGGAAATGGAATCGCCTAGGCTTCGATGATACTAAAATCTCTAAAAAGTTCCAAACTTACAAGTGACTCGTAGTCGACGGACGATTCAAGTTTCCGCTTATCTGTTCATTCACTTCCGAAATCAAAAATCACAAAGAACCAAAATTGTGTGAGGAGGCAACAAAAAGGAACAAAAAGTAACGATTTTTTAAGGTTTAGGCACAAAACCCTGATTTTTGTGTTTTTTTTTTTTTTGCAGCAAAGGAAGAAACTTTTTTAGAAAATCAAATTAAAAACTATGTTTTGGCAACAAAAAAATGGCTTTTGAAACGTTAAATACACTTGTTGCTGTTTGAATACCAATTTTCTTTTTGTCAAAGTCAAACCAAATGATCAACTAAAGTCACTGCTTCAATCGTCCGATCAGTAGTGTAAATGTCAGGCTCAAAAGAGAGTTTCGTGGTCTTGTCAAGAATAGACAAAGCAGAGCTCAAAATAACAGCAGCATCAGAAACAATTTTTGTAAGCTCATTTGGATATCAATGAGAGCATTTCCATTTGGTTATCGAGTGGTATCACACAAACATCATGTCTTTTCATTCTTGCTATTGACTATGGACAAACTAATTGAGTCTTGTTCTGAGAAAATGAAACGACTTGGTGTTGTAATGTCACTCTACAAGAAGATAGAAATCCTCCAAATTTCATGAATTATCATATGATCAACTGTTTCTGCTGTAATTTCAAGAAGAGGAAAGAGTCAAGATGTGAGCTCAAAGATCATGTCGGACGTGAACACAAGCATTGAAATGTGGCTTCTATGACTAGTTGACGAAAATCCAAAATAACAATTTCTCATCTTTCCAAGTAGGATTGCACATAGAAATGTGTCAAAGACAAAGATTAAATTGAGATTACATAAGTTTTCCAGTCATTCATATTCAAAAATCTTTTGCTTTGCTTCCCATTGACAGCAACAAAAGATTTATGGACAAATCTAAAAAGTTAACTAACAGAACCCTTTAACAAGATTGCTAACCTATGAGACACGATCGCTGGTAAGATAGCCATCAATTCGGCCACAAGCTCCTTGTCATCATCATGATCCTTAACGTACTTGTTTAAGAAAGCTTCATCGATAATCCCAAACGCCCTCGACACTGAAGGGAGTTCACTTCCTCCTTTTCCGAGCAAACCGTTGGACTTGAGAGCTTTGATTACGTTAGACCTTGGCACAATCCTCTTCTCCATGCTGTATCCAAGTACCGGAGGGTGCGAAGCCACAGACTTTAGTGGCCAATTCATCTTCTTCACAAGAAACTCAGTCTTCTTCTTCACCGTCTCTTCAGAGAATCCAATGCACGAAGGACGGCGCTTGACCATCATCGTGAACTCATCTCTGGTGAATCCGAGGCCTAGAAATGTTTCCATGGAGTTCACTATATGCTTCTCCGAGAAATTCAGATAGGAAGGCCACTTCTTGAAAATCTCCCATACCTCTCCCACATCAAAGCCTAAACCTTTATACACATTGACCTTCTTATTGTGATGGGCTATATTTTGTGTGTAAGCCCATTAGTATGTAGCTATATATATCGATGTACATTATCGTTAATGACAAGAGAGTTTATTCCGCTGTACTTTGACATGGTATCAGAGTAGGTCCTTGTCTTTTCATCTCCTCTGCATCTCTTCATCTCCTTTTTGTTCTTCTCCTTCTGATCTCGAGCCTTCTTGCTCGTTGATCTTCTTTTCTTGAGCCTGTTGCTCTTTTCACGGTCTGAGCCAATTGCTCGAGATCTTTTTTTTTTTTTTTTTTTTTTTTTTTCTTTTTCGATGGGAGATGCAACGCCAACCGTTACGGTAGCTTCTATCAAGGATGCTGGTATTTTGTCTGATTATTATCTTCCTCCTGGTGTAGACCCAGGAAACATCATATCAACTTGAGCCGTACGTTACCTACTCCACTCAAGTAAATCCAAAACCCAAGCCTGTTTCGACGACTCCACCTTCTCATCCGTCAGGTACTCCTTATCCCATTGGCGATTACATGTGCTCAGCTAACTTCTCAGACTCTTTCAAAGTGTTTCTTGCGAATGTCACTGCTTTCACGGAACCCCGTTCTTTTAAAGACGCCATGGAATTTGATGTTTGGCGTAAAGCAATGGGTTTTGAGATCACTGCTTTGGAAGATAGTGGCACATGGGATCTTGTTGATTTGCCTCCTGGAAAACGTGCCATTGGGTGTAAATGGGTTTTTAAACTGAAGTTCAATTCTGACGGTACTGTCGAGCGCCATAAAGCACGCCTTGTTGCTCTCGGAAACCGTCAAGAAGAAGGTGTTGATTATGATGAAACTTTTGCTCCAGTTATCAAGATGACCACTGTCCGAACCTTTCTTAACGTTGCTGCTTCTCGTAACTGGGCACTTCATCAAATGGATGTTCACAATGCCTTCTTACATGGCACTTTGGATGAAGAAGTTTACATGAAACCTCCTCCCGGGTTTCTCTCTTCCGGCTCTACTAAAGTATGTCGTTTGAAAAAGTCTCTCTATGGTCTAAAGCAGGTACCTCGTTGCTGGTTTGGAACCCTTCAAACGGCGCTTCTGGATTATGGTTTTCGCCAATCCACTTCAGATTACTCTCTTTTCTCCCTTGTGCGTGGTGATTCAGAGATTTATGTTCTTGTCTATGTCGATGATCTACTTTTTGGTGGTAATGACACAGCTCTACTCTCTGCTTTCAAGTCTTATCTCAGCAGTCAATTCCACATGAAAGACTTAGGTACTCCTCGTTATTTTCTTGGAATTGAGATGGCTCGGAATGCTGAGGGATTTTTTTTGTGTCAACGAAAGTATTGTTTGGACATCATCTCTGAGGCTGGCCTTCTTGGTTGTCGTCCTACGGACATTCCATTAGCTCCAAATCATCGTCTCGCTCACTCCGTCGATGCTCCTTATGACAACCCATACCAATATCGCCGTATCGTCGGTAAACTTATTTATCTCACTCTCACTCATCCGGAGCTATCTTACTCTGTGCATATCTTGTCTCAATTTATGCAAAAGCCAACTGTTGCACATTGGAATGCTGCCCTCAAGGTTCTTCGCTATCTCAAAGGTACACCTGGTCAAGGAATTTTGTATAAAGCTGGTACCGATCTTGTGCTTACAGGCTACTGTGATGCGGATTACAATGCATGTCCTCTCACACGTCGATCGTTAACCGGATTTGTGTTTTTTCTTGATGGCTCTCCTATTTCGTGGAAGACTAAGAAACAAGACACGGTTTCCTTGTCTACTGCCGAAGTTGAGTATCGCTCCATGTCCTGGACTACTAAAGAGGTCAAGTGGCTCAATACTCTTCTCCACTTCTTCGGTATTACACAACCTGGCCCTATTCCTTTTCATTGTGACAATGAAGCGGCTATTCATATTGCTACAAATCCCGTTTTCCATGAGCGCACGAAGCATATCGAATCTCATTGTCATCATGTTCGCGATTCTATTCTCAACGGTCTCATCAAACCGGCGTACGTTCCTAGTGGTGAACAGATCGCTGATATTTTCACTAAAGCTCTTGGAGTTGTTCAATTTCGTTTCTTGATCTCCAAGTTGGGCATTTGTAATTTGCATGCTCCAACTTGAGGGGGAGTATTGTGATGGGCTATATTTTGTGTGTAAGCCCATTAGTATGTAGCTATATATATCGATGTACATTATCGTTAATGACAAGAGAGATTATTCCGCTGTACTTTGACACTTTTCTTGTATTGTTTTGTCACTCAATTGGTAAACAGCATGAAGAGCTTCGATAAACTTTGAGGTGGTCGTGGTCGGATCAAAACCCTTCTCGACGACCTTCTTGAGGGATTCTTCGAATCTTTCTTTCCCACACACAATTTGGCTATTTGATATGAGCAATGAGAATAACAACCTCTGAGGCACGCCCAATTCTCTCAAAACCAATACATTTCTCATTTTGTTCTCCTGTGGACTACCCTCTGGCAAAAAAAGAAGGACATAACTTCTTGTGCTCGAAACTCTTATCCGCTTTGATAATCTCCTTGGCGAAATTATAGTATACGCTCAAAGCTTTGTCCTTTTTGACTCCCAAGATTTTTGGAAATTTAGAAACAATCTCTGTGAGCGCAGAGCTTGTAGTAGCTTGAGCTTCTCCTCTAGACTGTAAAAACTGAAGCTTTGGACCAAGAGATTTCTCAGCATCTGTTGTAAGCAGTAGTGGATAATCCGTAACAATGTCGCCGATCTGAGAATCTGTGAATCCATGACTTGTAAGAAGTTTCAGAACGAAATCAGGATTTCCCTTGTCCTCCAAACTGACTTTCCTAATGATCGATTCAGCGAGTTTTGTAGTCAAACCCAGAGACTTAACGAGGTAAGAGACTGTAAAGTTCTGACCTTTTTGACCATCTCCAAGGCTCACAGCTGCAGAGGAGAAGGAAAAAGCAGACGCCTTTTGCAAAGGGCTCGCGGCAAATCTCAAGTGACGACATTTCTGCAACTGGACCAACCTTCTTCCATGGAGTATCAGAGAAGACATGAGAGAAAAGGCAATGCGATTACCTCAGTGCTGCTGAAAGCTTCGATGATGAAGATCGGATGGAATCAAAGATTCAAGTTTTGGCTTCTCTGTGCATTAACTTGAGAGAACCAATTTCACAAAGAACCAAAATTGAGGAAGGTAACCAAAGAACGGAATTAAAAATTAGGGCTTTTAGGCAAAACCCCTGATTTTGTGTCCTTTCATGTTTATTTTATTTTATTTTTGTTCAAATCCTTTCATGTTTATAAAAATGAAAAATCAAAGATTGTTTTTTTGCATCCGGAATAAAAGTGAATTTGCTTTATCATATCAAACACAGCGTCACACATATCTCCATGTTTCCATGTTAAAGACACTGAATACAATTTGTAATGTTTCCAAGTTAGATTGCACATAGAAAT